GAGTGTATCGTGATCCAGCCTGTACTCCTCTTGACATGCCAGAAAGTATTCTGAGGAAACTACTCCAAGCTTGTACTAAAGAGGCACCCTTCTTGAGCCCGGATGGGCACATGTATAAGCAAGTAGATGGGGTCGCTATGGGTTCTCCCCTAGGTGTCCTGTTTGCAAACTTCTACATGGGTACCATCGAGCAAAAAGTCTTAGTCGACATGAACTTGAAACCGGCCATATACTGCAGGTATGTTGACGACATTTTTACACAGGTACCTGATGTCAGACATCTGCAGGAGCTGAAGGAGGCATTTGAGCAGAGTTCCGTGCTGCGTTTCACTTACGAGACGGAAAAGGATGGGAAGCTGCCTTTTCTAGATGTAACAGTCATGGAAAAGGGCGGAGGTTTCCACACTGCAGTCTACACAAAGGAAACAAACATAGGAATGTGCCTAAATGCCAACAGCGACTGCCCTGACAGGTACAAGAGGAGTGTTGTTAACGCATACGTCGACCGTGCTCTCAGCCACAGCTCAGAATGGAAGCAAGTCGACGAAGAACTCTGTAGGGTAAGGCAGGTTCTAGTCAATAACGGCTTCTCCAATGGTTTCATCGAAGACATCATAAGAAGGAAAGTGAAAAGCCATGCAACCTCCGAAGAGACAACTAACACAACACCTATACCCCCTATTAGACTATTTTACAGGAACTTCTTTTCCACAGCTCATAAAACAGAGGAAAGGGTCCTGAAAGATATTGTTAATAGAAACGTTATCCCTACAGACAAAAATCAGAGGATACAACTGACGATTTACTATAAAACCAGAAAAACGGCCAGCCTACTCATGAGAAACTCTCCAGACACGAAACAGAACGCTTTAAAAGAGACTAACGTCGTCTATGCCTTCAAATGCCCACTTGGGGACTGTAAGCTCCAAAAAACCCAGTATATAGGCAAGACAACAACATCTCTTTCTAGGCGTTTAACGATGCATAAACAACAGGGCTCCATTAAGGAACATATAATCTCTTCCCATAACCAAACCATCGCCAGAGAAATCCTAGTAAACAACACAGAAATCATCGATAGATACAGCGATAGCAGGCGGCTAGACGTTTGCGAGGCACTACACATCAAGAAGTCAACACCAGCAATCAACAGCCAATTATTGCACAACTATATTCTACCCACCTCAAGACTCCGCTCCAATATAGAAGCATCAAGAAATATGGACCAATAGGCTTTCTACAAACACTTCTATTCAATATCCATTGTTTCGTGTTCTGTCTTGTGTTGATACTTTTAATACCCTATTAATATCCTCTAATGCCACATCATCCTTCCCACCTTACTCAAATGTAATGCCACATCACCCTTCCCACCTCACTCAAATGTAGATATAAAATCAGGGAAACGCAAGTTCTAATCAGTTGTGTATTTGTGAAGTCTTTGAAAATGTAATAAGTTTTACGAAACGCGCCCGTGTCGCGTCAGACTAGAAATAAAAATGAATTTTGGAGAAGTGATTTTTGATTTACCTCCAACAGTGAAGCATAATGTACGAAAGATTGAGAAAATTCGTGTTAGAATTATTAATCTTACTTTTTCGGTCATATTTAATAAAATATGTCTACAGGAAAGACTGCTACCAAAATATACTATATATATATATATATATATATATATATATATATATATATATATATATGACAATGTCAGACCACGGTGGAAAATGAAACAGGAATTTCCTTAAGTACTTTGACAATGTCAGACCACGGAGGAAAAAAGATTTTATTTAATTTAATGTAATAAGATGTATCTTCATTCCTTCTGAAGATGTATTTAATATACGAAAGTACTTAAGGAAATTCCTGTTTCATTTTCCTCCGTGGTCTGACATTGTCACATTCTTAATCACGTGTTTATTTTCGTGATATACACACACACACATATATATATATATATATATATATAATATATATATATATATATATATATATATATATATATATATATATATATATATATATATATATATATGCAATTGGCGATCACAAAACACTGATCATTTTATGCGGAAAATCCACAGAGAACTATGAAATGAGGTGAACGTTTCGGCTTGTTAAAGCCTTTGTCAACACCAGACTGACTAAGGAGAAGGGAAGGGGGAGGATAAGGCTTTAACAAGCCGAAACGTTCACCTCATTTCATATTTCTCTGTGGATTTTCCGCATATATATATATATATATATATATATATATATATATATATATATATATATATATATATATATATATATATATATATATATATATATATATATATATATTAATTTTGCAAATTTTCTACAGTTTGTGAAAGAAAACGGGAAGCGGCACTCTACTGACTAGGCTAAGTGGGTGAGTGGGCGGAGTTGGTCAGAGGTTCAGCCCGGCGCCGCACCTCTTCCTTCACATGGTCCCTTATTTCCCCCCCCCCCCCCTCCCTTCATTCCGTTACCATTTGCTCAATAGTTTCCTTCCCCTTCCTTAGGTTTCATCGCCTTCCTTTACGGTCCAGTTCCTGTTGTGTTCAGAGCTGACGCTGCTGCACCTGCGTGTGTTTGCTGCTATATAACATGGCGCAGTCACCCAGGTGACTTATACAGTGGACGACAAGCAGGTTGTCCGCCAAGCTTAGTCTACTATAAACATCTGTATGGGGCAAGCAGCAATTTTCTTACGGGCTATTCATGCCCGTGCCGCCTCTTGGGTGGCTAAATCTTTATCAATCAAGCAGCAACATCAGTAGAGTAACGGATGTTGTCACAGCTGGATTACGACTTATAACTATAAGTATCTCTGGCAGTTCTACTTGCACTGATGAAGTCAAATGTAAATTGGATAATTGTGGGTGGTAGGTGCATAATTACAGAAACGGAACAGAGGTGGTGGCTGAGTTTTAGCCTTTTATTTTTAAGGCGATGATCGGTGGACCACCGGTCCATCTGACCTACAAAAAAAATCCGATGGACCAAAAAAGGGCCCATCCCGGCCTACACGGTCCACCGTGTAGGCTGCGATGTCCAGGTGGTAGGTAGGTATGGGCCGGGGCCGAGGTGTTTGGCAACAAACATTACACACACACTCAAGAGATTCCAGGTCTTCACAAAAGAGCTAGGAGACGCCCCTATACTAGGATAGGAGGCAACAAACCAAATTCCTTTGAGGAATTTGAGCTCACCAGTGATGAGGTCAAAAGGAATCTGTTGGAGCTGGATGTGACAAAGGCTGTTGGGCCTGACAGAATGGTATCACCATGGATACTAAAAGAGAGTGCAGAAGCACTAAGTGTACCACTCTCTATGGTGTATAACAGGTCACTGGAAACGGGACTTACCGGAAAGCTGGAAGACCGCTAATGTAGTTCCAATATACAAAAAGGGCGACAGGCAAGAGGCACTGAACTACAGGCCAGTTTTCCTAATTTGCATACCATGCAAGATGATGAAGATCGTGAGGAAAAGTACCGTAGAACATCTGGAGGGAAAGAGTTTTGTAATACCCCACCAGCATGGGTTCAGGGATGGTAACTCGTGCTTCGCAGGCTTACTGTGAAACACAACAAAACCAGGCGACAAAAATGTCGCCCCTTCTATGACCAGGCGGCAAAAATTAGGCAAGAAAGAGAATGGTGGGCAGACTGCATTTTCTTGGACTGTCAGAAAGCCTTTGACACAATACCCCATAAAAGGCTGTTACAAAAGTTGGCAAAGGCTGTTACAAAGACAAATGAAGATAGACAAAGATTACAGGACGACCTGGACAAACTGGAGGAATGGTCTAAACAATGGCTACTAAAGTTAACACAGGAAAGTGTAAAGTAATGAAACTAGGCGAAGGGAGCAGAAAGCTGAACACAAGGTACCATCTGGGAGGTGATATCCTGCAAGAGTCAAATAGAGAGAAAGATCTGGGGGTTGATATCACACCGAACCTGTCCCCAGAAGCTCACATCAAAATTATATCATCAGCGGCATATGCTAGATAGGCCAACATAAGAACTACCTCTAGAAACTTGTGTAAGGAATTGTTCAGGCCCTTGTATACCACTAATGTCAGACCAATCCTGGAGTATGCAGCTCCAGCCTGGAGTCCATACCTAGTTAAACACAAGTCAAAGTTAGAGAATATCCAGAGGTATGCCACCAGACTAGTCCCAGAACTGAGACGTATGAGCTACGAGGAAAGGCTACGGGAGCTAATCCTCACGTCCCTGGAAGACAGAAGGGTAAGGGGAGACATGATAACCACCTACAAACTTCTCAGGGGAATTGACAGTGTGGACAAAGACAAACTCTTTAGCACGGGTGGAACACGAACAAGGGGACACAGGTGGAAACTTAGTACCCAGATGAGCCACAGAGACGTTAGAAAGAATTTTCTGTGTCAGAGTAGTTTTTTCATTTATTTTTTATATATACGTGAAGGTACATTGGGTTTATGAGAGTACAAAGCATTGATGTTTTTACATTCTTGTAAAGTCACAATAACACGCATAGCGTTTCGGGCAGGTCCTTTATCTAACATAATTTTAATTTGTAGCAAAATTTTAAAAATGTTAACAGGTACTGTACATTGTAAGAAAATTAATAGGTACCTTATAGTAAAATTTGATGATTATAAAAAAAAATAGGTAAATTGTAGCATAATTTGAGGATTATTTCTAGGTACATTGTAGTATAATTTGCGTTCAACATAACAACCATGATATAAAATGATAACAATGACTACAATAGTCAAGTCGAATGGCTTAGGCACATAATTAACAAATGAAATAAATGCATTAGTCAGTGATGTAGGGTAGAGGCAGACACCATGCACAACTTCAAATATAGATTTGATAGCGCCCAATAGGCTCAAAGGAACCTGTACACCAGTTGATTGACAGTTGAGAGGCGGGGCCAAAGAGCCAGAACCCAACCTCCTCTAGCACACCCAGGCGAGTACAGAGAGACACAGCTGGGAGCCGACGTGGACGCCGCCGCCTCCAGCAGGTCTGGCCCCTCTATCCTCCCTCTCCCTGGCTTTCCTAAACAAAACTTTTCGTTTTTGAATGTATTTAACATTTTATTTGGAGGTAGGAGTGCCGTGGGCAGCGTCACTCAGCCTGGGAGGGAATAGTCTGCCGTGGCAGCATGTATAACACTCACCTTGTAGGAAGAAAACCCCGCTGGGTTGAGCTCTCGTCTGTGTCCCATGGTAGACTTTGCTTCTATTTCCTTCTATAATCCCTATGGTAAACTTGCTTCTGCCCTCTACTGTGCCCCATGGTAGACTTATTTCTATCCTCTACTGTGCCCTTTGGTAGACTTGCTTCTGATGTGTCCTATGGTAGACTTGCCCCTACTCTCTACTGTGTACTATGGTAGACTTGCCTCTACTCTCTACTGTGTACTATGGTAGACTTGCCTCTACTCTCTACTGTGTACTATGGTAGACTTGCCTCTACTCTCTACTGTGTACTATGGTAGACTTGCCTCTACTCTGCTGTGTCCTATGGTAGACTTGCCTCCACTCTGCTGTGTCCTATGGTAGACTTGCCTCCACTCTGCTGTGTCCTATGGTAGACTTGCCTCCACTCTGCTGTGTACTATGGTAGACTTGCCTGAACCCTTTACTGTGTCCCATGGTAGACTTGCCTCTACCCTCTACTGTGTCCCATGGTAGACTAGCCTCTACCCTCTTCTGTGCTCCATGGTAGACTTGCCTCTACTCTCTACTGTGTCCCATAGTAGACTTGCATTTATCTTATACTGTAACCCATGGTAAACTTGCTTCTACTGTACTCCTTAGAAGACTTGTATCTACAGCCTTCTGTGCCCCAAGGAAGACGTGCCACAACTCGCTAAGTTAGACCAGTTACGGTAATTTGACCCCAGGCTATAGGGGGCATGGTGGTCGTGGCTGCTAGTGTCGTACTGTACTTGCCCGACATGGCATTGCCCGAAACGCTGTGCGTATTGGTGGCTTTAGGCATAGTATATACTTTGCTCTATCTAGAAATCTAACATTATGTTTGTAACTCATTTTGAATGTATGTACTTTTACCTGAATAAACATTATCTTATCTAGTACAGTACATTGTTTATTTATTTATTTACAAGACAGGACAATGGGTTTGTGAGAGTACAGTATATAAGACTGTATTGGTATTTTTATGTTCTTGCAAAGCCACTAACACGCAAAGCATTTCGGGCAGGTTCCTAATCTAACAGATCAGGTAAGATGAATAGATACATGGTAGCAAAAATTAATATCAACATATAACTACAATATCAATTGACAGAGGTGATTACATTGGTGAAGATGTATGTCTCAAGTACTGTATTAAGATTTGTGAGGGAGTGAGTAGCACAAGATTCATTGTGAGTTTGACCTAGTACTTGTTAATCTAGTACAGTACTTGTATTACAGTTAGCTTCAGTCTCAATTTGCAGTCGGGGATCCTTGGTTTGCAGTTCAGGTGGGACAGAAATGATTGGGAACATTTCCTTTTTCTTAATGCCTGTTTATTTAGCAGTAAATAGGTACAGTATCTATTATTATTATTTCGGTTTAAAATTTAGCTGGAAAAATCCTCAGGAATAAGGGGAGGGGACCTTTGACAAGTCACTGACTTCTTGTTCCTATTGAGGCTAATCAAAATTGTGGCCCTTGGGTAAATTCACGTAAATTGTGAAAAATAACATTGCCTAATGAACTGTTACCTTTTTAATTTGCTTAAACTTAAAATGAAATACTGTACTGTACCGTACCTGTATATCATATAGTGTACTGTATCAAATACTGTACTGTGCTTACAAGGACAGTGTAGTAATTGTGAAATCAGTGCCGGACTCTTGATAGGCTGGGAGTCGGTTGCTTTTGAAGGTTTCTCTTAATTAAATTAGTAGTAGTTACATGTATCTTTTTTTTAATTGTGATATTTTCCTTGGTGATTTCAGCAGATATGTTATTGTAATCATTGGTGGGTTACTGTCAACTTATCGCACTTCAAACTCTGCAAACACTAATTTATTATACTGTAATGCTTTGTCACATGTTTATTATATGTATATATACAAGATACAGTACAGTACAATTCAGCACCTACAGTATAACGCAACCTAATATTTTTAACCGTTCTTAATCATGAGTAATGTATAATTAATTATCAAATGGTGTTGGTTGCAGATTGGCTGGCTGTGGGTTGTCAAGGTTGCTCGAGCGCAGGACAATGACACCTACCAAGCAGCCAATTGACTTTCTTATATACCTGATTCTTTTTGGTTCAACCATCTTTGTCAACAAGGTATTTATAACCGATTATGATTTTCCAGACATTTTAAGAGCAGGTATGTACAACTTTTCATAGTTTAGAGACAGAAATGTATACTACTGTAATTTTTCATTCAGTTTAGAAAACAGGATTACTGAATGTAATTGTTCATTGTTTACAAGTAGTAAACAAGTAGAAGGGTATAACAGTTCATTATTTACAAGTAGGAATGTATAACAGTTCATACAGTTTACAAGTAGGAATGTGTAGCAGTTCATGTAGTTTACAATCGTGAATGTGTAGCAGTTCATACAGTTTACAAGCAGGTATGTGTAGCAGTTTACAAGCAGGAATGTATAACAGTTCATACAGTTTACAAGTAGGAATGTGTAGCAGTTCATGCAGTTTGCAAACAAGACTATACAGTATAATTATTCCAACCCAACCTTATATTAAGTATATTTGTTTACTGGGCGTACAAACATTCAAATTAAATGCTATTAACTTGGACTAAAAGAATTAGAAATGCATTTTTTATGGCTAATGAGCATTAGCATCAATAAACTACGAGGATTGGTGTAGTTCATCCACTTGTGTATAGTAAAAAGGGCATTTTGAATTTGCTACCAGTGCCAGTATACTGTTTCGCTTGACTGCACAATTGTCCCAAGAGCACGGCAGACCTTACCTTGTGGAGCAGCCAAATGATTCTGCTCAGAAAGGAACTTTTCATATAAATTCAAAGCATTATTTTTAGTCACTTATTTAAACTGTTTCTCTACTCTGACACATTTATTTAAAGCTACAATGGGCAGCACAGATACAATACATCAAGCTAGGAAAAAACTCTGCTTAATCCGTAAACTGTGGTGTCAAGTTGAATGAAAAAACTCTTAATTTTTTAAAGTGGAAGGGTCATTTATTATATACAGTGTAATAATTTTCATTGAAACTACAACATTCTTTACAGTATGTGCTCTCGGTGCTGAACTTCACGTACCCCACAATCTATCAAGGTTGGCAGACCCTGGTTGGAGGTATCCTCCTGCGAGTTCTGCTCTCCAATAAATGTCTGTCTGTGTCTGCCACGGACTTGGATAAACCTGGATTTATCTCACTTTTACCTTCATTTCTCTTCTTTGCTGCTGGCATTGTTGCAAGCTCCAAAGCTCTTGGCAATTTGGTAAGTTCTTGATTTTATTATGGCTAATTTTGTTTTAGTGTGCATTGACAATGATTCTGCTGGATTTTTTGTTAAATAAATTAAATTAAATGTTGATACAGTACAGCATGTTGAAATATTTCAGAACATAGTTATGTACAATTGTTTGGCCATGTCTCTCAGCATCTGTACATTTTATTATGGAGTCTTGTATCAGTGACAACCTCCAGACTGATAGATCCTAGTAATTTAAGTATGCATGAATATTTGCTGAAAGTTTCCCCCCAATAGATAAATGTTTCGTAATGCAAAATTGTACTTTTTACATGTAAATATAAGAGCAAGTTGATATTATTATTTGTATATTTATTTATTATTTTGCACATAGGCTTTCCTATGGTACCAAGTAATTCTTCTGTTGTTATTCATCAACAAAATTTAAAAAAAACATGATTTGAGTAATATTAAGTGTTTTGTACCAAAAAATTTTCCAAGCTCTATTGGTGAATCATACTTAGCAAAAATTTAATTTTCCCCTGTGATGGACATCATTTAACTAGGAAATGCAGATTTGTTTTTTCAGACAGCCAAATTTGCAGGAAAAATTCAATGGGCATATTTTCTGTTACACATTTAGAAGAATCCATTGTATGAAGATGCCGGAGATGGATTTTGGAGATGCCATAATACTTATAAATTGTTAAATAAATTTGGAATATTTGTCAATATATCTATGATCTCTGCGTCAGTCGTGTTGAGTGCTGCACCGGTGTCTTTGCCAACCTTTAAACATTTTTGTCTATGGTATTCTCAGGATAGTCTTGGGCCAATAACATTCAATTTTTTTAATATTGTACATTCAATATAGGGAAGAAATTCCTCAAATATTTTGTGTGCATTCATGCAAAACCCTCAAATCTTAGGTTATTGTCTGAATTCCCTCAAGGCTTGGATTATTGCCTGAATTTTCTCATACTTTCATTTTGCAATTGTTGTCCTCGTATCTTTTCCAAGTGCTAATGGTCACACTGGCTTAGCACTCTCTTCTCATATTCACCATACCATCGTCTGAATTAAACAGATCATTTGATACTAAGGGACCATCTAATTCCAGACCATCTTAGATGCATATATACACGTATGTAGAATAATCACAAAAAACATGTGGTTCAGTTATGCGTAAGTATCCACTAGGAAAATGAAAAGAAAGTTCCAAAAGTTTTTACATTTCAATACATTATTAAGAAAATACAGCCTTGATGTGTTGAAATTGTATTTGCTTGATAATGTGTTAAAACAAATAAAAATTAAAAATATGGAAATGTGCTTGCATGATTGGTCTATACAGGAGTAAAAAGAAAAAAACCTAATTTTAAAACTTTTCTTTTAGGTAATTTGCAAATGAAAAAAAATAATATGCATGCTCAGGAGCTAATGTGGTCTGCCCATATCGCAAAAATGTTTACAATCATTTTACGTTTCCTAAGTTATTTGATGGGTTATAACTACAAATTTTGTGTCAAAATGTTTGGAAATGCATACATACATATAATCTGCAGTATAGATACATACAGTATATGAAAGTTTGCCACACGTGAGTACTCATGGGCAATAGGGAAGTACGTGCTCTGGTCGGTCCACTCATGCTCTAGATACACTGTCCACACAATAATGATGATTTTTTATAAGTTTTTAGACTCATTGATGCAAATAGAATAGCTCTGGAACGGAAAACTGGAAAATTTTGTAATTGGATGGCATGTTTTAGCATCATCGGAATGTGCATTGTTGGAGTACAGATGACGCATTTTAGTGTTGTCTGTATGTGAAAATGTTAAATACATTTTTTTTAGATTGTGGCATCATTACATTATTGTATTTATCGTTTTAAAATCAAATTTTTTTTAAATAAAACCTTGTACAGTATAAGTGACCAGATTCTGTGATTTCACCCTCTTCATCTTAGGCTTGTATTTTTGCATTGATAAGATAACAGTATGAAGTTCAAACAGCAATGTCGGCAATTTCTTAATTTAATAATACACTATTAATATTTCAGAGTGTACCTGTGTTCTTATGTTTGCAAAATACATTGGGTGCAATGCTCTATCTGATGGAAATTGCTCCCAGCTTCCGAGGAGGTTCTGGGCCATTTCCTCTTCTTGCCAGCCTCATCACCATCGGGACGGCTGTGGCTGCTGTCCTCGCTGATATTGACATGACGGTAGACGCTCTCAAAGTATAGTAATTTTATTTTGTTTAGAAGCCATAACAATATTGCTTAACATAATTTTTTTTACAAGTATTATTATATTGTTTTATTTGGTTTTATTCTTAAAAGTATGAATAATTTTTAAATATGTCAACCTTTATTATGCAGTTTTCAGATTCTCCGTACTTTTGGATGCTTGTGTACCTAGCATGTGTTGCTGTTCAAACCCTCCACTCAAAGATTGCGGATGCCCGCTACACTGACGTCGACCGACTTTACTTCTCGTATGTTTTTAGGTAAATGCATGCAATATTCATAAAAGTACATTTATGAATTTAATCCATTCCCAGAGACGGGTCATAACTCGAAAATTCGTAAGGCGAAACAAATTTTCCCATAAGAAATATGTAAATTTAATTAATCCATTCCACACACTCAAAAATCTTAACTTCAAAATACATTTCATACATAATACACACACACATTTTATTCTATATTACAGTATGTATAAGTTTTACCTTACCTCTTATTGATGACTCTTGTTGACATATAGAATACAGCATTTGCTCATCTCACTGTCACTGTAAGGCCAGGTTTGTCCTTAATGTTCCTTGCTGTATGTGTATTATTTTCTTTGCAGTGTTGTGGTCTTGGCTCCAGCATCATTGTACTTGGAGGAGGCCTTCGAAGTGCTCCACTTTCCTCATGCAATGCGCTATGACTTTTATGCTGGCTGCCTCCTGTCAGGAGTGTTGGGACTCTTCCTAAACCTCTCATATATGAAGGTAAGCCCAATGCATTTATTACTTAGATCTTGATCTATCAATAAATAGACTAGCTAGTGACCATAATAATTGAGAGGATCCTACACAATGTTGTGCCATAAACAAAGTTTTGCTTAGCTCATTTTAATTACCAATATTATAAAATTAGGAAGAAATATATAAAAGTATAATGATATGCTTGGTCTTTTTATGAGAGATTTCTTCAATAATTGGTTTTGCTCATACTGTATTTCCATACAATACAACAAACTGCTACTTCTGTTACAAAATTTATTTCCCAGCAGCAGCCATCAAAATTAATAACCTAATGTGGATTTTTGATGATTATGGTATTCCTTCAAATACTGAACCATTGATGAAATATGATACAAAATTTTTTTAGTACTGTACTGTACTGAAAGGATGTTTGCTTATGAAAATAAAATTTCCAACCTGTTTGGTATTAGACACTTGGTAGGAACTTTGGTGTATAATCCATCTGCTGAAAAAACACATCATCATTTTAGGGCAGTTAATTGGGGATACTTCTCTGTTGCCTTAATGCACTAAAAGAACCTTTTGTACTTAGTTCATTTTCTGATATTTAAATAATGAGCATTGATGCTGTATGTAGCCTGTCTGTGACAATATATTTGCTAACTCTTGTTTTAGAAAATGTAACATTCATTTTTTTCTTGCTAACATATCCTCTAAGAGTATTGACTTGGTAGATGTATGCATTGTATTTTCCATAGTTCAGATTCATTTTGTATTGATTTGCTAGTCTTAGGGGTTCATTTTTTTTAAATTTGAAGGCTGTTATTAGAGTAACATGTTTATATTGGCAATATTTGGGTAATAACCAGGGACTTTTAAAAGTTAAAGTTCAGCTGTTATTGGGTAGGTAGACAACCATCATTGCCAGTCATTTTTAGGTGAAAATAACTAATTAATAACTAACTAATAACTAATTAACAACTATAACTAATAATGTTATATAACTAATTAATGTTACCAACTCGTGTATTTTACTATGTATTGTCAGTGCACTGCTCACATAGTAAGGCTCTTTTAAGTCAATATATTTATTTAATTTTATTTTACACTTGATAACTAATTTTGCAGGTTCGAAGACATAACTACTTTTCAATAGTAGATGCATCGGGAAGATTGCTGACATCTCTCCTCGCGCTTGCAACATTTGCTGATGTAACGACAGTCACTGTTAAAATATTAGTGTGCATTAATCTTGTCTCTGCAGTATTTGTGCCTCTTCCCACTCTCAAAGATGCTGAAGGGATGGATGAGGTAAACGAACCACTTAAAGAAGGAGTGTGAAAAGTGTGTTTGACTGCATCATTTAACGCAGCATCAAGTAATGTGAATATCGTATTACATAGTATTGCATAAAAGTAATAGTTATTTATTTTAAATGCATTTTGTTAATATTTACTGTGGTACTGTATTATAATTTAAACTGTTATTTATATTGTTAGATAAAATTTATGATTTGTTATATGTTTATCTGGAGGATTTATGCTGCAGATTTGCACAGCATAGCAGCTTGAGCTTTAATAATTCATCTCATTTTGTTTATCATTCCTCTCATCATCAAGAATGGTCTAAACTTTAGGTCTTCCTTCAGAAAGTGTAGCATATATTATATTGTACCTGTAATCATTATAGTTATAGGTAAATAATGGGAACATAGGTACTATAGGTTCAAATAATGTTGAAATAAGTTTCGTTGGGTAGAATGGGAATAATTTTCAGTAACATAAAACATTTTTAACATAAATTTTTAGTGAATAAGACTTGCTGGATATTTTACTGTACTCGTGTTAATTTGATTAAAGTAGATATACAGTACAATACATGTTATGTGAACAGAAATATTGCCCAAGAAGCTCAATTTCTTGCAAAGGCAGCCATTGTTGTAGCAGCCAAGATGTGCTTGCTGGGTAGAAAGGGTTGTTTGCATCTTCAATGAATGTATGACCATGTGTATGTATATATGTATGTACAGTATCTGTAGTTAGTCACAGACTTTTTGTACATGTATAATTTAGTCACTCTGATTTGTTTAGATTTCCAATACTGTATTTCTTAATACAGTATCTCAGAATTCATGTGATTATTATGTGATTCCTTCCTCCTTCACTAAGTCTGCAGGGATTGATTTGTTACATAACGTAGCATACCTTAGGGCGAAGTACTGTACAGGTTATCGATTGTCATTACTTCATTTAATGGTTCTTAACCTCTAAATTACCCTATCAGAGACTATTGTTTCTGTAATCCATTTTTTTCCAGTGTTGTACTTACAGCAGTGATTGAACTTAAGGTTGAAGTGTTTAGCCTGTGACCCTGAAGTTGATCCCTCCATTCATCTATCCCTGTACTTGTAACATTATGTATTTAACAGTTTCTCTCCTCTTTTTCTTATTTGTATATACTGTACTTTGAGGATTCCTCAACTTTTCCTAATTGTTTTTCTTTGCAAACAAGTGGCAATGGGTTCACTTATGTTATAGGCAAAACCAGCATTTAGCACTCTTGATCAAATGTTTCGGCATCTCTTTCGAATTTCTATTAATATTTGGAGGAGGCTGAAATGTCCGAGACACGCTGCATTAGGCCATCCCTCTCGTGAAGGGAGCTCACACGTAACAAAGTATCAAAGAATATAGACAGATCTGAACTCTCTTCTGTATGCATTTATAACTTCTTTTTTGTTTGTTAATACTAACTACAACTTGGCTCATAGATGGCCTGAATCTCGACTAGTTCTCCTGATAAATATATAATATATAGAGAGTTTCAGTACCTGCCACTGAGAAAGGTTCTTGCATATATATAATTGTATTTTTTATGGGAATCATTCATATCTTTGTTAATATATAACTTTGTTGAATTCTGTATTATATAACAAATGTGTGCTTAGTTTATTCAAAGTAATTTTATAGATGTGTATTATTTACTTGAGATTCTATTTTGTATCAGTGTAGCTATGTTATTAAAATTTTACGAAACTTTAGCATTTTCTTAAAAACGCAATAATATAGAGAGCAATATAGGTGGGTACATGTGGCTAAACATTATATCGAGTAGGCTTTTGCTTAATCTCTTAAGTACAGTATTAAAGAATTTGTTTTATACTTAATATGCATAATAGTTGTTATAATCTATATATTGTAGTAATGTACCTTAAAAAACTTTAACATAAGGCTAATTTGAAAATATAGTAGCATTTTAATATATATATGTGTGTGTGTATGTATATATGTTGAATAAGAAGGGTAACATTACAAAATCCTGGTGTATACATTAACATCAAACCAGTCACTCATTACACATGCTCTTCTTCCTACATAGACACTTGTCATGTACCATTGGTCACTTGACAATCATGTGGTCCCATTCTGATTTTTTTTTTTTCCAAGAATTATTTTTGTTTCTTTGTTAGCCAATTATTTAATCAGTTGTATGGAATTTTTCACTGTGATATGGCTTGTTTATTCCTGCCAAATGATAAAAGCACTGTAGCTTCCCAGCCTATTAATGATACATGACACATGGTGGACCTTTTGGGAACATGGAAGCCAAATTTACTTGCCAACTCATTGGTCATAGCAGTAGTCTGACTCATTGAGGAATGAGAAAAACTCCTTGCTTTACAATCACTTTTATTCCTTTGCTTATACTGTGTATGATGAATGAAAGGCAAACATTTTGATATAAAACTACTACTATGACATTGAAGATGATTAGTCATGTCAAAGTTATTCTAAACTGACAATTTTCCTTAACTACACTTACACTCCTGAAGTTTGATGATGACCAGTCTTCAATTACAGATGTTCAAGCTTCTGCTTACTGCCACATGTTAACCTTATTCTAATTGCTGGCGAGGATGTGTATAGTGTTGATAAAATCATAGATAATATAATGATTCTCACCTTTATAGGAACAAGCTAAAAATAACTTGCTTAAACACTGTTAGATGAGAAATTTCATGCAAAACACATTAATGAAATATTCCTATACAGGCTTCTCGCAGTCCTCGGTGACCCACAAACTCGCATGATTTGTACAAGACCAGATTGTGTTTCTCTATTTGAGGGGTGGGGGTCCATGGGCTGGTGATAGATGGAGGGTGCAGTGTTTACTCCAGAGATGAATTACAAAATGAATGACTGCAAATATAGTACACACATTAATTTATTTATTCATGTAATTAACCACTTCACTATTCAAAAACAGCTAAATTTCACAAGCAGGATAAATCTATAATTCAAGGTAAATAATTTGCTGTTTTTATTACGTCTTTAAAATATTGATTTTGTGAGGATTTTTAATGCATCTCTATCATTGTACCTGTGGAATATCTCGCTTTATGTTACAAACAAATGCTTTACGAACACAATCTCAGAACATAACATGTTTATAGGACAAGGACTCCCTGTACTGATGTTCACTAATAAGTAATACACATTTGTTGTTCACAAACTTGTCAGAAAAACACTTTGTATCTTATAAGATAAAAATCTTGATTTGTAGTCAGGAAAAATTGCCAGTGCAAAACCAGTTTAAAGACACCAAGGGACTTTCCAATAAGAAATTATTTATTTATAAAATATAGATTATTATTTCCTATTTTTAGAACTCGTGAAACATGCACACTTTTCATATCTGATTAATAAGCTTATATATATATATATACTTTAAGTACTGTACATGCACACACACATTTTCACAAATAAAGGGTTGTCTGCAAATGAACACAATACAGTACCATTAAAAGAAATCCGAAGCACATTTCCTAGCATTTTCTGCGTTGTTCTCTTGCACCGAGGCACTTTTGGGTCTCCTTGGAAGATTGAGCAAGTTGTCTGTGAGTCCCAACGACAGCTCGCCTTCAACAATCCCTCCAGCAGCATTTGTTGCTTTCTTCTGGATTTGGAGTTTTGGTGTGATGCTTCTACCTGTGGTAGGAAGGAAGGCAATACTGGGCGTTACAGCACCTGGGGTGGCTGATCCGTGCCGTATACTGGGAGACGGCGTGTAAGATGCTCGCAGAGCTTTATCTGTGCTTTGTCCTATCCCAAGCTTAGTTGTCAGGAGTCTTTGTGCTGCTGGTGACATTGATGTTACTCTTTCCAAGGATGACTGTTGACCAAACTTGTTTGATGGAGTACCTAAGCTGTACTTGGCTGCCAGCATTGCTTTAATTTTCTTGTTCCTGTGTTTTTGACTTGCTTGCTCAGCTAATTTATGCCCTAGACGGTCCCTGAAACAGTAAAAAAATTTTAAATAAAAAATTGTATTATTAATTTAAAGTACAAAAATGTTGCTTACCCCTCTGCTTAGTCCACAAGATGTGTACCAACTAATTTTGCTCTAGGAATGGTTAACATTCAATATTTAGTACCAGGCATTTCCCACTTTTGTTTGAATCATTTTGTGCATCACTGACAAACTTATTCCTTATCAAAGAAAGCGCATACAAGAAACAATTTTTGAAAATTCTAAATAAATGATTCCTTAACCAACTTAAAAGATTATACAATAGATAAAGGCACTACAGTACTTGGATATACTGTAGGTCCATGGAGCAACTACACTATATGAATACATACACAACAGGATAATGTAACTTGCTTGAATAACAGCACAATGATATTCCATATCCTGTATCCAAGACAGTGCTTAATAGGCTCCTTTCATAATAGCGCAATGCCTTATGGGTCTGTATCAATGTATTCACAATCCCTAGGTTAGTTAAGGGTTTATTATAGACAATTCTTATCTTTAGGTGCTATTAAAAAATGGTTGTATTTCTGATAATACAACACTTCTTTAAGAGCAACACACACCAAAAGAATTCTGTATAATGAACCCTTACTTAATCATTGTGGATAAATTTACTTGTAATAAATACTTACTATATAGATACCGGGGGTATAGATATTTGGGGTATCTGCCTGTGCCTAGATCTCTCTCTCTCCTCCCCCTTCATTTCTCTTCCCCAATACTTCCCTCTCCTCTATTTTATATTTTCACAAGTAAGTATAGGAACAGAATTTCTGACTCCTGTTAATAGGTTGAGAGCTTACCCTCCCCATAACTCATGGTAAGTCTTACCTCACTACATTCCCTGGAACATGACCCATGAATCTATTTACAACCAGGTACCCAATTATTGCTGGTTGAACAGAGGCAAGGTGTTACAGATTGGCACCTAGTCAATCCTCCCTGTCTAGGACTCTAACCTAAATCAAATCGCCTGCAGAGACAAATGTGTTACCAATGCAGCACCTGGGACTTTTTTTTTTTCTTCTCCTCCCTCCCAGAAAATTTAATACTGTAAAGCACTGAAACACTGCTAAAGAACTATGGAATCCAAAACCCTAATTTCTGATCATGAAAAATGCAGTGGGTTACTATAGATGCCAACATTTCTTACAGGGTGGCACTGAGGTTAACCCCCAACTGACCTTTGACATAATCCCCCCCCCCCCCCGCCCATAATCCTATGACATAATCCATCCCCTTAGTCAAAAGAGGAATTGACGAAGTACCAACACTGGGAGGTTCAGAGAGAAATCATGCCTGAAACTCCTATTATAATTCAATGATTGGTTATTTCAGTGGAAATATTGTAACCAACATATGTAACAGCTGAACAGACAATGGCGAGGGTGGACTTTTATATAATTCTTAGCTTGTGTAACCGTTTCCATGTTCTGTTGTTAACACTACATGCTTCGTCCAATCTTGCCTTTCACTTAAAAATTTCAGCAACAGTAATGTGGTAGCAAACACTAGTGTTAAAAAGATATTTCATATTTTTTCTGAATTAATCTTTAGAGTAAAATGAGTTACCAACACCAGAACAAATGCTGTGGAGCACCAGGGTGCATTAAGTTTCTAATGGCCACAAGGATGATTGCATAAACTGAACAGTTACTAGATAATTTTTTCAGATTGATAACAAAATGAAAAGTCCATTTCAAAGTGATGCAGGTGTACACATACAAGGTGTTATGATATTTCTGCAAAATATTCCAACCGGATTGAAGATAAAAAAAATAATTTTGCCTTGTTGGGGGCTATTTTATATGCAACAGGACAATTTAATTACCAGTATCTCAAGACAAGACATACAAAAAATACCAAATTAATTTCTTCCTACTGTATATACCAAAGACGCTAGAAATATAAACATATTCTATACCTGTTGGGTACTTGTGGTATTCTATATGATGGTCCTTGTGTTTGTTTCTTTAGCAGCGGTGTCTGGTTGCCATCCAGCTGGAATGGTGTCCCTTCCACCTCTCCCCAAGTCATGAGAGGAGAGGCATCCATCCCAGGAACAGGAGATGGTGCAGTTACAAAACTATAGCCATTCACCCTTGGAGTGTCCTTACCAAGTTCTTTTCCTGAAAGATTTACCAAAATCACATTATGAAACTGGTACTGTAGTAAATGTAAAATTATAAATTATTGTTGAAATTGACAGGTTCCATGGTATTTAAAACCCAGACCGACAGAAAATACACCAGCCTGGAACTAAGCATCCGAGATACAGTACAATGTATCGCAAAAGTAGTGGACAGTTTTATAACTACATTATACACAATCCTCATAAACTTGGGCCACCATCTTCCCCAAATTTCTCTAGTGAAGGCAATTTTTTTTTCATATGGGTACCTATGACTACAGTATAAGATATATGTAACCTTTCATTATATTTTTCCCTTGGGTTAATACCAACCCACCCTACAAAATTCAGAATTGCTGTAGTAATAATTACTAAGTTAATGATTACGACCTTGGCTATGTGCACAACTGAAAGTGGCGAGATTAATCAGAACTGTTTTCTCTTTAAAAACACAATTTGTTACTAATTTTACATTCCCAATTACCTAGTAATCAAGGTCCCCAATTATTAATGGGTGCCCAGTGGGCAAAACAGTAAAGGAATGATGCCCAATTATATTATACCTTCCTTCATTTCCATACCACTGTATTAGGCAACGCTTCCAGAATAACATAACTGGTTCCTGGTTATTCAGCCCAACTGCTAGTCAGAGACTAGCATCTGGGGTTGTTGAACGTTGGTGCCAGGTACCCCCAAATGTTTGCTAACTTATTTCTTAGGATCCAGAGATTTAAAATGAAATATTACTGGACATAATAGCAGAGTATGTCGGTACACTCTCATGGTATTTTCATACTGTTTGCCAACTTTCTTTTTTCCCTCCAAGTGCATCTGGATACTAGTTACTAGACACCCATGTTTGTTGGAAACAACTGACTGTTAAGGCTTGATATTACTATGCAAGGCAGAATGGTCTGTTTGGCATGTGTCGGTGGCATTTTAAAATTATTTGGAAATTTTTTTGATTTACAAAATGGAAACTCACCATCAACACCAACCTTCCCCTCCTTCTTGCTGGCTTGAACTGCTGAAGCTTCTAGCATGGCAGCCCGACTCAGCGTCTCGGTAAAAGGATTCCCATCAAAGCGTGTATTTGCTAAATCCACTTGTCTTTTCTTCTGTTTCGCTAATTCAATTTGTTTATCTTGTGACAATGGCGCTCCTATAAACAGACAATAAATATTAACAAACTGATTAATCAAAAAATACATTAACTACAATAGCTTAATTCATGAAAGGACCTGATGCATGAAAACCAGTAAATTTAGTGACAATTCAATATTGAAAATGGGGAGTGAAGAGGTATAGAAAATTGTGAATGAGTTCAACACAGAGTGCAAAAGAAGAAAGTTAAATGCTGGTAAGAGTAAGCTGATGGTATCATATACTGTAGGCAAGTGTATCATACAGAACTAGATTTTCACTCCTTCACAGGACAAACATAAATGGTGGTGTGTAAGATTAGAACTGGATGGCTAAATTATTGCAGAAAAACAGCCAATAGAAAAATAAACATACTATAAAGGTTGTATAGTGTGCAATGAAAATACTATACAATCTTTGCAATGGTTGAAGTCCAAAATGAATTGGTTTATTCAAGCATAATTTCATTAATGTGGGAAAAATTACAATACATAAATAATAATGTTCAGTTTTTTTTGTTAATTCTGCACTTCAAATCGTTTTCAGCCATAATACATTACATAATGAAGTGTAGAACACTTGGGAGGCACCTATAAGAATGCAATCCCATAACTGCATACAACACAAAATTGTTGTAAAGATTTAAGAGGACAGAGCATAGTACAGTACAGTACAGTACAGTACTGTGCTTGGGCATAACACACCAAGATTTGCTGCTTCTGATATCGATCTCTCAGAGTGAAATACAAACATGATACGAGTCAAACGTACTGTACAGTGTATATACCATAATATACAGCAGATAAATATTAGGCTCTTGAAATTTTCAGCATTTAACTTGATGAACATGACCTAAATATGCAGGATACAGACAAGGCCAAAGATAAGGGAGGGGTAACAGAGTGGGCTAATTTAAGATATTTCAACTGTTTGCACATTCAACATAGTATAGAAATATTTTATCTAAATTTTGGATGGACATGTATAGTTTTCTGTCTTAACTGTGGATGGATGATAAGACCAAGGGTAATATACAGAAGGTAAATTATGATGAATTAGGATAACAGGTAGACAGCTAACATTATGAAAATGAAGTTCAAGCAAAATAAGTTCCAAACTGATAGAAGATTGTTAAGATAGGGATGCCTGCAAGCATTTCTGCACAACCCATCCTCTCGTTTAGATAGTACTTTTTGTAACTATAGGCACCATAGTACAAACATTTACGTACTAAGCAATTAGATAGTAGAACTTTGTACTATTCATTTTATAGTCTGAAAAATAAACCTAAAAACAAATTTAAATATTCCTAGGCCTAGTATAGTGCACACATGTACTATATTAGGCCTCAGATAGCATGAATTAGGCCTTGGAAGGTTAGGTTAGGTTAGGTTAGTTTGTCTTTGCAGCATAAGTAGAAAATCATTTTCCGGTTTGTCCAAAATCAAAATCAACAATTTCTACTTTCTAATTACGTTGTACATCGTTATATGTACTACGGTCCTCATCCTTCCTATAAGTACCACCAAAACAGGAGGATGGGCTGTTCTGCATGAACACTGTTTTTGGGAAGAACAAGAATTGCTCAGAAATATTATAATAGATAGTATATTCAGCAAATATTACTATTAGAAAAACTGTCAATACATGAATGCAAAACATCTACTACCAGCATACTGGGTAAAACAAGGCAGTCCAACCAGTAGGTCATATGCTGGCAGTAAGTAGTGACGTTTTGGATAATGGAGGAGTTTCTACATTATTGATGGAAAACAAATTTTCATAATGTGAACATTATTTTCATGTGTGCGAAACTGCTGCACAGTTCATATAAAGAATCCGTTTCAGTTATATGTATTGCATGTAAGAATAGTTTTGGTCAAAACAGTCCATATTTTTCATCCTTTCAAAATATTAATGTGGCTTACCCTTGAAGATTAATTGGTAGGAATCTTAGCTCCCAGCTGATCAAAAGTTAGCCAACTTTGGAGTAAATCGGTACATACACATTGGAATAAAAATAGGTACAGTACTATGAAATTACTCTTGGCATTAACTGACAGAAAAACAAACCTCTATGTAGGAGAGTAAAATCTATAAAACAGAATGTGTATCTATTTGCTTGTCCATTCAAGGTTGGGGAGGGTCCAGATGCTCCAAGTATCTGGGTCTAAGATTAGAAAGATGAGGAGTAAAGGTGGTGGTGAAGGGTAGGAAAGTTGATGAACAAAGGAAATGGTGGTGAATGGTGGGGAAGATGGTGAAGAGTAGGAAAGATGGTGAAGGGTAGGGAAGATAGTGAAGGGTAGGGAAGATAGTGAAGGAGAGGAAATACAGTGCAGAGAGGAAGTAGTGAAGGGTATGGAAAGTGGTTAAGGAGAGGGAAAGTGTGTGTGTAGAAGATAGCTTCTACACTGTCTTCTACACTGATAGTTTCTACGCTTTTAAGTGGTGAGAGTATGGCATCCGTCACCCTAGTAATGCTGGGTACCACTTCCAGTAAAGCTATAAATGATAAACAAATACCTCCTGCAGTATAATAAAAGAAATGTTCAGTTTAAAAGCCTACTGAACTACAATGTGGTGAAAATGTTAATACAAAGCCTTACCATCAGGTACAAACATCACAGAATTAAAGGTTTGGTAGTTCCAATTTTCTAACTGTTTGGGTCTAGTATCATTCTGTACTGATGTGCCGGTAATGGAAAGAACCGCTGCTTCTGCCTGTTGCTGGGCTGTCTGAGGTATTAAATTGGGTACATGTTCTTTGTTGTGCTTCTCCTCTGCATCAAACATCCACGCATGCTGCAAATAAAAGATTAATAGTGTTCTTGTGAATATATGAACTTTTGAGTAATTACATGGCATCTGAAATACAGTATTAATAAGAAAGAAAATGATTCAATTTGTAAAATACTGGATAAATTAATATCCAACATAAAATTAACTAGACCCTTTACTACCGAATCATCCAGGTGAGCAAAATGAACTACTGTATTAACAACCACATGGGAGGCTTTGATTCACTCTCTCATGAGTTTAATTTAAAATAAATTGTCTTATTACGTTTACTTGTAAAAACTGATGTTGTACAGTATAATAATGTACTGTACATTTATCCTATACCATTTAGCTAGATCCAGAGCATGACATATAAACAGACCCAGTGTAATTTTGATGTAGACAAAATAAGAATATGTCTCTACAACATTTTAAACTTTATCAATAATATACAGAAATTTGTTTCTGTATACAATACACTATTGTTTTATGTTGTGATTGATAAATTGAAATGAATGATACAGCCTTTATCCACACCTATTTTCTTAAGATTTATCTTGGAAAAATGTGAGATTTTCAACAAAAGTATAAATGAGGATTATGGATTTGATTAAGTGAAGCAAATATACTTCTGGGAGTTTAAAAATATTTAAAGAATGCCCAAAAAGAAAATCTGATAGAGCACTTTATAATAGAGTACAGTACTGAATTATCAGAGATGAAGGAACACAAATTACTTTTATGACAGGAGACAAAATTAAAAATCTGAGAAACCAGTATGCAGTATAACCATAATTACTGGATTCACTAGGTGCCTGAGCTTTTTATAACATTATATTTACCAACAAAAATTAATTATGGAATAGAAAAATAAATACAATTAAATTACCATTTCAGTGTAAAATACTGATAAAGTGCTTCATATTATTACAATTATCACTCATCCATTCATATGAAACTAAGTGGAAAAATACAAATAAAATTTGTATATACCATAATATGGTACATGAATAATGGTACTATTATCTGGTATTATGAGGATTAAATTTACCTTTATCTTAAATCGTCTTTCATTTTCCTTCATTATTTCTTCAAAGCTTTCATTGTCCTCACTTGTGTGTGACTCCAGGAATTCATCTAATGACATTTTACCACTCTGAGAGCTTTTGTCATCATCCTCAGCAGCATTTTTCATCACTTTATTCTGAGGATCGAGCGGGTCGTCTGAAGAGTAATCAATACTGGGTGTTCCACTTCCTCCTCGTTTCGAGCGCCCTGTGATTGGAGTCTCAAAAGTGGCAGGACTGTCTTCAACATTTTGTAGCATGGGTGGATCTTTTGCTACAGAATACTTTGAGTAAAATTCTCGAAGTCTCACCACATCATTGGTTTCCTTTGCCTCCAAATAGTCTAATTTTTCCTTCAGGGTTTCCAAATCAGGGAAGAAATCTCTTTCAATTATTTTCTCAACTTCCTGAAAGATAAAAAAAAAGAAATGAATTTGTTCATGTTACAGTTCAGTGATATATTTTAACTACAGTACTATAATGTACTGTATAAAAATAAGTAGAAATTAAACTTTTGCAATAATCAGGTAGTGATCAATTATTACTTGCCTGAGAGGACTAAACAGTACAGTAAAATATTACAATAATATATAATTACAAATAATTAATAATACACTATAAAACCAGATATTTTTTGATCACAGCTGATCAAGGAAAGTATCCCCGGTTCCTATGTCAGGCATATCCAACAGTAAAATAAATATTATGAATGATGTTGTACTACTGCAAACCACTAAGCCAGTGTGATTACATAGCACTTGTAAGGAATACAAGGACAAGGACCTGGAATACAAGGATGGGGTGGAAGGACAGGTCTTCCTCAGCTGATTCAGTCCCTAGATAGTTACAGATGTGAAATAAATCCATTAGCACTGAGTACAGTATATCAATGTCACAAGCAATAAATATAAGTTAGTGTGTTCAAAATAATGATGTGCTGTGAATAAATTACAAAAGTAGCAAAATAAAATAAGGAATACAGTTTAAAAAAAAATAAAAGGGGAAACACTTACCCTAACATATGTGTCTTCATCCAAGACCTTTTTCCTTTTACGAGCTGCTGGATGAATTGGCTTCTTGAATATCTCTACATTTTGTTTAGCTGTTTCCATGGCCATTTCTCCTGGTACTGTTTCTGCATCACTCTCTGCCATACTGTTTATAAAAGACATCTATGAATTAATATTCTATTCAACTGGAAAAGATCATCACAGCAAATTTGGGACCTTTGACAAGCCGCTGACTTCCTGTCCTCATTAAGGCCACTAGTGTTAATGGCCCTCAGATAAATTTAGGTAAATTAAAAAAATTATTTCCAAGTATTTTTTATTACCAGTTATTGTGAAATGGAACATCTCTAGACCTAATCTACCCTTACTAAATTAAACAAAAACTTAACCATACCCTCCCATCTAATAGTGCATTGACTTTAAAAATAAAAATAAAAGATGTTTGGTATAAGGTGCTGAACTTAGCAGTAAATAAGTACTTAGGAGATAGTCGACTGTTTTGAGTTGCATCCTGGGAAAGGTCAACTGTCTGCCAAGGAGTATCTCATATACATAACAGATTCCCTGTCCCACAACAATAAATGGAAACCAGTGGTACGACATTTAGTTTCTCAATTACTGGGCTAGGTTTTGAACTCGACTCCACAACAAATAGTGTATACAACACTGGTCTCATATAATGTTGCCCATTTTAAAACTCGTTTCTAACATAAATTATGTATAGTAATGTTGACCAAACCACACATTAGAAAGTGAAGGGATGACGATGTTTCGGTCTGTCCTGGACCATTCTCAAGTCAATTACGTACAGTAATATTAAAGAGTACAGTTTAGCAATATCTTTACCAACTAAATATAAACAGATCTAACCTAGATTATTAAACAATCTAGAAAAATATGGCTAGTACTGTATGTAGGATTTGAAATGGAGTGTTTTTGTCCTAATGCTAGGTATACTAAATATGTGATAAAAACTTGATTGCATACTTCTCAGAAATGTGGCATTTTATTTTAAAACCATCGATTAAAAATGTCTGGAGTGCAATCTATGTTTTATCAACATCTTCTTAAACCTGAGCAAAATCAGATGTTTCATCAGGGAAAGTCACCTACTTTTCCAACCTACCACTTGTAGACACTCTGAGCTTGGTTATGTTTTAGCTAGGTAAAGTCTAGGTTAGACTAGGGTTAAGATATAATAAGTATGGTTAATTTAGGTTCGGAGCAAGTTATGAGGCAACTAGGCAACAATCATAAAATCCCAAGCACCATAGGGTACAGTTATTTCAGTAAATTTTGATTTATAACTACAGATTTATAACTTGGTGTACGGTATATCGCCAGGGGTAGTAAAATCTTAAGACTAATCAAAGAGAACCCCTTACCTAGCTTAACCCAGGGATTGTGAATACAGTATATTGCATACAGGTCCTTAGGAGATCTTCCATTTCACAATAATAGTTGATGACAAACACTTATCCTATGATTAACAACACAACATCTGTCAGCTATAACCTAATCAACCTCTTATATTATTAAAAGGAATGTCACTTGGCAATTTATAATACTGAATAGGCTACAATATATGCAAACTAAAAACCCTAAAAAATTTAATGATTGTAGATACAGTTAAATTATATTAAATGTTGTACTACATGGATTCTGGTCCATATACGATGCTACGTGTGACACGATAATATATCGAATGTATTTAAAACAAACACATTTTATACATGTACCGTAACTAATGATAATTATGTCTTTCCGTTGTGAGCAAGTTTTAAGACGTTCTGAACAGATCCGAAAGTGGAAATCGAGTGGGCCTATTGCCCAATGCTAACATTCCAAAACTTCTACCTAACACACGCTCCTTAAAACTTGGGGATATGTAATTACATTGCCTACAGATCATAATAAATACATTTGTACTCTATTTATACATTAAAACGGCAAAATCTTTGGTACCTACGATTTTTTTTCTTTCAGTGGACGGTCATAAGTGACGAAGAAAAACATATCATACTATAAGGTAAAAGGTAATCACCGAGACAAAAGAACATCGCCTCTTGAGGAGGCTTGTGTAAGGGGGTTGAATTTTTGGGATCGGATTTAAAGCTTAATAATTAATTAATAAATCCTTCGGAGGCTAATAGGTGGGGGTAGAAATAACCTAAGCTACTCTATCCCTTTGAGATGTATTTTTTCTTTTTTCTTTCTCAATAAACATACTTGAACTTGAGGCTAATAGAATTTTCCCCTGATAATTCTCCCATGCAACAAAAATAATTGTAATGGGAGAAAGTCACAGCACATCATCAAATGATGGGTCGTCGGGTTATTTATTAAATATTAATGAATATTTCAAGATCGAGTTACTCCAGGATTTATTACAGAGGCACATAATGAGTTACTCCAAGATCGAGTTACTGACCCTCCTCCCAATTCAACTCCACAAAAGTTGTCAAACTCCCGGGTACCTAATAAGTAACTGCTGGATGAATAGGTGGGATTAATAGATTAGGTGAAAGGAAACATGTCCATTCATTTCTGTCCCGGGAATCGAACCCGGGATCTCCGAGTATGTGCCGAAAACGGAGCCAACGACTAAAGACATACTTCACTATTGTGAACCAAAACACTACTTTACCGTATATCTAAGCCTAGCTCCACGAAACCCACAAAATATATATACATATATATAATAAATATAAATTAATGTTTGAAATAAAACACTTTGGTTATTGCATTGTTGAAATATTCTCTCGGATGATGAGAAAATGGTGGTTTAGCCCAGAGTGGAGCAGAAGGTCAAGAGAAAGCCTGGATGTGAGGCTGCAGTCTGGGAACCGGTGTGAGAGCTAGCGAGAGCCACTCTTAAATTAATTAACGAACATATGTTTAGGGGACAATCATTCGATAGTATACATCTGAGCTATGTATACAAGGCTGATGAGACACAGACGGCCTTAGTATCTCTCTTGATTGATTGATGAAGATTAAGCCACCCAAAAGGTGGCACGGGCATGTAAGTGGTGGCCCTTTTGAGCCATTACCAGTATCAAGAGCTGATACTGGAGATCTGTGGAGGTGCGACTGCACCCTGCGTGACGGCAGATGTCTCCCGTGACTATCTCTCGTCATAAATACGCGCTTGTTGCTTCATTAAACGTATTTTTGCTTTGTAAATCCTATATTGGTTGAGAAAGGTGTTAAAAAGAGAAAGATAATACTTTTGACCTCTCCTGAAGCATTTTCTCTATTAAGTCTTAAACAGTCAAGACCTACATGCATATATAATAATAATAATTAATTGTGTCGCGGGGACAGGAAGCCAGAATGTATGCATGATCACACTGCTTATATCGAGGTTGCCTCCCAAGGTTAAATTACTGACCCTGTCCAGGATACAACCCCACAACTAGCTGACTAACACCTGAGTACCTACTTACTGCTAGACGAACAGAAGCATTAGGTGAAAAGAAATGTGCCCAACCATTTCTGTCCCGCCCGGGATACACATACACATACACACATGTATGTGGGTGGGTGTGTACTCACCTAGTTGTGCTTGCGGGGGTTGAGCTTTGGCTCTGTGGTCCGCGTCTCAACGTCAATCAACTGATGTACGGATTCCTGAGCCTATTGGACGCTATCAAATCTACACTTGAAACTGTGTATGGAGTCTGCCTTCACCACATCACTTCCTAATGTATTCCATTTATTAACTACTCTGACACAAAAAATCTTTCTAATGTCTCTATGGCTCATTTGGACACTCAATTTTCACCTGTGTCCCCTATTGCGTGTGCCCCTTGTGTTAAATAAATTGTCTTTGTCTATCCTATCAATTCCTTTGAGAATCTTGTATGTGGTAATCATTGGCATCTGACAGCTTCATATACTTCACAGATGGATCAGTAGACCAGCAGGGACAAGAAACCGGAGCTGCAGTTAAGGCAGGAAGCTCTGTAAATAGTTGGAGGCTCTCAAATGGGTGTTCAACATTACAAACAGAGATGCTAGCTATTCAAAAGGCTTTGGAACATACTCTTGCTGAACACCGACAACATGTTATCATACATACAGATTCAAGAACTGCCATTGAAACCTTGCAACAAGAACACATATGTGACAACATCCATCTAATCACAAATGTCATATCATTAATGCAAACACTCAAACGACAAGGCCGTCGGGTACTTTTCAACTGGGTGCCAAGTCATGTGGGAATAATAGGAAATGACATTGCAGACGAAGCTGCAAAACTTTCAACTAAACGAAGAAATATAGACATTTATATACCACAGAGTTTAACACTGCCATAGCTGACTAACTTCCAAACATTTCGCCCTGCCTGGGAATCGAATCCGGGATCAATCGGTTTTGTGTATGCATAGTCTTAAAATGCAATTATTACTCAGTCCGCTTCTCTGCGTATTATGATACTAACCTTTCCTCCTTCCTTCCAACTTAATTTCTCTTCTTGTTTGTTTACATGGCAGGTATGTTAACTAGGCTTTAGCACCTGAGGCTCACCGTTCCTGTGCCAGGTAAGTCCACTACGGGCTCACCATAGCCCGTGCTACTTGCCCCGCTCCTGTGCCAGGTAAGTTACGGGCTCACCATAGCCCGTGCTACTAGGAACTTGTTCCGAGTTGCTGAATCTATAATAACAACAACCCGAGGGTGGGTGGGCAGCAGGTGGGTCAGGCCGCCCAGTGGCCCACTTCCTCTCGTGGCGGACACATCGTCCCGCTGTTCTCCTCACACTCGCGTCCTCAGAGAACATAAGTGACAGAGTTGAGTTCAATGGAGTATTAATTAAGGAAGGCAACATTCACTCATCAGAGGAGGATATTGGTGCAGTTAAGAGCAATTTTGAAGCTAAAATAGATTAGTTATTTTCGTTGATTTATTTATATATATTTTTTAGTAAAGAATGAACATTTATTACTGCAAAGCACAAACAATAATTATTAATTTATACTTTTCATACAATCACATATCAAGTGATATATATATATATATATATATATACATTAAAATAATAAATAAATAGGCAGTCGTTCCTGGGACTAAGACATTAAATTAATTTAAATTGACGCTTTAAACTAGAAATCTGTCATTTATTAATGTGTAATGAGAAGTACATGCCAATAATTGTACAGTAATTGTAAAACATAGGTATATGCAGGTTAACCTAAATTCATTTAAGATAATTTAAAACCACCAAATTCTTCTTGGAATACACAATGTGAAACCTCATACATTCTTGGTCGAGTCGTTGTTGTTGTTATAGATTCAGCTACTCTGAACAAGTTCCAAGTAGCACGGGCTATGGTGAGCCCGTAACTTACCTGGCACAGGAGCGAGGCAAGTAGCACGGGCTATGGTGAGCCCGTAGTGGACTTACCTGGCATAGGAGCGGTGCTGTGTGGGGCTTGGTCGAGGAACTGGATCATATATTAAGATGCTGGCCATACGGGAAAAACGCATCTTGGTGACAGTGGTGTTCTTGGAAGTGACGTTCACAGCTCTGTGTGTTGGACTGGAGGATATACACAGTCTGCACCACCTCAACACCGGACACCAGCCTCTGCAATTGCAAGCCGGAGATGCAGCCGATGTTAAGAGCAAAGCTGTGGAACATCTGAGGCTGCAAGATGATGATGATGACTTTTTAGATGAAGCTGAAGCGATGAACGATAAAACTGCAGAAGTTTATTCTATAGACGGAGACATTGAAATGATAAATAGCACCAAGAATGTTTGGGAAGGAGTGACACAACACAGTGAAAATTCTTCAGAACACAGTGAAAATTCTTCAGACGAAGCAGTAATATTGAAAACCAGTAGTACTAACGAAACACTGAAGTGGATAAACAAGGAAACAAATCTTGAGAGTAACAACAGAAACAAATCAGATATGAACAAAAGTGCAAGTAATCGCAAAAATAAAATACATAAACTCTGGGATGCAGGAACAGCAGAAATGGAAGTAGATGTTTATAACAATAGTAAAACCGAACTCTTAAAGAATGTTAAGTGGTTTAATAAACCCGAGGCGGAGGAAGGTTCAAGTAGGGTACTTGAAGACGAAGCATCAGGTGAAGGAGAACAGGAAGGACTCCTTTCACAAATTAAGCAACACAAACTAGTGAACAGTCACGAAAGCTTCTCCACGTCTCTCCTAATGGACATCCGTGACACACTTCGGCAAGATCAGCACACTAAATGCGACCACACTTCCATAGACAGTCTTGAGCGACGACTAGATCACCTGAGAGACGAGAAAGAGGACGCCATCGGCAGGTTGTCCAGTAACGTTAACAGATTAGAAGAAACCATGAACCAGAAAATAAATCTAGTGCTAGAGACGTTTTCCATGCTGAAGCTGTTGGTAGCAAGTCAGGGTGACCAACTGACGGTGCTGCAAGAGAAGCTTCAGGGAGTGCAGGAGCAAACACATACCTTCGAAGTGCAGATGAATAGGTTCCAGCGATCACTACAAGAAGTCGAGAGCTCATTAAGATCTCACAAACCTCAGGTAGTCTTGAATTACAGCGATATCCTGACGGAGGAGAGTATTCAGGAGTCGCAACTGAACATCACTGAAATCGATGATAGGATTCAAGAAACAAAGTCTTCGCTAGACGACCTCACAGAAATAGTGAAGAATCTTACTGGAACTGTAAAATCCGTGAGAGACGAAGTGAAGGAAGTAAAAATAAACATTACAGAGCGTACTGAAGTTCTTGCTGCAACACTCTCAAAAGAACCCACTTCAGACAAACATAATACTGTAGATGCCTCTACAACCTGCCAGTGTTTTAGTAATGAGCTTCGAAATTCTTTAGCAAAACTGGAAAAAGTTCAAAATGAACAGAAGAGTGAACTTGATGGTCTTGCCAGAAACTTGACAACGTTGGAAAGCGAGCGTCGTGAGGTGGGCAATAAATCCTGGAGCTACAATCATCGCCTGGGCGAGGTGGAGAGCTTTAAGGATCTGAGCTTCGTCAAGAGGAAGGTCAACGCTGTCCAGGAGGAACTGCACAACCTCAAGCAAGAAATGGGGAGTAAAACAACTCTGACACCACAGCTTAGTAACGTTACAATTGAGGACAGCAGTGTTGAGGGTAAGATACGTTTATTTTTAGTGCATAAACAACAGCAGTGACTTGATTAATGTCTCTGACTTTCATAAACCTATACTATTTACTGACGATACTACCTTCTTATCAAACCTCAGCTCACGTACTAAATAATATTGTAAATAACGAGCTAAGAAATAGTCCACTCATGTCAGCCAACAAACTCACACTTAGAAAAGACCTACTATATTTTATTTGTAAATAAATCGTCAAATCAAGTATACCTTCAGATAGACGATGTAAACACTGATAGTAAATATGAAGAAAAGTTTCTTGGCCTATACATAGACAAGAGACTTAACTTTAGTACTCCCATTCAGCACATAGCCAAAAAAGTATCTAAAACTGTATACTCTAAAAAATCAGATATTATATCCCCTACTCTGCTCTTCTCCCATTGTATTTATCCCATAACTTATGGTATCTTTGCATAGGGTTCAACCCCTGCAAACTACCTAAAGCCCATCATCGCCCAGCAAAAAAATAGTATAATAAATTCAGGCAACACACAGGTCCTCCATTCAAATGCCTGAACATGCTAAAAATATCTACACATTCTCTTGTGCTAATTATTCTTACAAAGCCCTATTCATAAATTATAATCCTGTTTTGAAACTTCAAAGATGAATGTTATAGAACCCACCAGAAATAGATATATCTTTGATATTCTCAGTCAGATTAGTTTTATGCAAATACGCTATGCAAATAAAAGGACCCAGCATATGGAACTCACTTCCTAATGAATTAAAAAAAAAATTGTCCAACCTATACTTTATTCAAAAGTAAAACAGTGAGGTGTAGTGTAGTGAGGTACCTAATTTCATCTTCATAGTATCCCACCTTGTGCTGTTAACTCACACAGTAGTTTTGTATCTTATGCTACTAACTCATCTAGTATTTTACAGTCTAGAAATGCAACTTCATCACTATAATTTATTGCATGACCTCTTAATTATGCTGATGCAGTAAATATGTGGATTTATATTGTTACCATATACCTATCATTACGTTTACTGTATTTGTTATTCCATATTAAATATTCCTCTGTATAGCTTTAGGACCTGCTCAAGATGCTATGCGTGTTGGGGCAGGTCTGTGTACCCTCCACCTTAAGTAAACCTCAGATCACTAGGTAATCTACTATGCTCTGCTATTATGGTATGTACCCTCCACCCTAAGTCCTCCTGAACTCACTAAGTCATCCACTATGGCCTATGTTGTCCTCCTACAGGTATTTGTGTGTGGCCGTATCGTCGTGGCGGGGGTGGGTGTTACCACGTCAACAGGGAAGAGCGCTTGACGTGGCAAAGTGCAAGAGAACACTGTCGCAGCATCCAGGGGGACCTCGCTGCCCCACAACAATACAACCAGTTCAAGGTCTTCATTCTTAAACTCAGACGTGAGTTCTCTTAGTCTTTTAAGTTCTGGATGCAGCTTTCTCATTTAGGCATTTCACTAAATCACTTTAGCATCTTCTATATATGCGAACAAGCTTGAATGGTCCTCAAGCCAATATGCAACTGAAAACTCCACACCCCAGACAGCCAGGAGCACTATACACCTTGGCGTACCTGGTACTTTAACCACTAGACGACCGTGACTGTAAAAAAGTCATTGGTAGCCGAGGCTATATCCCCAACGACCCGACAGCACTTGGTCGGGTTGTGTGTGTGTGTGAAAATAATAAATACAGAGAGGATTCATGCTTAAACCATTGAGCTAACCCTTTATGTAGTATTCTTTCATACTCGTATACATATACATATTGTGGTCTTGACTAAAGCATTTATAAACAGATGTAAAACTTCCATACTACATACAAACCTTGCTGTGAAGCATGTATTTTTTTTTTCAGTTAGCCGAGCATACACCTACTGGATAGGAGCATCAAATGTTGGCAAGGAAGGTGTGTGGTCATGGATAGATGGTCGCGTTGTGAGCGAAGACGTGTGGGGCGGCACCCAGCCCGAGGACCTTCACTCTCACTGTATGGCACTCAAACCTGCATACAAGTTTGTGGCGTCTGCCGAGGGATGCCGAGAGAGCAGGTTTTTCATATGCCAGCAAGAGCGACTATTGTGATGCTAAAAGATTATTAATTATTAACAGATTTATCGTCTTGAAGAATTATTAAAGAAATTTTGTTTGTTGTTAATGATGTGGACTTTATATATTTTATCAACATATCTTATTATAGTGGTGTGAACTAACCTTATATGTTATTATTTATTGTACTACTTATTTATTGAAGACAGAAAATACATTTATACAGACCTAGCTTATTTTCCATTTCCCCAGCTCAATCCTTCCACCTCTATAATGAAGGGGGTGCGAGGCTGATTGCATTACAAAGTGGTGGGTAGTGAGGTTGCCACACCTCCTACCTACATGTACGCATGCACACGCAAACACACATACTATCTATACAGTATTTTGTAAGAAAGAATACCTATTTGTTTATCCAATGGTCTGACACGTGGGGTAGCCCCACCCAACTTGCTGGGTAAATGGTAAGGGGTATGAGCGACCAATATGGGGAGGTCGGGTCTTCCCCTTAGCTTCCATTAAATGGCTATCGGGTCTCGGGCACAACTATTTGGGGTTAACACTGCTGGGTACTGAATTTAACTGAAATATATTTTTCTAAGCATTTTTCTTATGGAATGATAAAGCTTTCCATTACATTACACAGTATAGATTTTTTTTAGTTAAAACTAGCATAGAAATTTTATTAAACCTAACATACCCAACTTAACCTGACCTATCCTAACAAAGTCAATAATTCATGTTCTTAATGTAATATTAATTGGAATAAACCAATATGAAAATTTATTTTCATTACCTTCAAAGATTTCTTTCCAAGTTGGTTTATTCCAATTAATATTATTACTGTATACTGTATTAAGATAATTAATAAACAACAGTTATGTTAATTTAGGTTAGGTAGATTATTTTAGGTTTGATCAAATTACTACCGGTATGTTAGTTTTGACTAAAATTAAAACATATATTTGCCTATATTATATATATATAATACTGTATATATTATACAAAAAGAGATGGTAAAATCTCGCAATATTAAGACTCCATACGAAATACATAAATGTAATGTGATTAAAAAGAGTAAGCAAGTGTACTGTATTAGTTTATTACAGTTACTGATTACAGTAGCTTCATTATGACTCAGACAGAGCAGTGCAAGATCTGCTTTTAATAGCAAGCCACTCCACTTATTATGTATAAAACTGAGGCTAACAACAATCATGGTATCATAAATCAAATAACAAATCTATACAAAGCCGACCCAGAGGACCGGCATATACTGTATGCACAACTTATGGTATAAAGGATAGTACAGGATTTAAGTAATCACTTAAGAGTAACAATCAAGAAACCAGTTAGGATAGATCATAGAAAACCCTGATGTAATCTGTAGTTTAAAAAAATATTTCCCATTAAAAATGGATACCTGACAAACTCTACTACTAATCCTATTAATACAATATCTACAACACTTCTTAATCCTAATCCAATTCTTTGTACATGGTTAAGTCTCACTAAGATTATGTAGCAGTGTGCAACAGCATATATTTTATATCTTCCAAGTTTGGATTTATAAACACATGAAGCACTTTAGAAAATGAAAACACACATTAAGCAAAGCATCAAATAATTTCATAACATTCTTTTATGTACACTATTTTCCTTTCTACAGATAAGAAAAAAAATCAATAAATCACAATATTTCTGAATGTGGTGATTTCTGAAAATCACAACATTCAGAAATTAATTCCCTGAATAGCTTTACATTTTCATAACGTCTTTCCCAAGAGAAAAAGTTTAAACAGCCTCAAGAGAATTTTTTTTTTAGCACCCTTCTCAGGTTTTATTAGAACTTAACCAAATATGTTAGATTTTATTAGAACTTAACGAATTATGCAAGTAAATATATTTATATAATATACACTGGTACCCAGAGCAACCTCTAAATAACAAACATTATAATAGTTTACTGAAATCTGGAACACGGAACCCGAATTCTGAAAACATCAACAAAACCCAGAGCGTGTGCGCACTGCAGTTTCTAGCCATCATGTTTTATCCGATGCTTTTACTATTCTAATGCCATTAGTAAATATAAATTGAAAAATACATATATCTTCAAGAATGATCTACTATACTTCTGTTGTACACTACAGTACTACAAATTGAATAACGAAATTTGTATTTGTAACTTTTTATCCATGGATGGTACAGTACTACTGACATTTTTGTCCTAACACCTATTTTTCTCCCATCTGTGTTAGCTTGGCATTATTTCTTCTCATACAAAATCCTTTTTCTTTGGATATTTCATTATTTGAATACAATAGAGGTCTGCCTCCAGTACTCAGATTTAGGAAGATGAGATATTTAAGATGCATGAAACACTGAATTTATAGAATAGTGATCATGGCTGGTGTGTGAAGGACTGGTAGAAAAGTTGAGTGCCAGGACTGGCAACGACTGACAAAAAGCCAAGGAAGAGTTATGGTGGTAATGATTGCGAGAAAAATTCTCAAACTTTAAAATTTGTATGAATTTGATCAAACAGTTTTCAAGTATTGTACAATACTATACTTAGCAGGATAAGAATGAACTTCAGTATGGTAAATAAAAATGTTATACTGTATTTGTATTATATTACAGAATCATTGTTAATATATTATCTGTACTGTATCTTAACTTGCACAAAATGTTGTAGTATCATTTGATATAAGAAAATCCTCAAATGTTGTGATTAAGAACCAAATAATATTTAAATCTGGAATTCACAAAAAGTCAGAATGAAATCAGCATAAATGTCTGGATATTTAAGATTGCACGATATGTATGTATATATTATATATAGGTGTGTGTGTGTAATTACCTAAGTGAAGTTTTAGGATGAGGGCTACGTTCATGAACCCATCTTTCCAGTACTGTCAAATAACGTTTTGAAACTACTGATGGTTTTGGCCTCCACCACCTTCTCACTTAACTTGTTCTGTCTATCACTCTGCAAAAAAAACCTTTCTAATATTATTTCGGCACCTTCATTTCCTTAGCTTGAATCAATCCTCTTGTTCTTGAAGTTGCTGATTTTAGCAATTTCTATGTCAATTTGGGTCAATTCATGTTATTATTTTGTAAGTGGTGATCATATCACCTCTTTTTTCTTCTGTCTTATAGTTTTGGCATATTTAACGCCTCTAGCCTCTCCTCGTGACTCTTGTTTTTCCGTTCTGAAAGCTATTTTGTAGTATGCCTTTGTACCATTTCCAGTTTATTGATGTGCTTCTTGAAATATGGGAACCATACAACTGCTTCATGTTCCAATTTTGGTCTCTCAGAAGTCAGTTTCCTTAGTATTTCACCATCCACATATTTAAAAGCGAATCTGAAGTTGGAAAGCGACGCATATGCTACTCACACAATGTTCATTGTGTTCTCCTCTGGTGACAGTTTACTATCCAAAACCAGCCATAGATCTCATTCTTTGTTAGAGTTCTTATATTGCTTTGAATATGAATTCCTATGAATACATTTTTGAATGTTATAAATATTTCTATATACTGAACATAAATATAACTTGTTCAAAGGAAATTCTGGCAGAGCACATAATGAAATTAAATTTAAAGTTTAACAATATTTTCAGATAATGTCCCTCTAAAATTCCATACCTGTTAACTGTGTTAATGTAAAGAGCTCTGCACTTCCCTTCGTGTTACTCCGGTAACATACAGGCAGATCTGGACTCCCAACTTGCGCGCTTAAGAACCTATCACCCAGAAATTATAATAAAAGTGACATCTATAATCTTCATGTATCCATAATAAATAGAGCTATTTTTTACATTTATTCTCTTCTATGCTAATTTATTAAAGTAAAAATAAAATTAACTTATAAAAAGTACTTAAAATTCTTATAAATTACTTTAAAATTCTAAAGTATGATATCCTCAAAGGATCTTGAGTTTTCTTTTTAACTAACATTGTACTGGTAGTTTGAACATATACCTTTACAAAAGTGCAATACAATTCTGTATAGCTTTTGTTAAATACAGTAATGTATATCCACAAATTTGTTTATCAAATTTGATTTTTTATTTAAGTATTAAATATATGAACAAATGTACTTTAGTACCATCTTAACCCTTTCACTGCAGAAAGCAGCCTCGATTTTTGTAAAGAACAACTTGAGTCCAAGTACCAAGAAAATAGTTTACATATCTTATAATGGTATCCCAGATGATCTGGAAGTTAAAACAGAAGTTTGGGCCCTAGTAGTTTTAGCCATTTCTCGCTCTACAAATAAACTATGTTAAATTTAATCAAATTAAATTTAATTATGGTTTATAATACAGTATTGTCTTGTACACCATGACAGTGTAAATATAACCCCTCCCCCCTCACCTGCACAAGTGTGCGCACACCCCACCCCATCTTCTTGTTTTGGTAGTACCAGTACTCATAGTAACGATAAGGACCATAGTACATATATCAACGTACAACGTACAATAATTAGAAATCGACACTATTGAATTTGGACAAACTGGAAAAGATTTTCTAGTTATGTTGCGAAGACAAACTAACCTAACCTAACCTTCCTAGGCCTAATACACAATATCTGAGGTCGAATATAGTACATGTGTGTGCAACACTAGGCCTAGGAATATTAGTTTTTTCAGCTTCATTTTTTTGGACTCTCATAAAGTGAATACTACAAAATTACATCTTCAGCAATTGCTTAGTATGTCAAATCTTTGTATTATGGTGCACTTACATAAACTACAATCTAAGCAGGACGAGGAGTTGCGTACACGCACACTACTCACACTAGTATGGCGAGTTTCCATCTTGTGTAAATGTTTTCATCATCAAGACTTACTTAACATTATGAGTGAAATAATAATAATAATGGTAAAAAATATATTGAAGATACTTTTTTATTATTAGAAATATTAAAACCAGAAAACAAATCAATGCAGTAAAAGTCATAATTAAATTTTTGTATTTTGCTCTTAAAATAAATTAAAGTCCTTGTTTATTGCAATGATATACCATAGATTGGAAGCACATTTTGCCTGGCAATAATTTATGTAGACTACTACTGTATTTATATTATAAATTATTGACTCAAAATTTTTATTTTTATATATTTTTACATTTAACACACGGTTTATTTTGAAAGATTCATTTTTTATTAGAAATTTAAAAAAAAAAAAAATCCCCTTCAAGATTGTGCTTATTGAATGTATATACATACAGCTTGATAATATGTTGTCTTGGAAACATGTATGGCTTGATAGAGAATTTCTTGGACCACGTTTTCTATTATATATTGGAGATTCAGACAAATATTTATTTTTATTTAGCTTTTATTTCCACTATGAAAATATTTTATTTTTCATTGTTTTTAATAATATATTGTAGATGCTTTTTGTTTCCTACTGCAAATGCAATAATGTAAAACAAATACATTTTGTATCTACTTTCCTACCCTCGGTGGGAATACAAGTGTCCAAGAGGCGCTGCAGCAGCGAAAGGGTTAGCAATACCTCAGTCAATCTTTCCTGTCGACTTGAAAAGCTGAAGAAGTCTCTCAAAGGCATTCAAGAAACGACATTATAGCACAGAAAGTATCACAATTATCATGTTTAAAGCCTTAGAAAGAAAGAAAGAAAGAAAGAACTTTTCAAAGTGTTTGAAGTCCGAAGTGAGAAATATGCCATCATATGAAGAGTACGAAAACATGCTTAATGCTTACACAAACAGTTACCGTAATCAACCTGAGTTATAAATGTGCAACACTTCTTGAAGGGTACAGAGGGAACTAGTAGATACTTTCCCTTAGTAAACTTCCTGTCCTGTAGTCCTTGTTTCTTGTACTCAAACTTACAATTTCAGATACCGGTATATTACATCTTGAACAGACTGTAGCAAAAAAGTTCAGTGAAATTTTTTTTATTTGTATTCATTCAAATGTGCCATTCTCTAAAGGCTCAGGCTTTACTTTAGAATTATCCTTTATTTCCCTCATGGTAAAATCCTCCTCATCGAGGTCGACACCTGCAACTAGAGGCCGGATCACCATCTTGATTTGATTTAATGCTCTCTGGTATACATTGTTGTCCTCCTAGTGGTATAAACAAAAGTAAGTAGTTACATTATTTGGTTTGACACTGCTAAAAAAAAATAAAACACAAAAAACATTAACTTTCAACAGATAATGACTGAATAACATATAAACCTTCACATTCAAAATTTTTTGTCAAATTCAAATACATTAATTTTACAAATATGTAACTTGGCTACGCTTATTAAATACTCCAGGTAAACATCACTTAATGACATTTTCATATATTGTACTGGAAGAAGAGGAGGGAGGGAGGGCAGGGAGGAAGGCAAGGAGGGAAGGAGGAGGGAGAGGGAGGGAAGGAAGAGGGGGAGGAAGGGAGGGAAGGAGGGGGGGGGAGGGAGGAGGGAGAAAAAAAAGCTGCAACACTTGTCGGAGCTTTCAATACATGACACCATTCACTTCAATAGTTTATGACAATTGTCAAAGCAGTTTGGTCCCGCCAGACTGGATGATTGTAATCCCCATGCCGGATGGCTAGATTAGTGACCTTGCAGTTAGGAGGGTCAGACACACAATGGCAGAGAATGATAAACCATCAATAACTGTCACCCATAAGGCGGCAGAAGTAGATAGTAAGACAGAATTAACCATCGGTTTGTAGGAAAACTGATAGCCAACACTCAAACCTGCAAGGAGTGAGTGTACTCACCTAGTTGTGCTTTGCAGGGGTTGAGCTTTGGCTCTTTGGTCTCGCCTCTCAACCGTCAATCAACTGGTGTACAGATTCTTGAGCCTACTGGGCTCTATCATATCTACATTTGAAACTGTGTATGGAGTCAGCCTCCACCATATCACTGCTTAATGCATTCCATTTGTTAATTACTCTGACATTAACAAAATTCTTTCTAATGTGTCTGTGGCTCATTTGGGTACTAAGTTTCTACCTGTGTCCCCTAAGTGTGGGCTTGGTGGGTTGCATGCATCTGTCTCATAAATCAAGGCATACCTGAAGAACACACACAAACCAAAATACTGTATGCACATAATAAAATAATGTAAAATGATATCTTTAACTTACAATGGCCTTTTGAAGCTCTTCTTCCATGGTTTTTAAGTTGGAATTAGTAGATTTAAGCTCCTTATTTAATTTACTGCATCTCTCATATGATTTCTTGGATTCTTCTTTGCAGCTTACTGAAAGGATAATGATACAACTAGATGTGGTTTGATTACAAACAAGCCAATTTAATGGCAATTATTATGCATCTGACATGTCTGTCTGTCCCATCAGAGCTTTGTTAGCTTGTGTTATATGAACAAATCCACAAGGCCCGTGACAAGGATTCGAACCTATGTCCAGGAGCATCCCAGACGCTGCCTTAATCGATTATAAGCCTACTTTTAATCATAATTATTGTGTTATAAGCCCACACCATGTGACCCACTGCACTTCTGCTCCCTATTTCTCTAGACCAGGGGCTACATATTGGGCTTATCCTCTTAGTTCAGGTCTAATAGATCCAGCATCATCATTGTGACAAATTGCTGGACCTCCTCAATTTTGATTCATAAGAACCCCCCCATCTTGCAAAATACAAGAAAATTATAACTCTTCCAGAGATGCCACAAAGCTGATGTACCACACCAGAGTTATGAGAACAGCCTCAAAGGAGTTGAACCTACAAACATTGGAATGAACAGTCCAAAGTATATTTCTTACTCCTATATGCTTATAGACAGAGAGGATTAGCTCTTAGACCCCACCTCTTCACCTTTGGGAAGAGTATATGCTGCAACATTGCCAAATAAATTTATTGACTTCATCCCTTAACCCTTTCAATACGACACACGGCTCTGGTTTAAGGAGAAAAAAAGTTGTTCACAGCAATATGGGAATTTTGTCTACATAAAATTAATTTAAAAATCCACCAACGTTCATCCAGACATCTGGCTTTTAAAACAAGTTTTGGCATGGTAGCTCCAGCCATTTGGTAGTACAGTACTAGAGGAAAATATTATCCAACACAACAGAAGTCCACTTTAGCCTTATTCCAGGTTTCCAGGACACGGCCCATCATTGTGTAGGTGGATACAATATGACCCGGTAGGTAATGTGGTGCAGCACTGGCCATTATAGCACACGTTACCGGTATGTTGACGGAACAAACCAATAATAGTGCCCCAATACCAATTGCATAACACTTCAAAACCTGGTTTCTCTATGCTGCCACCATGTGGTAATATGTAATATTATATATATGCAGTAAAAGTGTAAGAGATGCAGCACCCACATCATTAAATGCAGTGTCATTTAATGATGTGGGTGTAATAACCCTTAAAGAATGATAATGGGATAATGATGGTTAGATGGAGTTAAAAGGCATCAAGCAATTGACAGCCTTTTGTTTTGAATGTGTTTATCTTTACTATGTATTATGATTATTAAAACTAATATTAGATATTATACTACTCTTGTAATTAAGATCTCAAATATTATTGGAATAACTCAACATTTTTAGATATTAAGCAAATAAAGAATAGTATGAAAATACCATGACAGCTGTACACATGACATGTGTGAGTGGAGCCCCTTTACATGAAAAATAAATAAAAATATACAATATCATGAGAACAATACACTGCAGTAGACTGTATTTACAAATGTTATTGTAACTTACATAGTTCCTTCTGTAGTTCTTTAAGCTTCTCTTCTGTGTTACTTCTTGCATTCTCAGATTTTTCTAACTGTTGTATTAATTTCCCGATGTCCACCAGAGAACCACCATACTTCACTACACCTGTCAAATGCACACAATAATTATTTTAGCTTGTATGTCCTTAATTAGTCCTCGTCTGCTTATAGAACCAACGTGAGCTCATATTATAGTGCAACAAATCTTACTCTGCCCGACATACATCAACAATTTTAAACTGCACCATACAAAAGATACTTTGTTATATCTAAGACCACATTCAACATTCACCCCAACATGGTGGTCACGTATTTTCAAACCTCTAAAACCCTCAAAAACCCCATTTCTTAATTGTATTAATTTCCCGATGTCCACCAGAGAGCCACCATACTTCACTACACCTGTCAAATGCACACAATAATTATTTTAGCTTGTACGTCCTTCATTAGTCCTCGTCTATTCATTCAACATTCACCCCAACATGGTGGTCACGTATTTTCAAACCTCTAAAACCCCATTTCTTAATTTTTTATTGTACAGGCAGTCCCTAACTTATGAAAGAGGTATGTTCTAAGAAGGCATTCTAAGACAGCTGCTTCTAACTCGGAACTAGATTTCCCACAGGATTACACTATAAATTGGGAATGCACACCTGGACCATCAAAAATCAACATATAAAACTCAAATTTGGGAAACAAATAAAATAGAATTATCCTGCTTGTCTGATTTGATGCTTTCAACAGAGCAAAGAAGTATAATTACTAGAGGACAATGCAATAAAAGGTGGCAATGCATTGGCACTGGTGCACCACCAACACACTTTCAGTTTATCAGCCATTATTGAGGAACTTTTCTTCTATAAAACGTTAAAATAATGCATTAGTAGCACTGTCATGTGTGTGGATTACAGAAATGGTTTGTGTGATATGAGGAAAAATTGGGGATTTTGAAGTGCTTCATTGGTTGTTCGTAAGTCAGGAGCCCCCCCCCCTGTACAACTTTACCTTTCTCCTGCTTCAGCTCATTTTATCTTTACATACATCATTATTAACCTATTTCCTACTTTATGAGGTGACAGGCATCAACCTAGAGAAAGAGGCGAATACAGCAGTTTTAGCATTTTAGCCTTTAGTTAAGAGGGTTACATAATACATCTGCCTCTCGATATTCAAGGCAATAGATGACCTGGTCCTATTGCTTTCCTTACATCTATTTCTTTCAGGTATTTCCTTACAGCCTCAATTATTACCCTATTATCCATAACAGGTTCCTCCACTCTTTCATCATCACTTTAGTTTAAGTCTTCCTTGTCGCATGCTATGCAGACCTCCTTGAGGACGAGGATCCTCTCAGAGAGGTCTCAGTTTTTTGTGAAGATGATTCAATATTTTTTAGTTTAATAACTTGTTTCTTTACTGTTGATTTTCTTCTCTCTTTCTTCAGTGCGATCATGTAGTCAAAACACTAATAAAGTGATTATTGGTTCCAAACCATTCCCAGTTCATTCAGAACATATGCATAAAGTAATGCAATCAAAAATACACATTGTACTACCTTTCTGAAAATATCAATTACAAATAATATCAATATATAAAGCCTTTACAAGCTTAAAAGATATGCAAACAAAAACATTTACATAATAAAACATATTTAAACCTTGACTCAATCATTAATATTTATATTACACTTATACTAATATTCATATTATACTTATAATAATATTCATATAATACCTGTAGACGATACCAACGGTTCTTCTTTGTTGCGAGAACTTTTTCTGGACGGTGTCCTTATATCTATACACACGGATGTAGTAAACGTATCGGCAAATAATGGCATCACAGTATTGTTACCTGAGGGAAAAAACATTCATGTTACGAAAATTCTACAGCGCAAAATGCAGAAAGATCTGGTACACGAAATCCTAGTTGCTCTCTGAGGACAAAGTTAATACTTCTACAGTTTTATTTTGTCACCAGACACAAAGCAATTCCAAGAAAAAACTTAAATGTAGTAACAAAAGTATGGCTTACCCTAAATTGACTAGGCCTTTATTATTTAATATATATACTTTAACTACGTAAACATTGTTTAAATATCTTTGTTCTTTAAATATATTATGACAAACAGATGACTAAAGTACTACTCCAAGATCTCTCTCCTTAACCCCTGTGATGTGCCCTGATGTTTGGAAAAAAATATCCCCCCCTCCCAAACTGTTTCCTTCTAACATTGTTAGAATGTGTCCCAATGTCATGATTCATTATCGTTCATGGAACAATCATCCCTGGTTATGCATGGGGCGGGAGTTGCATGAAGATATTCTTACATATTTATTTCAATGTCACCAAATAGTTGATATGTTTATTTAGTTTTAAATGTTTAAAACAAATATTTCACACAATTATTGGACTTTTAACACTCAAAATGCATGAAAATGGCTTAACAAATATTGATGGAGGTGAGTGAATTAACCCTTATGGTCATAATTATAGAGAATCAACCTTGTACTTGTACAGTGAACTCAAGACTCATTTTCATTCAAGATATAAATGTAAGCATTAGGTAATTAAATACTATGATTTTTAACAACAGATTTTAAATAGGTGAATTTATATACAGTACTCTATAGAATATTATAGTATAAAGTGTTTAGTAAGATTGTGATAATTTTTTGTACTAAGTGCTGTATTCCTACATGAACTATTTGATCTTCACTAATTAAATTATTAAAGGAAAACAATTGAGCATCTAAATTTTCAACACAAGGCTCAACACATCATGAGAGATGATCACCACCATATTACAACACAAAATTTAGTCCCTTCAGTGATACAGATATGGAAGATGCAAGTGATCTATCTATATCGAGAGGGCTGTAAATCAATTCAAAATGTTTCTAGGAGTGTTGTACAAAAAACAAAAAAACAAATATACATATACGATCTGACATACCCTTAGCCAAACTTTCCAAGTCTATGAGTGGTGGAGGGTCTCTTGGTTTGTCCTTGTCGTCTAAGGAAACATCAGTCAATTTTCGGTAGTGTAAGACATCTCGAGACATTACCTTTGACATTAATTTCTTTTGCTGAAACATAATATAAACCAAGCTCTATAAAAAATATATATCAAATTACCTACACAAGCCAAAATTTAAAAAAAAAAAAAAAAAAAAAAAAAAAAACAGCATTCTAGAAACATTGATGCAAATTTAGAACGCATAATCCCAAATATGAATGTAGAGGAAAACATTATTGTACATCTGGTCTGTTCTATAGCAAATCTGTCCTTTTCTATATTAACACTGATTGGGACTGTTCTCTACTAAATATAATGAAAGCTTTGCATCAAATTATTTTAACAATGCAACAATACCAGAGCAGACAAATCCGTCACAAAATGCATAAGAAAATAAAAAAATACATATACCTTTAGCATATACACATATGCATACCTGTGCTCTAGATAGGTTGAGACCGAGCATATTGATGATGTCCTCAAGATCTCGGTCAATTATATAACCCGTATGTGTCTGGTCGAAGTAAACAAATGACAGGAGAAGGAATGGGTCAATTGTGATCATCTTTTTCTTCTCCTTCTTTTCTCTTCTTTCTCGATCTTTCTTGTCATCCTTCTTCTTTCCGTCTTTGGTGTCCTTGCGGTCATCTTTCTCCTTGTCTCCACCTTTACTACTGATGGCTTCATCTTTGGAATCGTCATCATCCTGCAGTTACATACACAACAACAAAAGTTTCAATTAAGCTCTACTATAATTCAGATAAAAGTTATCTGATTAATATTAACCTATATTATAACAATAACCTATATTATAACAATTTATTCCCCCCACCGTCCCACCCCAAATCCTTATCCTAACCCCTTCCCAGTGCTATATAGTCATAATGGCTTGGTGCTTTCCCATGATAATTCTCCCTCTCTCCTCTAGAAACCCTTCTCGAGCAGTTTACCAAAGTTTTTATGCTCTAGGGGTAAGACATTTCAACTACCCTCCATGGTTCAAGGCTTCTGATGGAATATTTGAAATATGTAAGAACTCCACAGGAATATTTGACTTTAAGGGTCATATTATAGAAAATACTTTATATGTAGTCATAGTTTTAGTGTCAGGAAAACCACTAGTTTTTAGTAAGGATACTTTTCCAACAGGTGCGAGAATGTCCTGAGGCAAGCCAATTTTAACATCACTAGTGATATTCTTGTTAAAAATGGCAATAGATCACTCTTTTCTTTCTTGAGATAGTTTAAGCTTTTAACAGTGGTTTCCGTTCGAGTTCATGAAGCCGTAGATATTGTGACAGCACTAATTAGTAACTCACAACAAGTAGAAGTTTTGTCCACAGCTTGGATGCACTTTGGGCAGTATCTACCCCTTAACATCGTTACACATGAATTAACCAGGGCCATAGCATTAAAAAAAAAACTTTCATTATCTGCAAACACAGCACAATCTACTGAAACACTGAATGATAAAATCTTCTTGGCAGCACACCAGTAAGCAGCTGCTTTACTAGACTCAAATTTTGTCTGTGTATACACCTCAAGAAAGTTACTTATGCCCTGTACAAGTATTTAGGAAGTAACTGTAAAAATTATAAAAGGCACTTATTTTAGTGTCTTGGAATGCCATACTTTAGTGCACCATGAATTAAAAAGCATTGGCTAGTAAATAAATATGATTGGGAGAATACAATGTAGCAAACCTAATGGAGAATTTTGTGCATTACATTACAGTATTATGAACTTTATTTACACAATACTGTATGTAGAAAAAGAGGCGAGATTTCTACAAAATATTAAATCTTTTGAATGACATGCTACGACAATCACAGAGGTAGTAACAGAGGAGGGAGTGAAAAACTACTAAATAGATTCTAAGTACCATGGGTAGGGAAGCAGGAAGATTCTCTGCTCAGAAGAATAAGAAATGAAAACAAGAATGTGAATTTTTTGTTAGTAAGTGTACTGTACTAGCAAAAGTTTTAAACATGTAAAAATTTGTGTTTTAAATATTGCAATGATATAGTATGATAGATTAGTAGAAGTCCAGCATAGGGCCAGGTGCTAGGACCAGTTAGTTATTCAGTCCTTACTTATCAGTGACTACAGGGGAGCGAGTTAGCTCTTTATGCCTTGCCTCCTAGCCATTTATACCTAGTGTGATAATTCTCTCTCTCTCAACGTTAACATTTTCGTATTTTTTGTTCAAGTTGGTCATCGTATCTTCAGCCACATTATTGTGATTCATCGTCTGCGCAAGTTTATCTTAGTCAATGGATGATAAATACATCTGGTAGCATGATAGGCTATGCAAGTTTGCATCATCCCAAGCTCCACCTTCCTTCTAATGAGTGCTCTTCCCTACTTTCTATTTGTGCCTTTGTCTTTTCGTTCTTCCAACATGTAACTTTTCTACTTGTGTTTTCATATACATCAATCATTTACACATTTCTCTTTCCTAGTGAAAACACGTCAAACTAAACTATGTACTATGAAGAATTTGTGTGCTGTGGGGCCCTAGTAATGGTGTGTGTGGCTGTCATCAGTCATCGACACTCGCAAGGTTCAGGAGAAAGTAAGTTGACCCTCTTTAAAGGGTTCGAGACCCATACAGCCCAGGAGAATGGAATTGACAGTCTTCTTACATATTCTATACAAGAATCTACAGTAAAAATGAAGTGCTGTAAATACATTTCAATAACTGAAGAAATCACGCACCATGTGTGATTACAATTTACTTACAATTACGATTACAATTACTTACAATTTCGTCGTCGTCATCGTCCTCTATTTCCTCCTCCTCCTCCTCTTCCTCCTTCTTTTCTTCCTTCTCCTCTTTTATCTCTTCTTTCTCTTCCTTCTCTGGCAATTTCTTTTCTTTTTTTTCGCCATCTTTATCCTCTTCCATTTTCTCTTCTTTATCTTCTTCTTCATCCTTCTTTTCTTTTTCTTCTTTTTCTTCTTTCTTTTCTCTTTCTTCTTTGTCATCTTTTTTCTCCTTATCTCTTTTTTCTTTGTCTTTCTCCTTCTCTTTCTTTTCTTCTTTTTCTTTTTTCTGAAATTATACTTAATCCTTAAAGCATCATAAGTGACAAAATCTTCAAACATAACACACACACACCTTCCTCCACTTACTATTCCTCTCACTTTCACCACACACACACACACACATGGCAGTTCTGGAAACTGGAGCATGCTGGAGGGGTGACAGGGAGACTTCTGACATAGATGAAAAATTGTCTAATTGACAGACAGATGAGGGCAGTAATCAGAGACAATGTATCTAACTTTCAGAAGTGTTACTAGTGGAGTACCACAGGGTTCAGTTCTTGCACCAGTAATGTTCATTGTCTACATAAACGATCTACTAGAAGGAATACAGAATTAAATAAACATATTTGCGGATGATGCCAAGATACTAGGGAAGGTGCATAGACAAGCTACAAAATGGCTTCCAGAACTGAAAAACAAGTTACGAGGAGAGACTAGAGGCGTTAAACATGCAAAAACTAGAAGACAAGAAAAAGAAGTGATCACCACTTACAAAATACTAACAGGAATTGACCAAACTGACAGAGGAGTTCCTGTAACCAGAAACTTCACAAACAAGAGGACACAGATTCAAGCTAATGGAACAATGGTGCCAAAAAAAAAAAATTTACCAAGTTTTCTTTTGCAAACAGAGTGGTAAACGGTTGGAAAAAGCTAAATGAGGTGGTGGTGGAGGCCAAAACCGTTAGGCATTTCAAAGTGTTATAACACAAAGAGTACTAGGAAGACGGGACACCACGAGCATAGCTCTCATCCTGTAACTACACTTAGGTAATTACACACAGAAGAGTCAGGAGTTAATGCATTAGACAACTGATAGCGTCGACAGATCCCAAGTGCTAGAATTCATTCCATACAAGAACAACTATGGAAAAGTATACATATGAAGACATTAAAATATACTTATAAATCCTAGTGGGCAGATGCATACATGCATGGATACAAATATATTAACCTAACAGCCTATATATAAGAAAATCAATGTGAATATTTAAGATTGTCTACAATATTTTAGAAATTATAATTCAGTATAAAGATTTTTTTTAAATAATTTCAGTTTCTGATTTTCCTTAACTGCCATACAGCAAAAGAATTTATTAAACATTTAGTGCCACAGCTGTTTCCAACACACTTCTCCTTACTTCTTCCTTTGCTGGCTTTTCTGGGCATTCAAACAGGGCACGGTAAATGCGGAACGCAAAATCTCTCATGAGCATTTCATTGAATAATTCTGCAAAAAGACTGACTTCAAAGGAATGTTCTTTGTTGTCCTCCTGAAAGAAAACAGAAAAGACAATACATTAAACGTGGCATTATCACAAGAGCCCCACATTAAACTTTTAAAGGATATATATAATATTTTACATTAAGAACATTAGGGCAATGGTACGGTGCCAAAGGAGTGGAAAATAGAGCAGTGATTGTACCACTAAATGAAAATAAAGGAGGAACATAGTGAGTGTAAGAATTATAGAGAATGAAGTAGATGGAAAGAATGATTAGAAGAGTACAAGAAAGTCCTGAGCAATTAGTCAGTGACGAACATATATAGGCGATATACAGTATTTACAATGCGACTCGAGACAGCTTGTAGAAAAGGCCTTCAAGAAAGATTGAGGCATACAAGGCATTTATGGATTTGAAAAATTATGAGAGTCAGAGAAGGACTCTTAAGAGTTACAAGTATGCATGGACTTGGTCGAGTTCTGTTAGACATATAGTAGTGAATTTTCTGCATCAAGTAGTGAATTGCAAGAGTAGGTGATGAACATAAATTAGGAACAGCAATGGGTCTAGGACTTAGCATGAATGACCCTACTGTCTAGAAAAATAAAATCTACCACAGCCATTTTCTCTTCTCATTTGTGGTAACTCTGTCATAGAGCCATCAAGTTAATCAATGATGGGAGAAAGGAGGGTGCTAAACAAATAATTGAATAATTATATTAAATGAATGATTATATTTTAAAAATTGAAATTATAATAATAGCCCCAGATTAAACAACAAATTCTATATCCTTTCTAGGCAGCTTTACTCCATCCTATGAAAGTGAGACAGGATAACAGTGATGTTTGTAAAGGATTAAATTTTTGGGTCAACCTCATTTAAAAAGAATTTAAATGAATTTAATTCATCTAACTCTAAAAATTGCAACACTGACCTGTCTGTAATCCAGCAACACAGAAAGTGACATCGTAGTGCAGTCAAATTTGCCTGACTTTGCAGTGCGTGATGGATGAACAACAATCATTGGCTGATCGGGAAGGGTGTATCGCTTCTCAAGCAAGTTTCTTTCCCGCTCCTCTGCCTTCTTTTTCTATTTTGATAAACAAAGATACTGAGATTACACACTACCATTTGATCTATAGTAAACTGCTTATCAATACAACTTTATCCACCAGAACTAGAGCTAAACAAATTTAAATGGCCTTGTATCTCTTCGTAACCTTGGTTTAGAGCACACATTGGAATCACGACAAGCATCAGACTAGTATAAAAGCCAAGCCAGTTTATCCAAGATAAACTAGTTCAGCTTTTATGGTCACCTGATGCTCACCAAGATTCCAATGTGTATGCTCTAAACTGAGGTTACGAAGTGATAGCAGGCCATATACTGTACATTACTTCATTTATAGCAAAGTTATTACTTCACATGAAAATTTTAAAATATCTTAAACAAAAAGTTTGATTAAAGATGCCAACCTCCTCTTCCTCTTTCTTTCTCTCCTCCTCCTCTTTTCTTTTACGTTCTTCTTCTTTTTTCCTCTCTTCCTCCTCTTTCTTCTTCACTTCATCTGTTTCAGTACTCTCTGCACTTGCTGCCTTTTCAGATTCCTCTTTCTCTTGTTCATTTTTCAATATCTGAAAAATCCAAAACCCTCATATGATACATATATGTATACATATACATTATCATTATCCAGGTTCCCATTTTAATGGGCTGGGGAGAAACAGCTCAAGAGAAAATATGGGAACATTACAGAGATAAAAAAAAAATTGTTATAGATATTTATTTACTGTATTACATAACTATTCATTACAACACTCACACTACAGAACATAGTATCACAAACAAACAAACAAGCACCAACATACTCCAATTACATTCCACTTGCTGACCACTTACAGAATACAAAATTTAATAATATTACAGACTCAACTGCATTTCCAGTTTCCATCAACATCTTCACCCTATTTTCTGTAAATCTAAAGTAAGTTTCCTAATCCAATATCTTTTATGTAGCAATCACATCCCCTTTATTTTTCTCCTCCATGTTAGCAAGATCGCATTCCCTTAGCTTATTCTCATGGTATAGCAATCTCAATTTTGGTATCAGTCTTATTGCAAATTGTTTACTTTGCAAAATTTCTTTTAGTATTTCACGATGAGAATGTTCCATGAAGGTGCTGCACACACTAGATATGGTCTCACACAGGCTGTCTATATGGTCTTGAAAGCATCCTTGTTCAGAATTAATTATAAAATACTGTTATGTTTGCCAGCTTCCCACATGCCACTGACGTTATCCCGTTTCTGTCGTCTCTGGTGTAAAGCTATATACCAGAATTGGAATTACAGTGAAACCTCGATTTGGTGAATCTCTGGTTGGAACACACACTTTCCGTGCCGAATTTACTCACCCAATTCGGCACAAAGTGTGTGAACAAGAAGCGGGCAATGTGTGACTTTGCTAAGGATGTTGTGACTGAGTTCACAGATGGAGGCAAAATTACAAGAATAAATTAAGGCCATGGGATAGCCACAGAGCACACTTAAAATCAAATTATATGTTTTTTTTTTTTACTTCCAATTGCAGAGCTTTACATGCAGTAAAATATGTGTCCATTTTCCTTTGAAAATGAGATTTCGAGGATTGGGCATGGGAAATAAGCTGGATGTGGTCAAACCTCTTTACACACAGGTTCTCTTGGTTGTTCCCCTTCATTGGACAGGCTGCAATTATAATTTCACTCAGTGAAATCAGCCTACAGAGCATGGAAATTAAGATATGAATGATAACTTTTTAATACTGCTCAATTTACAGTTTTAATTATTTTCACTTGACTTTTCTTTGTTCTTTGTAGGCTTTTTATTTATTTTTTTATTTATTTTTTTTTTTTTGGGGGGGGGGGCATTTTGGTCTTATTAGGTGTAGGAGCTCCTCACCCTTGACACTTCCCTAGTAACCCCACGAGCCCCTTAATCCCTTGGGAATTTACACTGGCAACCCCAAGAGTCCCTTAATCCTTTGGAAATTTACACTGGTAACCCCAGGAGTCCCTTAATCCCTTGGAAATTTACACTGGTAACCCCAGGAGTCCCTTAATCCCTTGGAAATTTAGTCCCTCACCAAGGAATCCTTGATGGGCTGACCCTTTTTTTTCCCGGCTATCATAGGTGGTGTCTTGGGGAATTTCTGCCAGGCCAGGTGCTCCTTGTATATGTTCAAGAGCCATGTCTATAGCTTATTCAGTTCAAGGTGCAGTGGAACCTCCAAGCCTGGGATGCACAAGGCCAATGACGAGATGATGAGAATACATTAATGTTGAGCTACTAATGCCTTCTCTGGTTGAATGCCTCAACAGGGTGGGCTTGCCAGTTCTTCTTGTACACTACTTGTTTTGCTTCCTGGTCTACTTCCATTATTTACCATACAGTGACACTTTGGCTTACAAATGCCCCTCTTTATGAACTTTTCGGGTTACGAGGCCAATTTCTTTGCAAAATCCGAATCAGGTTGCGAACTTTGCCTCGGGTAACGTAGTTTGTTGATATGCGTATAGCTGACGGGCATGGTGACCGTGCCTCAGTTTACTAATGCCTCTTGTTTAGTGACAATCACGCCTGAATTCTTTGTAAAGAATTCCAGTGTTTATTGGATTTTTGGGTATTTGAACATAAAAGTAATTATTATATATCTCGCCATGGGTCTCAAGACAGTCAGTGGTCAGGTTCAACCTAAGAAATTATTGTGAGTAGAGGATGTCAATTTCTCATTAAGAAAGTGTGTGACGTATGGGAAGCATTGCAAATTTTTTTTTAAAACTAACCCAGATAAAGCTGTAGCAGGCCATTGCATTGACCTTTTAAATGACAATGTGATGTCTCGCTACAGACAAGTGTTAAAATGTAGGGAAAAACAAGTGTCTTTAGACAGATTCTTAGTAAGACAAGCAAGCAGTGAGCCACAACCAGGTCCTAGTGGTGCTCCTGAAAAACGTACAAGAGACAGAACTCCAGAGAAGTCATCACTGCCTGATGGAAGGGGGACTCCCCTTTCATTAAATTCATAAGCTGAGGTACCACTGTATATGCTTTTCTTCCCTGATTTTTTTAATGCTTACCTATTCCCATTAGATATGTACTGGCTTGTATATATATATATATATATTATATATATATATATATATATATATATTACAGACACTGCACTTTGGTAATTTTTATGAGACTTATGTGAATGTAGCAAAATAGAGCCACAAATGGGGAACTAATCAGCATTCAGTGAAATGATTCCAAGAAAATGGTAAATTTATCTCAAGAAGACGCCTACAAATCAATATTTTGTGAAGCCCAGAATGGGACAAATGTGATTAACGTGATTTCATTTTTTAATATACAAAAAGCAAAATATGCAAATTTATTATACACATATAAAAATTTAATATACAAAAAGCATAATGATATCATACCAAAATTATTAGTAGAGAAGAATGAATCATATAAGTAGGGTTGCTTACACACAAGATTAGTGGCTCGAGTACGTACGAGTGGATTTATACAAATTCTAAGATATTTTGTGTGAAAAATGGGAGGACGTTTCTTCATTATATATTCATCCACTCACTTTTGTTAGGCGTGCAATCAGCTGTGATTTCAGACCCTTGCTATTTAACATGCGGGCATCCAACTCTGCCCGAAGTTCAACCACCTGAAATGCGACATGGATCAAAAATGGTTCCCCAAACCAATGTTGAAAAAAAGTTTATTCAAGACAGTCTTTCATTACAAAAAACAATGACCGTATAACACTGAAAATGTGCAAAATGTAAAAAATATAAAATCCCAAAAGGAGATAAATAGAGAGGGACTGAAGATTTACAAATCTAGCCATTCAGGTCAATGTAGAAAAATGAAACTAAACTATATTTAAATAAACAATTCGTCTGTTTCACAGCTTATATTGATCGGTTATTACCTACAAGGCCTGATTAAGGGTCAACATAAACAAAGGAGAAGAACTAGATAAGAAAACCAAAATAAAGTACAAGTAAAAGAAAAAGAAGATTTATAATATAGGATATAACAACAAAATTGAAAAAAAATGTATATATTACCTAGCCTCACTACTAGATTTAAGTATGTTTATACCAAGCTGATGACAAAGAAACGTACCTTCATACTCTTCGGATCTAAGGTGGCATAGTGGCTTGGATCCTTTTTCTTAGGGGTCTCATCCTAGAAAAATGAAAAAGCACACTGTCAGTAAATTTGGGGAGGTTTTCAAGGAATGCAACAGTTATCAGCAGAACCTAACCAGACTGCCACAATGAAAATGAGGGGAAAAATTGGTCTATAAGATGTGTTCCTATCCTCACTCACTGCAGCTCGAACCTTAAGAGGGCATGTTTGTGGAGAAGATAAAGATGCTACATAACAGGGAAATGACACACCTTCACTGGCTGGGTAATTGATATAGCTATAAATCCTTGCTGGCCAAATTCAGAGGTTAATGATGATAAACAGAGATTATAAAACATAGGTAAGTTTTGGACCAATTTGGAACAATAGTGGGATCCAAACAGGTGATATGAAATGGACAGAGGAACTAAAATCCAATAATAAAAAGGTCATGAAAATACAGAAACGGCTAGTAGAGTCTGCAAGAAAAGGCTGGTGGTGGTTGATTGATATGGTTATGAATGATAGAGTTGAGAATGCACAGATGGATGATTGTGTCCACCAGAGGTCACACACTCAAGACCACCAAGACCCTTGGGTAAGTGACCTTTCACCTTCCCTGACCTCCAAGAAACCTGGCTGCAGCCAAATTTTTAACACCACTTTTTTAGTGTTTAGAGGTATTATATATTTATTGTTAAGTGTTGGAGAGAAGGCCCTTCATTGATAAAAAAAAAAAGCAAAATAATAATTAAAAATAAGAGGGATTCCCATACCACCTTACTGCAAACCACATCTAGAACAAATAAAAATGAGATCAACAATCTAGAAATGTTAAGGTATAAATAAAAGTACAAATTATATAAAGGAACAGAAACAGTAAATATATAAACTTCAACAAAATCTGCTCTCCAGGATTATGAGTAGTAAGGTATTATGGGAAGTGAACTTCATACCTAGACTGCTTGCTCTCTCTCTCTCTCTCTTCCCCACCCCCACCAGTCTCTCAACCAGCAAGTTCCAGAATGGAGTTCACAAAACAAGTAACCTTGCTATCACCATCTTCACCATACATTGAATTACTAAGGATCTGATTCCTTAAAAGTTGTGACTGCAGCACAGATAACTGGGATAAAGCACAGGGAGATGGTCTGCAAAAGGAGAGTAAACCGTAGAGAAGAAAAAGTTTGGGTGAGTGCCTTGTCTTCCTCCTCCTCCCCCTCCTGATCCTCGGGCTGCTGCTGGAATCCTGCCGAGGAGGAGAGCTTCTTGTCCAGCTGCCGCTTATAGTTGAGGTGGAGACCATCCCACTCCAGTTTGGCTGGGCAAACGTTCCAAACATCTGGGAGAAATAGTACAGTGGTTTCAACCCGGGCAGGCGAACTCCGGCCCTTGTGTGTAGATTCTCCTCGGCGATAGTAAATCTCCGCAAACCGGTACCTGAGATGGAATGGTGGTGCATCAGGAAGCAGCTCTTGGCGACTGAGGGTCAGGCAGTGTTAACATCTACGCGTACGACATAAACGCGCAAATATTGATTCAGCAGAAAATTGTAACACTCTTCCCCTCCTCCTTCACCTGTTCAAATATAAAAATTTAAAAATAGTTCTATTCTACTTCCTGCTCTCGGCAATGATGACTTGGTCTGATCAAAGTGGTTCAATGATATAAGGATGGCTGGAGTTCATACCTGGAAACCCATTCACTCAGACACACAAACATGGATGCTCGTTATCCTCCACCTTCGAAGTTCTTTAGCCACAATCACTCCTAGCTAAATATCATTATAGTATTGCCAAGAAATGGATCCCAGAACCATTAACTGTGAAGATGACAAATACACACATCTGCAACTTACAAAATAATAATGGTAAGGTACAATATTCTGTTGAGGATTCTGAGGTATTCATTAAGTATCGTACCAGTAACGATGGTTCAAGCTCCTATTGGTCTTTTTGATGCCAATCAAAACTGAAGCCAAAGTACAGGAAAATCATCACTCAAGATCTGTAAACTAAAACTTCTTGCGTTAATAAAATATTGTTCTTAGCATGTTGGAGCACAAGTACAGTGCTCGCCATGTGATGAGCCTGACTTACAAGGAGTAGACTGTAAATTGTTTTTGCTTTAAATTATCGCAAATATATTGGATAAATATTTTTTGAAAATATTTCTTAACTTCACTTTTAAATTTGGTCATAAAAAAGTTGATCTTAATTAAAGCAGAGCTAAGGATATCAAAGTTTTAAGAGAAGGCTGAGGCTTGGGAAATAACGATCACACACTGAGCAAAAACACACTTGCAGAGAAAGACTAGGCTTACAAAATTTAAGAGTCGGATACTTTAAGCAGCTCTAAAAATAGGCTCTGTTAAAATGAGCAAACTTCAAGCATATAATATAAAATAAGCTTCTTCCAAATGTATTGACAACTGTCCACAATGTAGATTGGTATGACATACTAGAAATTCACAAGAAATTCTGGCAGCTATATTTTGGTTACCAATAAAAATTGTAAATTATCTTTAAGGACATATACTGCACTCATATGGTAGGGAAGAGCTGGTGTGGGTTGTCACGTTTGCTAACTCGGAAGACTATACGTTCAGTGCCAGTGATCTTGTTCATAAGTTGTTCATTCTTGTTCATACTTTATCTTGAAACAGATTTGATTGGTTTTTGATAATTCAGTGCACATACTGTACAATTTTGTTCATTAGAAAATTGTCTAAATTGATAACACATACATTTTAATATTAAAGCAGTCAAGGGTGTAAATCTCTATAATGAACTGAAAAGTGAGTCATACTGGACAAAATACAAGTTATGAAGACTGATGAATTCTAGAAGCAGTTTCCAGCTACTTTGTTCACAGACAATCCCAATGTAGATTATGTATTATGTTGATTAAATCAGCATTAACACCAGTGAAAAAAACCTTTGAACTCTATTTCTTTGGAAAAAAAAAAAAAAGTTATTGAACATCTACTTTTCTTATATTTTATACTAGTCTGGTATATTCAAGAAGACTACATATTATACCACCCTGTGACTACTGCAAGAAAATGAGGAACCAACGTTCCATTTCCTGCCAGTTTAATACAGATTTTTTCAACCTTTTTAAATTCACGGCACACTGTGCAAAGCATTAAAGTTGTCTAAGCAGGCCATCCATTTTTCAGCATATACTAATACATCTTTTTAAGATGTATTATTTAAGGTAATTCCCGTTTCATTTTTCCTCCGTGGTGTGACACTGTCACATTTTTAATCACGTGTTTATTTTTCATGATTTACACACACTAATACATCTTATTTTCCTGTACAGTGCTTTTTATTATTTACCCAAACAATTTTTTTTTATTCATTCGCTTCTTTTCAACCTTTCCCCAAATTCCCACGGAACACTTGTGGGCCCTTGGCGACACACCAGTTAAAAAATGCTGGTAAAGTAGGATTGTAACAAAAATTTGAATTTAATCATATTTCATCCCTATTAAAATTCTCCTTTATACGGCATAAGCATAGTTTATCAAGTTCATGTAATTTTGAGCCATTCTCTAATTGATATAAGATTCTCATCTTAAAGGAGCAAAAGTTTTTTATGAAACCTGTACATGTACAATACTTTTAATATTTCTTTTTACTGCATAATGTATATTTAATTTATTAAATATACATATTGTTATACTCTCTCAATCCTAATGGTTTGATATATAAAATCTTTATTGACATAACTACGAAGTGATGAACTCGTGTATATAATACACAGGTTAGCAAACCTAAGCACTGGTGTTCACATATATGCCACACAAGGGCAAATCCATTTTTGGATGCTATTCAAAATCTTTGATATAAAGCAACCTAATATATGTTTTGAGTTCCGAAAGATACCAGCTCTCCCCTAATTCTAGATAAAAATTCTGGTTAATTCAAAATGTGGATCAATATAGTGACAATCAAGATCAATTTATATACCCAGTAACTAAACTACAAAATGTAAAATTACCAACTGACTAAATATTTTAAGACTTCTACCACAGTCCAATATCAACAATAAGCTCAAGTGATTTTGCTCTACAACTCTTCCATACATCTACATATATATTTCCCAAGCAAGTCTTAAAATGTTTCTGATGATGATGCAAGGAGAAAACATGGAAAGGAAAATGTATACAGGTTACAATTTGGGTAAATGTACACAAAAGCATTATCACCCATTTTCGATATTTCAATATTATGATTTAAACAACAGACCTGTCGCTATCTAGTATTCCTTACAAAGTAATCAGAAAGACGAGTTGAATACCCACAGAGGAACAACTTTGTATCTGCCTCACACCATGATTTTAGAAAGGAAAATGCATGACTTGTAAACCTGATCAATTTCTACAACAAGCCTGCCAAGATTTTGTAGAAAAAAAAAGTAAGGAAGATTATATCTTTTTAACAGTCAAAACAAATTTGACACCTTCCCTCACAAAAAGGCTGATCCCAAAGTTGGGGAACTAGTCTTGAGTTAATTGGGAAAACATTAGACTGGATTTGTTATACCAATCTGACTGGTTTTGAGTATCTGACAAATAGGAAATATTGTTGTTGAGAACAGAGAAGCAAAGATGGAGGGAAGTGGCAGTTTCACAAAGCTTGTTGCTTGAACCTATACTGTTCCTGATTACGTAAGTGATCTTCCAGGGAAAGTAGAATCACACATGTATATGTCTGAAGATGATGCTATACTGATGAGAAGAGTTAGAGCATTACAGGACAAAAAATGCTTAAGGAATGGGTAGTCAAATGGCTATTGGAATTTAATCCTCCAAAAATGTAAACAAGACTCGGTAGAGGGAGCAAGAGACCAGAGAGAGTTGCAGGTTATGAGGAAGACAGCTGGAAGAGCCAAAATAGGAAAAGAACACAGTAGTGTATATAACACCAGCCTTAACACCAAAGGCATACATTAACATAATATCAGATATAACAAAAGTAAACACAATGATGGTTACAAAAAATCCAGACCAAGGAATCCTTCATAATAAACACAAACTACAGTATGTCAGACTAGTCCTAGAGTAATGCAGTTACAGCATTAAACCCACACTTGATAAAGCACAAGAAGAAACATAAGAGGATTCAAAGAAAAGGCAAACAGGCACCACAAATAACAGAAACGAGCTAAGAGGACAGGCAAAGTGAACTGGAACCAACAACATTACATTAGAAGAGGACAGAGAGGAACTCTGATTAAAATATAGTAATTTCTAGTTGGACAGAATGAGGAAGAGGAAGGGGTGGGGGCACAGTTGGAAGGTGAAAACACATAAGCCAGAAAATTTTAAGGAATTGCTTTTATGGTGCGAGTAACAAACAATTGAAATAAGCTTGAAGAAGGGTGGTGCAAGCAACAGCTCAATTGCAATTATGACAGTATATTGGAATGTTGGGAGATAAATGTACCAGGCAGTGCTCTCGAATTGGACATCACTTTCCATACACACAACGAGATAAGAACCATACATGCCCACCTTTTTCACGGCCGTCCTCTCCTCCATCCCTCAAATTCAAATACATTGTACACTGTTCACCATTCTACTATCATCCATACAACATAAGCAAACCATCTCATTATATTCTCAATCTCACGATGCATTAACTTATGCACTCCACATTTCTCCGTGACATTCAAATTCTTACTTTAGAAGTGAAAGTATAAAATACCTGTACAAAATTTGATGTACTGTACAATACATAACTTACATATGGAACATGGACCGCTGGACATACTGTAGATGACACTTAAATTACATGTTCTGTATGAGTGTCAAGTGAATGAGTAATGGATAGTTAAAGAGAAAAAAATGGGAAGATGAGTTTATGTAGCAGTTTGTTGATTTGTGCTATATTTAGAAACTTCTAATCCAAATTTCTTATTTGTAATAAATACATTTTAGGAGGTATTACAAGTTAAAGCTTCAAAATATGTTGTCCAACTTACAGCCTACCCCATTATAAAGGAAAAAATAAAAACATTGATTATTCATTCAGTTACAGAGGAGCACCTTCATTAGCCCAAACTAGTCCTCTGCTGCTAAATACTTCATTTCATCTCACAGCCCTAGGAACTGAAGTCTCCTGTTCAGTCACACCATCCCTCTTACCCCCGACACTTCACTGGCCCAGAAGTCAGTCGTTCCAACCTCCTCACACCCACACCTCATACAGGAGAATAGGACCAAACAGATGGCCTGAAAACTAGTCCGGAGCATTACCAGGTGGTGCACCCTGCCAGGTCAATGCCTGTCAGGGATTTGCAGGTGCGGATTGCGGTATGTATGAGAACGTTTGGATCCTTTTCTGGGTTGACACCATCAAGGGAAGGACTCCAGTAGCCACCAATAGCCATAGTTTCATTTTTTCCCTTGAGCCCCACTAGGAAGTTGATGAGACGTGTTGGGTGGACAAAACACTCACGAATATCACTAGGGTCTTCGCTTAATGCACAAGAACGACGGTAGATATCTTCTAAGGCTGGTACTGCCATCAACATGACCTGGATTATGAAAATATTTATAATTTAATGGAGCCAAGTTAAAGGAAAAAAATAAAAATATATATACAGTATAGTAATGTTACTTCAAGGAATAGCAAAAGAAAATTATACTATTTCCCTAGCAACATATTTCCTAACATTTCCCCAAATATGAATAGAAGCCATTTCACAATCTCCAGAAGAACAATATAAAGGAAACTGAGAAAATGAGTTGATTGGAAGAGAGATGGAAGCCATTAATGAGTTCAATAATCTGTAGGACATGACTGATAAAAGAAATTTGTTTAAATAAAGTGGAGAATAGAGTGGGTCTGGAAAAGAAAATGACTGTTGGAGTAAAAGCCTTAATTTTAAAAGACCATGTTACACAGGATGATCATATTAAAAAACATTTTGTCTTATTATGTCATTACCATCCAGATGTTGTATCCATTTGGTTTTAACTATTTTCTATTGTTTTGACAACCACACTTGTTAATACATGGGTCTATAATTAAGAGGGTCTTCTCTACTACCATATTTTCAGGTTGGAACTATATTTGCCTTTTTCCACATATTTGCTAAGTTTCATATGCACAAAGATGTTTCAAATATCAATTGAAATGGAACGTTCAGCTGAGTTGCACATTCTTTCAGCACCTCAGGTGCTGAGAGAAACTCCATCTGGTCCAACTGATTTATTTTGCCCCAACCCCTTGAGTAATTTTTCAACTTTGTCTCGAGACATCTCTATATTTTATGGTGTTCTCTGGAATTGGCATTGTCTGGTTCTCTGAAAATCTCATATTGCACTAACACACTTTGAAACTGTTCATTTACTATTTTGCACATTTATTTTTTTCATTTTCTGTGAATCTGTACCCATTCTCAATCTTTGGATTTTATCCTTTACATGTAGCTTGCTTTTAATGTATTTATAGAAAAGGCCTGGTTCTGTTTTACGTTTGTTTGCTATTTTTTTTTTTTCAAAGTTCCTTTCTGCCTCTACCCTACTGCTGTGTATTCGTTTCTTGCTTGTTTGTAATGCTAGTAAGTTTGAGGGTTAGGCCTTTTCCTATATTGTACCTGCAGTGCCATTATGCCAACTTGTCATGGGTTGTCGATTATTAACACTCTTACCTTCAGGTGTTCCTTCACCAACACAGCCACTTCTCCCCCCCTTCCTAGTTTTTCTGTCATGTCTCCAAACTGAGACATGGTATTCTGAGATGAGGTATTCACTTAGGAATACAACCTCCTTTAAAATATTTTCTTCAAGTTAAGTTTCATATCTGTTAGTGCGACGATATCTGGAATCTTAAGCCGAATTATATCTTTAGCTTCAGTTATTTTTTTTATCTCACTCGATCTTTGTTGGTATATACAATTTTCAGGAACATATTCCCTCTCCATTAGTGTTTTACTCCCCATTCCTCTAATGATTTTGTTTTTAAGTACCATTTCACAAGATTTCCAGTCCCTCTTACCGTGTGTGTGTGTGTGTTAGTGTGGGTGGATGTGTGTGTCTATACACACACAGGTTTCTGCCCACTACAATGGTAATTATATGAAGAAAAATATGCAAGACATACATAACTAATCAATTTACCTTAGCAGCATAGCTATGGTTAGCATCAGGAGCATCATACACAGCATCATTCTCAAGCACAGGCTCTACTTCTTTATTCATGATGTGAAAAGAAACTGGCCGAGGGAACAGGAACGGTCGGTGAGCAGGGAATGTGTCTGACCACAGAGGGCGTGCTAAAAAGACATCGGATGGGACATAAAGATTGCTGTACCGCTTCTTCAGCTCCAACACATTAGCTTCTTTCCTGAAAAAATCACAGTAAGCTACAGTATTTCATATACAATGAAAGCAGTTACACCAAACAGCTGCAGTCATAAAGCATGAGCAATAAAATACTTCTACTGGTGCTGAAAAATGTAAACTTCATTTATAAATTCAGTAATGTAAAACAAGCAACACCCTATTCATGCAAAAAAAAAAGAAAAAGAGTATACTGCCTAATGTAAAAATAAAATTTAACCTATATAAATGTTTAGACAAGACTGAATTCTCAAAACAGATACAGTATCAACAATAACCACAACTCAAAAGCAATACTTGATAGCACAACACAATGAAAACGTGTGTGTTTAAGGTTAAAAAGTCCCAAAAAAATATAAGAAAATTAAATGTTTCAAGCTACTGAACCCAACCCCCAACCGCCACCAAAATTTAAAAAATTACGTCTCGGTATTTATCACTTTTTTCTAATAGCTATTATTTGTTGATGATATACACAAGTCAAAAGATGGGGCGAAGTAGGTATGTGGTAATTAGGGATAACATATGGTTGGTGGTGATATAGTAGTTGGATGTACAAATCTGGATTGGAAGGAAGATTGGTTTTCCAATACACTGCCCAACTCAGTTCAATCTTCAAATGTCTGATTATTTTGACTATGCATTTGTATGCAGGATCAGGCATCTTGCCATCCTCCACTTTCTCACAAGGCGAGAAGCCTACCACTTAGTTGGGCGGCCAGTCATGGAGGTTCAGTGAATCCTCTGCACCTGTTGCAACAATTCAGTCTCTTGTTTTTGTTTGTCCCTTTGGCCATCAAAGTGTTTCATTGTTTTATATCAGTGAATATATATTCACTGGCAGTCATCTTGCCACCATGGCTTAAAAAGATCCAGCACTAAATGAATTGAAATGCCAATTTTTGGGCGAACTCCAGTGGCTCCCTAAAGCTATACAATGAGATGGTTCCCATATACTGGGATGAACCAGCCATGGCATTCTTAGGCCTACTGGGGACCAGTCAGAACCTGGTCCCCTCACAGAAGTTCAGGGAGTAGTGACATTTCTCCACCCCGCCGTGTTAGTTAAAGATTCCATCAAGATATAAAAGATATGGAAGAGTGATACCAAGGAAGGCAGGATACTCACATGATGGCCAACTACTGCTGAAGTATTAAGAGATTGTCTAGAGATAAAGCACTCCAGAAATGCCAACAAAATTAAAATTTAATCCATGAAGGAAGAAAGTGTTGTGGTATTAGTTAACCTAAATAAACTAACGTCTGTCATCGCTTTGTGCATGAGAAAATCGGTAGAAGCCATGATGAGGATTAAACCGGCACACTGGGTACTCCCAAGTATATGCCCAAACTAACTCGGCCATGACATGCTAAAGCAATGCAACCTTGGATTCAACTGAATATCCTCTAGGGGACCCTGAGGCTTCCAATGAAGCCCAATAAGGGTTTCACGCATTGCTCACATGCACTCTGGCTGTGGTATAGGAGTTCTACCTGCAATGCTTCTCTTCACATGCACAAAAATATCACACTAATGTAAAGTATTAGCGAGAAAATCAGTAAAAACCATAATGAGGATTCGAACCTAGATTTGAATCTAGGGGATTCAAATTTAGAGAATTTGGTTGAATTCCAGGTTGCATTGCATTTAGCATGTCATGGGCAAGTTGGTTAGGGCATATACTTGGAGGTACCCATTATGCATGTTCGAATCTTCAGCATGGCTTCTACCGATTTTCTCATTGATACATATGCTAATGTGTTTTCTTTAAGCATATCCTAGTATACTGACATTCAACACATTATATCACAGTTTTCAAAATAAATAGCACTATTTACAGCCCAATACATAATGGCACTGAAGACAAATATAAAAATATCCTCTCTCCGAGAGTGACTTGGCCTGGAATCTGTTTTGTCAGCGATAAAGATATGCTGACAGCATCAGGACTTCGTTGTTCCATTACACCGAAGTAATTGACACAGGTTTTTTTTAAAGTAATTTTCTAACAATCAGGGCAAACATTTTTATCAATAAACGATATAAAAAATTAGAATTTTTTCTGTTGCATACAGTAATGCTTTTTTCACCCCAGGGGGTTAACTGGTATTCAATAAAATAGCAATGAACAAAAAATATTTTTTGGAACTATCGAACACTTGTTTGAAATTGCCAATCTACACACATTGGGTCCCCACAACAGTCTCTTATAATTACCTTTACAAAATTATGTTTCTGGCAGTTCTCTCTTACCCGGCATAATAATAATAAAAAAAATACTGTAGACAGCGGTTATTGTCAATTGTTGTTTCACAGGGTAATGCAGTTATCATAAAAAGATTTAACAAATTATTGTCTAGATTTTACATGTATGATGCAAATATGGACGCAACTGGTAAATTTTCCATTTTTTCAGTTACTTAATAAATATAAACTAGGTTTACACCTTTCTGAATCATTTGGCTACCCGAGGGTGACAAGGCTACAGTATTAGTATTCACAGCAAAATAAACAAATGGTGTTTTTGTATATACTGCACTGGTATTTATTTTACTTAAAAATCATCATGGTATTGTGTGTCAAAATATGCAAAAATAAATGTTTTACCGTTTGTTAAAAAAATTACACTATTGTAATAGAACAAAAAAATGGTACCTAACAAAGACTAGATACATTTAAAGTTACAGTATTTTGTGGCAGAAGGGCCCAGCACGTCTGTCCATTTGAGCAAGAGTACAGCTTATTATATAACTTTACGTACTGCACTGCCAAGGTGACATCACACAACCCTGGCAAACACCTACATATCAAATGAGTAGCTTACTAAAACTGCTGACTCTTGCACAATTCCAGAGAACAAGACTCCCCCAATTGCACAATAGGAAGGTTTTATAGTCATAGACAAGTGCTTTATATTTAACATTAATACAACAGAGCATTTAAGAGAAATCTGATCTTCCATGAATAACAAAATGACAAAATCATGTAAGAATGCCTAACAAAACTAAGTAACTTGCAAAAGACTTACATGTGTAATAAAATTTTAGGAACTTGGACATTATAGCGTGGGACAACTCGCATCCTCCGGCGAGGTGGTGATCGAGAACGTCCTCTACTCCTACTTCGCTTTCGACTTTCCCGTTTTTCTTCCTTATCTTTTTCATTACGTTCCCGGTCTCTATCTCTCGACGTCCTAGTGCGCTCTTCCCTTCTGTCTCTTCTAGGAGATCGAGGACGAGGTCCAATGCAGCCACGAGGACCAAAACCTCCAGGTGGAGTTTCTGTGAGAGGAAGGTGAAGTCATTTATATTAAGAATTATTTTCATTTATTTAAGCCAAGAAAGAATTAATAATAAGTTTGCATTAGAAAATGACAAATTATATTAGTAAAGACATGGAAATGCAAGCACTATACAATCTGTAGTTCCTTCATCTACCTGGAGGTCTCCAGCTGTACTATCTACATGAAGGCAAAAATAATAAATTAAGAATGAGTGTTAAATATCAAACATTAAAGATCCTCTCCTAACCTACCACTACTGAAATTAGGTGGAGGCACAGCATTATAGGAACCTCCTCTGCTATTCATCTCCCTCACAGGTAGATTGCTGCGGCTTTGATTTGGGGTTGGAGCTCCTGTGGGTCCAGGAATGACTTGTACACGGTTGGCATTCCATTTAAAAGGCATATTAGGATTATATGTTGCTTCCACCAGCACACGATCTCCGACTTTTGGTGCTTGTCCTTTAACACAACTGCTGAAGAGTAACATGCACATTAACCAAAATCCTTCCTTGGATACTATTAACTCCTTACATTTACTTTAAATGTTAAATGTGGTAGACTGAGGCCTAAATGGGAAATCTAGAATTATAAATATTTTTCTATAGCACATGAAACCTTTTTTCTCGTGTATGTTTGGACACCTATGCAATCTAGCCTATATTAATGTTTTAATGCACTCCTACAAATAATCATCCTTATTCACCATTATTCTCACCTCTTTTAAAGCTAAACCCTCTCTGTTTATAATATGAATTTATAACAAAATTAAGAAAGCTTTTTGAGAATCATATAATTTCAATCTTAAATACGATTTCAAAATAATTTCCATTCAGAATTACTGTTTGTATTTTCGTCACCAAACATCAATATACTTGCCTTGTCTGGAAAAAGACATCTTCATCAACAAAGCCAAAATCAGCACACAGTTTGGTAATGGTCCCGGTAAACACACGCTGTTTCTGAGGCTGTTGCCCAGCATTGTTGTTGGCAATATTATTTTGTAAATTAGTCTGTAGGTTGGTGGCAAGAGTGGCCATATTACTAGGGGTAGCTGCAGGATTAAATGCACCGGGAGGAGCCAAGGCCCTTGGGGTTGGGTAGCTTACTGCTGTCACCTGCACACCAAGAGCAAAGATTTTTTTTTAATGGAGAACAAGCTCAACATTTAACGAAATGCAATTAAATATAGGTTACTGGCATACTCTGGTATCTGTGTACATGCTGGACACTCATAATCAGGCCTTAAGCTATTCCTTTTTGCCTCAGGACTGTTATCCTACAAAAGATTATGAGATAATATACAGAAACATACAAATAAAAATATAGGTATCTAGGCGAAATCATTAGAGCATGACAGTCACAAAAATTTAAAAATAAAATACAGTACACATTATTCTATAGATAAATAATACCAATTTACAAAACATTTACCTCAAAATACCTAGACTTGTTTACATCTTAGTAAAAATTATATAATATGATGCAAGCATTCACATATTGTGGGGGAAGGAAGTATTACATTTAAAAATAACCCCAGATTAACCCTTTGGCTTCAAAATTTAACAGCAGCCAAATTAAAAGAATAGGGCCTTGACTGTAATATGTACAATGTCCATGTACCTCAAAAAACATTTATCATTATGTAATGTTTACCCAGGTGCTCTGACCCGATGACAATTGTATGTCACCCTGTACAGTAGCATAAAAATGGCAATTACATATATCTCCTTTGGCCCTTCCACAGTGCATATCATATATTTATATATGATTTTGCCCTAACTGATTTACAATGCATATCACACATACATGATTTAGAGTACTGCATTAAGATTGAAAAGTCCTACAGGTTCATGGGACACGGATTAGCTTTTCCCAGGCCTCCAGTAAACATACACTATTTTGAAAAAAAACTGTGTGAAGGGCTCAGTACCGAGTGAGCATCCAAGGGTAGCACATGCAGCACGAGTTAACGGCACTGCTATTCAACTTGAGTCTACACCATTACTTAAAAATGAATATATAAGCAACTACTGTATTATTTTTTGATGATGGTATCATAGAAGATCCCGACTGTAGTAAAGACTATGTACAGTGTTCAGATATCTGTAAAAACAATACCGTTTATGATGTTCACAGCATGATGATCTTATCTTGAAGTTATCTTGAGATGATTTCTGGGCTTAATGTCCCCGCAACCCAGTCCTCAACCAGGCCTCCTGTTTGGTACACATCCCCCAGAAAGCAGCCCGTAGCAGCTGTCTAACCCCCAGGTACCTATTTACTGCTAGGTGAACTGGGGGAATCAGGGTGAAAGAAAATCTGCCCATTTGTTTCCGCCTGCACTGGGCATCGAACCTGGAACCTTAGGACTATGAATCCAGAGAGCTGTCCACTCAGTCATCAGGTCCATGATGCTGGCAGCCACTGCACTCTGCCTGTGTTTAGTGCATTTATGCATCATGAAACAACTTCATGCTTCTTTAGAAAATAAACGTGTGCAAAAATTATTCATATTCAGGATTTAGTGACCAGGATGCTGCTGACAATAACACTGTGACTGGAGTTAGGGATAGGCGTGTTATGTTGGATATGGTGGTTATAAAATTTCAATGTAATTACATATGTATACTGATTATGTTCATGCAGTTTAGACAACTCTTTTAAAGTTATAAAGTTGTAATGAAGTGTACCAGCTAAACCATTCACCATTTTAACAAAATAATAAAAGAACTACAGAAGGCCTATTGGCTTGTATGTGACACCCCTATTTATATTATGGATATATATATAGCTGCTGCTTTGAATGGGCCAATAGTCTTTGTGCACTTTCTTTAGTCCAGAGCTAAGTCAACTCTCGTATCAGGAACAGTTGAGGACCACAGGGCTAACAACACTGCAAACCAGGCATGACAGGGCTGATCTCATTGAAACTTTTAACATACTGAACAATTTGGAGGATGTTGATCCGGACAATTTCTTTAAAAGATCATATGTAACATGAACAATGAGTAACAGATCCAACAAGCCACAATGTAGGACTGAGAACAGGAAATGATTGGACTGAAATGAAATGAAGCCATGAATAAATGGGAAAAGGTGTAAAAGTCATGCAATTAAATGGCTTTTGGAACTGAAAAGCAAGAGCTATGGGGAGAGGTTAGAAGCAAATATGGCGAAGTCAGAACACAGAAGAAAAATAGATATGATCAGAATGTGCAAAATAGTAACAGGAATTGACCAAAGAATTTCCGAAACTTGGAACCTCACAAATAAGAGGTTATAGATTTAAGCTTACTTGACAACCTGTCAAAAGAACATTAGAAAGTTCACTTTTACAAGCAAGAGTGGTAGTCTGTTGGAACAAGTGAGAAGGTGGTGGAGGTCAAAACTGTCAGTACTGTAGTTTCAAAGCATCATATGACAGAAAACTGGGAAGACAGGACCCCATAAGTGTAGCTCTCATCCTGTAACTACACTTAGGTAAACACACACACACAATGAAATATTAATAAACGATAGGCCTCTGTACATTAGAAACAAGTTGCAATTATCTTTTTAGTCCCAACCTAATACTGTCATGTACACAGAGTGAAGAACAGAGGTCAAAGGACCAATAGACCTTACGTTGTGGAGACAGTGCAGCCAACCGAAAATGAACTGACCATTTAGTTGGAGACCTCAAATGGGACTTGTGATCACAAGGAAGAACACTTATACAACTTTAAGTGTACATGGAATAGAATGCACTTATACTGATCATTCTGAGCTGAATTGAGCTCTGGGAAATCATGGATTTCTATCTATGCCCCCGAGATATAATACATTAAACAATATCAAGCATAAATTGTAAGCAAGGTGTACCTGAGGCTGTGGTTGTGGCTGTCCCTGTGGCTGGGGTTGTGGTTGAATCTGGGGCTGCATTTGTGAGTTGGTCATCTGGGCAGGATTGACAAGGCTGGGGGGCTGCAAGGCCTGGGTTATAGGAGGCTGGCCCATAAGGCTGCCCCCTGTATTGGGTTGACCTATTGTCTGTTGGGTGATGGTAGGTTGACCAAGAGTCTGCAGACCTCCCAAACCTGGTGGCTGGATCATGCTCTGTTGAACGGGTGCATACTGTGGCTGTTGAGGAGCACCACCCAGCACCAGCTGCTGGCTAGGGGCCGATGGGTGTTGACCGAGGAGAGATGGCTGCAGCTGCGGAGTCGCCTGTGGCCTTTGCTGCCATGGTGGAGGCGCTTTCCCACCACCAAACTGTGCCATCCTCCCTCACCTGAAAAAATGCAAAAGCTTGCATGATGATAAAATCTGTTTTAGGATTTTCAACCATCAATGAAAAATATATTTAAAGATATGAGCACAGCAAGAGAGGATAATTCAACTAACATAGTAATAATTAAGACAACAGGTGGAGACAACATGGGAAAGCGCCAAGATACAAGCAATACGCTAGAGAGCAGACACAGCAATGGCAGAGGAAACCTGTATTTATAATCACATTAAGAGCCCCTCCCCCCCACAAAGGTCAAACTACTGACCTTCCCTGAGATGCAACCCACAACAGCTTATTAACTGCTGGATACCTATTTACTACAAGGTGAGTGAATCTGGGATCCAAGACGGTCCGTCTAATTACCACAAGCTACACAAGCTTCACAAAGCTTCCTGGCAATACGTTAGTAATGAATAAATATGATATATTTACTCATTATAATGTTGGTGCTGAATGTACAACACGAAAAAACATAATTTTAATCTGAAAAAGTATCTTTTTATAAAGAAATTAGACGAAAATAAAAAGCTGGTGACGCCAAATCAAGTCGACGATCCAAGCTTCGGTTAAGTTAAGTTAGGTTAGGTTAAGTTAGGTTAAGTTAGGTTAGGATAGGTTAGGATAGGATAGGTTAGGTCAGCCTAACCTAACACATCATATTTATTCATTACTAACGTATTGCCAGGAAGCTTTGTGAAGCTTGTGTAGTTTGTGGTAATTAGAGGGACCCATCCAAGATAGTGAGTCAAGAGTGAAGCCCACTGTATCACAAGACTGTATCTACTATGCCACTACCTTCATTACTCACTCCAAAGTCTTGTATAATAACTGCTGCTAATGTCAACCTCCACTGAATAACAATTCATCAAGAACAAACAAGATACAAGGTAGTCAGAATAAATATATTTAACGACACAAACATCAATAAGGCTCCCAAAGAGGTAGTTGGTAGTTCAACCCCTACTGTCTTCCGTGTCATACTGTGTACATGTGGTGCCCCTTGTCCCCACACCTTAGGAGACCTCGTGCCTGTCTCAAGGTGATCATTCCCACCTTAGTTCATGCCACACACTGACCTCCTCCTCTCTCGGCTGACCAGTTTGTTTACACAGAATTTCGTCAGAATTTGTCGAACTTTCCCCCATCAAGTGTTTATTAGACATCGGCTTTTATTTTCCAGTGTACAGTAAGGAAGGGCGGCGAGTGTTGCGCTATGTAGGAGCCAAGGATGACTTACCCTGGTAAGAGTGGTGTAAAAACCCTCCAAATAACGTCAAATGACGGCGGAGTTGACAACAATATGGCGGTAGATAGTATTGACGGCAGCGGAAACGTTGGTACGCATGCGCCCTCTCCTAGCAACTGCTCTCGCCTTCTTTTAACACATTTTAAATTAATAAATAAATAAATGTTTATTCAGGTAAAGTACATACATACAAGAGGTTTTACAAAAATTGATAGATTTATAGATAGAGCTAGTACATACAATGCCTAAAGCCACTATTGCGCAAAGCGTTTCGGGCAGAGCTAGTGTCTTATAGCTAGTTTTTAATCTATTATGTATTTATTTCAAATCATATAACTACTCTTCTTTGCATATATATATATACCGCATATTTTAAAATATTTATTAGAAGTAACATTTGCAATTTTTAAGGACGCCTAACACGCTCGGGAGAGGTGGTAATCTCTTATTTTAATGTTTTTTTTGGTCCTAATCGTTTTTTTATTGTTATTAACAAGCTTAGGTATACACAACAATGTGCTGCTACCCTATTCTATATGAGAGATTACACATATGAGCTCTGGAGCTCATTAACCAAAGTCTCAGGCTCATTGTCGTTATTCATCCATTATTTCCTTCTTGCTGTTGTGCAAGAAGAAAGATTTTGTTTCTTTTGATATGAAGGTTATTCAACAGGTGTTGTGAAGCTATATAAGCCTATACCATTACATGCTACTTGAACGAGAATGCTTATGCTATTAATACAAATGAACGAAAATCACTGAAAAATCAGAAATTTGTCATTTATTATTTTTTCCCTTTCGATCAATACTGTAGCTTATGATCAACCGGAATTGCTTCCATAATGTTATCTATTATAATAATTAATAATGTAAATAATAATTAATGCTACATCTACTGACCCCATATTGTAATAAGTCTATGCGTGTCATCCTCAAGGATCAACTTTTTTGTATTCATGTGTTATTTTCCATGAACGTTCTAATTTTTTTTAACTTACTTCTTCTTAGTATTAAGTGCTTTACCCCCTCACACTTTTAGTTAACTTTTTTGTCTTTTTTATGTTCATGTTTTGCCGGGAATACTTTGCGTAATAGTGGCTTCATTCGGTCCGTAGAATTACCCAAAGCCACCACATGGAACCCAAAGCCTGCTAGTATTGCGTAAGTAATGAAGATATATGGTATATTTACTCACTATAATGTTGGTGCCGAATGCATAACATGATGAAACCTATTTTTACTTTGAAATAATCTCATTTCATAACGAAATTAGAAATAGATATGTGGCAGGTGGCGCCCTAGAAAGTCGAAGGTCCAAGGGACAATGTTGTGGAGCGACTTTCTAGGATGTATTGTCCCCGGGATGTAAATTTTAAATTAAATTAATTAATTTTTTATTCGGGAAAAGTACATACATAATTGATTTACACTGTGTTGGAATTATAGATAGAGCTAGTACATACAATACCTAAAGCCACTAATACGCATAGTGTTTCGGGCAAATCGAAAGGCTATGTAGAAAATTTTCGTGCATGTCGAAAATCGTGAAGTTGCTGTTAAGTCAGGGTTGATTTGTTTTTGTATTGAGGCAGGTATTTTCTCCCCTGATACCATGCATGACTAACCATTTAGTGAGATGGGAGTATTAGATGAACTTATAGCTAGTTTTTGATCTACACTGTGTAATCTTTCACATAGAATAGGATAGCAGCACACTGCTGTGTATACCTAAGCTTGTTAATGAAAATAAAAATCGTGTTAGTGGCTTTACAAGAATGTATAAATACCAATGTTATGTACCCTCATAACCCCAATGTACCTTCTTGTATATACGTAAATAAATAAAACAAACAAATAAATAAATAAGCGAAAAAGACTAGTTTAAGTAGCGACCGCATACTAACGAATAACGATAGAACTATGTAACAAAACTATTGTCCTATAGAGTTTATTTAACTTCCAGACACGTTTTTTAAATTAAATATTAAATGTTTCCTGACCGTTTATGCTAGATATTATTATAAATACGCATTCTACTTGTTAATATAACCAATTAAATTTAGGATGCACTATATGCAGTGCTGTGCTGGATGCAGATTCTATACATAGTTTTAAATGTAGATATGATCGAGCCCAATATGCTCAGGAACCTATACATGTTTTCGACTTTTATTAGACCAAAGCTGGAATATGTAGCGGTTGTGTGGTGCCCGTATCTAAAGAAGCACATCAACAAACTGGAAAGAGTGCAAGGACATGTCACTAAGTGGCTCCCAGAACTGAAGGACAAGAGCTACGAGGCATTAAATATGCCAAAACTAGAAGATAGAAGAAAAAGATGCGACATGATCACTACGTACAAAATAGTAACAGGAATTAATAGGGAAGATTTCCTGAGACCTGGAACTTCAAGAACAAGCGCTCATAGATATAATCTAACTAAACAAAGATGCTGAAGAAATACAAGAAAATTCACTTTCGCAAACAGAGTGGTAGACGGTTGAAACAAGTTAGCTGAGAAGGTGGTGGAGGCCAAGACTGTCAGTAGTTTCAAAGCGTTTTATGACAAAGAGTGTTGGGAAGACGGGACACCACGAGCGTAACACTCATCCTGTAACTACACTTAGGTAAATTACCAGTTGTTTGACAGTTGAGAGGTGGAAGCAAAGAGCCGAAGCTCAAGCCTCCCGTAGTTGTGCTTACGGAGGGACAACTAGGTGAATATTATTTGGTCTACAATAATTTATAATTTGTTATTCACCAATACAGAGTTGAAGAGTATATATCTTAATTAGCTACCGTTACTTGTCATAAGTAACGATATCCCAGCCTAATTCCGGCAATTACAATGTCACACCGTCTGCTAAATGTTTATGCTCTGACTTTTCAGATATCATAATTCTTTATACTCGTGCTTTCTGCCATTTGTGTCGTTGATCGGTTGGAACAAGCTCTATATTAAGATTCTTTTGCCACCTCTATATTAAGCCTGTCCTCTCGCATAACACTTCACATTTTGACGTAAAATTCCTCAACCTGAAATAAGATGCACACACTTTCACGCGCCAGTGTCGTATCTAAACGACGCGTATTTTTACCTGGAACTACCGGTGCGTCGTAAATTTACGCGCGATTAAAAAATATTTGTATAAAATCCAATTCTTATTCGATCGACTTGGGGATAGTATGAAAATGTTTGCCATTAAATTTCCGTTTTCTCTAATAGGCACATGGCATATTTGGGAGAACGGCATTGTATTGTAACTTAGTGGAAAGACTATTGTATTGTTGACACGGCGAGTGTAATCGCGCACTTCACACACTCTTGGTGTGGGCCGCGATCATGATTCTACATTTATATGCATATGTACGTGTAGAGAATTTAATTGCGATCACAGTGATACCAAATTTGACGCTGTAGGACAAGTGTGAAGTTGACAACCCTGAAAAGAATAGAAACATTTCGTCGCTGTTTGGAGCATAATAAATGAACTAAACTAAACTAACTGTTTGGAGCTCACGGCTAGTGATCGATGTAGTTCTTTAGCTTTTTGTGGGATTTAACTCATGCTTTGGTGACATATACATATATTCTTATAGATCATTCTATTGCGAACACACTGGTACAAAAATGAAATCTGAACATCGAAAATTAAGGTCAGGACAGCGAAAAGAGTATGCATTTTTCAGTGTTGCCGCTTGGTCGCCCGAAAACGTCGATTTCACTTCGAAGTTCCAGTCCATTTCGCCGAGGGCGTGAAAGTGATTATTAAAATCATAGTGGCTCGTAAAATCGACGTGATGTCCCGTTTTCTATTCATGGGCTGTTAGGCTCGGATACTTTAATATAGTTTAAGTTTGTTTACGCGTGTTTACGTAAACTTTAAGATAGTTTTAGTGTGGCTTTGTCAATAGTGGACTACATAGCTCTTAATTCAATTTCAGGTTTGTTATGTGCAGCTTTAGCTGCTTGTCTAAAATTCAAAATTCAAATTCAAATGTTTATTTAGGTAAAGTACATACATGCAAGGGGCGATACAAATATTGATGAATTTATAGATAGAGCTAGTACATACAATGCCTAAAGCCACTATTACGCAAAGTGTTTCGGGCAGGAAAAACACTAAAGACTAAAACTTAATACTAATTGAGATTAAAGTATAAAATGTGTTGAGAAAATATAACAATAAAAAAGAGGGGAATATGGCAGAAAAACAGCAAAAATACAATTTGGTCGACAAACAGCATTGTTTAAAAATAACAGACATGGGTCTACTGTTGTACATTACAGTACGTCTGTGTACCTAAGCTTATTAATAAAAAGAAGTTCTGAAATTCGTACTTTGTATGTACGTGAGGGCCACTATGTTCTAGGTGGACACGACGGGGGACAGGTAGCCGGCGCTTGCTAAAGATCCCCCCCCCCCATTTTTCCTTAATTTTTTCTAAATAAATGTTGAATTGCAGTAATGTTACGGCTTCGGAGGGTATAGGCGGTCCAATGGGTTCATAACCCTATGGGTACTCACCTAATTGTGCTTGCGGGGGTTGAGCTCTGGCTCTTTGGTCTCGCCTCTCAACCGTTGAGGCGAGGTGTAGCATCTGTTTTCTGTCCTACATTGTGGCTTGTTGTGTACACATACCCTGTTTTTTATCTTTATTAAATAATATACAATATAAAACATATATACATCAACTTTACAAGGAAATACAACATAACATATACAGTAGCAAGTGTTTCATATCATCAACAGAGCATGAACTTTAAACCCCTAAATGTTATACTTTTTTCCTTAAATTTGATTTACAATTTAGAGATTATAGCGGTAGCGCAAAAGGATTAATGAGGGCATGAAACGAAAGACCTCAGTGGGTATTTCACATTTGATTTGCCAATTGCCAATCAGCTTTACCAGTTGATTGACAGTCGAGAGGCGGGACCAAAGAGCCAAAGCTCAACCCCCGCAAGCACACAGCTAGGTGAATGCATTAGCTTTTATAATTGATCTGCCAATCTCGTAAATTGTAATTAATGATAATAATAGCTAGTAACAAACTTCTTGCAATGCAACTGCTATAAATGGCTAAATAGTATTATGCACATTGGAGGCAAGTCATTTTGTTAGTACATTATTTAACATAATTTTCAAATAAACAAATCCACAAGGGCAGTGACGAGGATTCGAACCTGCGTCCGAAAGCATCCCAGACGCTGTCTTAATCGACTGAGCTACCAATTTTCAAAATTGGAGATTACAGGGTACAAGAAGAGCTCGTAATCACTGCCTGGCCCCCTGGCACTTGTGTTGGTGCGCGGATGTCGGGTGTACGATGCTTGCTTGCTTGCACCTCATCAGACTCAATACATCACCCATAGTTATTATCTCAGGCATGCTAATTATAATTCGATTCCCAAGCATATTACTATCGCAAACTAAGAATATATATCTCAGTTACTGCTATTAAAATCGCATAATTTTATATTTGGTAGTTCGCCTGCATTCCAATGCATCCGAGCGCTTGATAAGTAAGAAGTCGGTTTTCACTGGCTGTCGAGAATTACTGCACCCAATCAAATTACTCGTTAGTGATGGGTTGAGTTAAGAATCATATCAACAGCATGTCCTTGAAGACAGCCAAACCCCCTCTTCCACCTTGTCGTAATGTTCTGTGGCTGTTTGTAGTGGTTATATATAGTGGCAGTGTTTCTCCAGGTTCAAGGAGCTCCACAGGTTCTTAAGTTCAAACAGTTATTAAAGTGAGTGAATGATGTAATACTTTGTAGTGTTAAAATACTGTAACACTCAAAATAATGGAAATTACCGCGGAAGGACCTATTATTAAAGTGTCTTTGTTTAAAATGTGATTTTATAATTATTGAAGCTGTCGCCTAAGTTGTCGACCATGTTCAAGCCTATGGAGGCACGATATGTAATATGGCTTTAATTAATTTATTAATGGGTTTAATTTTCTTCTATAGTCACACGAATGTAACTGTGATCCATTTTTTGAGCCCAATATTTGTGTACCTATAACTTTTTTTTTTTTTTAATTCGACGTCGCGCCAAAACGTTAATTTGAATTGACTCGCCATAGTGTCAATTGACTCTTGGATGTGCTTCCCACTGGGAAGTTAGGCCGGTGAGCAGGATGCGTAATAATTAGTATTAATTAGATGATATAGGTCTATTATAATGAGATGTTAGCTTTACTTTATTGAATAATGACGATTCATACTATCATGCAAGAGGAGCCATATACAGCTATGGTTCATCCAATAAAATCAAGAGACTTCTAGATGTTACTACTGCTCGGCTTAGACTCGGTTACAAGTATCTCTGGGAATTCTCATTATCTGCTGATGTAGACCTGACCAAATGTAAACTGTGTCAATAAAATTATTCGCACACCCTCCGTCACTATGTGATGGAGTGCGAAAAGATACGTGAATTTAGAGACGATTCAATAACCAATGTTCCAACGATGTATAAATATTTCATTCAAAATGATCTGCTACCAGAAATTTTAGCCAAATATCCCAAGTTTGCAAACTGTAGGTAGTAACTAAGTTATTGTAACCTATCTACCGCTGCCCACTTGATGGAGGGCGGTGTGCAGGACAAACATATCAACTGTGACACTAGCTCTCCACATATGTCAGTTACTTAATTTAAAAACTGTACTTGTGGTCGATCTCGAACCCATTGTTGATGTGACGTGTATTGAATTTTGTAACTAGCTCATCAAGATTGTAACTTGCTTAGCTAAATGAATTGTGGGTCCAGTCCCTGAGCCCATTATGTGCCTCTGTAACCCTTTCCACTACCGCCTACAAGATGGGTATGGGGTGGATAATAAAATAAATGAACTAAACTAACTTGCCATTGACAGGGTTAGATGACCCATCAGTGCAGATTTGATCTAATTCATTTCCGGCTTCTTTATAGATTTCCTTCAGATAATTGTACCTCATTTCTTGAGTTATCATGTTGGACTTTTCGTTGCCATCTCATTGATTATAATCCTGCATGGGTCATCCAGGCACGGAGGTAACCTCTCTACAGGCATGAGCTCACGGGCTTGCTCAAGCAGGTGAAGTTCTTCCAGATAGCAGACCCACCGGCATTACCATTTGTTTTCCTGTTTCCTCCTGTAAGTAGCACAGAACTCAGTTTTTCTTATCAATATCGTTGTAATAGGGATCTCTGGCTATATTAATTAATTACAAGCTTAGCATTCAGTTCCTTAATTCTGCTTTTAACACTGGGGAGGGACAACTTCTCTCGTAGATTAGATGTTTTGGCAATTCTTGGGACTCCAAGAATGATTGTCATGGCTTCATTTTTAATGCTTTCAAGTTTTTTCATATCGCTTTGGGAATAAGTGCACAACAACTGGTGCGGCATAGTCTATGACGGAGCGCACATAGGCTGTGTACATCATTTTAAACACGGCAATAGAGGCCCCATACGCATTCCAGGTCGTAGCTTTCAGTGCCCTGAGTCGACTATTACATGTTCCTATGAGCTGGTTGAGCTCCTCTTTCTTCCCCTTGTTAGAGCCGACAGTGACGCCAGGGTACCCATAGTGGTCAACCCATTCAAATGTTACACCCATTAAATTAATTTGTAGTTCATTTTCTCCCCGCTTGTGATGAGAGTATGCTTTTGTCTTGTTTGTGGAGTGAAACAGTGCAACACATTTCCTTTCAAGGAGTTCATTGGACTGTTTAATTATTCCTAAGATGGGAGCTTGTATTAGGACGTGTTCCTTCCGGAAATTCAATATTTGCAATGGCGTTATACTCTATTTGCTGATAAGCGGAGTACACTGGCCTTCTCTTTTTATTATAGATATTATATTTAATTATATTATTCAATTATCATTATATTGTATGTGGTTGTATAATAATTTCTTAATAATCCATGTTAATATTCCTTTGTACAGGTGTATGGTGTTGGTGTAAGGATTATTATGTATGACGTAGTGGTGGTTGGTGGCGGGGCGGCTGGCCTCACAGCCGCCTACAGGCTTCTCCAGGCTGATCCCTCCCTCTCCCTCGTCCTCTTAGAGGCCAGAGGTTAGTGTTCCTCTTAAACTCTTAATTATTGTTAATTGTCAGGGAAAAGCGCCAAGCTATCACAACTTTATAGCACTTGTAAGGGATCAGAACAAGGATTTGGGATGGGATGGGGAGGGGAAGGAATGGTGCCCACTTGGACGGTCAGGGATTGAACGCCGACCTGCATGAAGCGAGAGCGTCGCTCTATAAGAAATAAGTAATAGTCGAGTGTTCTGCCGTGCAACGTAATTATGCACCTTAGATACCTGCTGTGATAAAGGTCTCTCTGAAGAACTATGAAAGTTGGTGATATTGACTCTTTGTTACTGATGATACGTTACTCCTAAGGTTTATATATATATATATATATATATATATATATATATATATATATATATATATATATATATATATATATATATATATTGATATAACTGGCATATCATTAATTTGCATAAATCATTGTTCTCATGTGATTTTATAATGTGCAGTACGGGAGTTCACACCAAAAACACCAACTCAAGTCACCAATAAATACACAATCCTCACCCCCCAAAATTATATACAACTGAGAGAAATATTTAATATTTACTTTTTCACTCGCATGGTTATAAACATATGGAACCGCCTACCCGCCGAAGCCGTAAATGCCAAAACTCTGCTAATTTTAAAATCCATCTGGAAAAATCATCAGGGCAAATGAGGCTTGGTGGGGGGAGGGGGGGGTGGACGTTTGACAAGCCGACGGGTTCCTGTCCTCGTCGAGGTCACTAGTGTTAGTGGCCCTCGGGTAAATTCAAGTAAATTTATTGTTGTATACAGATTAGACTTCATATTTTTGTACTGTTGAAAAGTGGAAACACCTTGTAGGCTCTTTGGTTTAGTGTAACCCTTCGCTTTGTCCCCGCTGTCCTCATTGGACACAGACGCATCTGTAGAAATGCATTGACAAGCCAATACGGCCGCCACGGTCTGATATGTCGTAAGTCACAGGTCAGGCTTGTCAAACATGCAAAAGTCAACACCATGACGAGGAGCCTCACAAAGCAAACGACACATATAGGCTTTACAACATTTGGAAGCGTCCGACCCCCATGCTTCACTAGAAGGATGGCAAGCCAGTGATGTGTGACTACACGTGCCTCCATATTGATCAGTACCTTCAATACACGTGCAACTGAAGGGGTGGCATTGCTTATTTCGGGGAAATGCTGAAACCCAAATCCAGAGGACTAGCACAAAGCTAAAGTTTTGTTCCTAATGGCTCGTGGGGGAAAATGTGCACTGAAGTTCCTGAAAGAGCTTACTAGGGTTACAAAGGGCACAATTTTCTTGTTCTAGCGGCTTAGTGTTGCAGATCAGCGGGAAAATGTCTTGGGCATGCATCTATAGTCCCTTCCCCAAACGCCTCAGTTAGTAAAGCTCCTCCAGAGCGCTGTACCCCTGCATCTATTTATGCTAACTAAGCTCTTAGTTCAAGTGTCATTATACAGCAACTTGGATGCAGTTGCTAAAACTCTCTGGACTTATATGTTAATTTAATATTTCAGCAATTGCAACTATATTAATTACAATTTTATATTAATTATACTGTTGTATTATTAAATAATTATATCCCCTATAGTGTTTGAATCATCCAGCCGAAAATGGAGGAGCTTGTATGTTGATTCAAGTATGTTTATTGAGATAAGCAATAAATACATCTCAAAGGGATAGAGTAGCTTAGGCTATTTCTACCCCCCCTGTATGTTGATTCAGAGGCGACGATGATTTTGGGATCGGATGCGCCCCGGCGTGCCCATAAAGAGTTAATCACGAAGCCCGGAAAGGGTAAAGCACCAAGCTTAATCGCGAAACGAGTGACGCCAATCACCGAAACCAATATATGCCTCGCGGCAAAGAAACGCAGACAGGCAGAAGATAATTGGGGAACCCCAGAAGTCCCTCAGGGTGACGAGCACCGGCCCCGCCCCACACAAAGAACACTAGATAGCAAACCAATATCTCGGCCCCCAACTAAAACGCAAAAGTCATCCAGTACCCTCTGGCAGATCAGAAGCCAGCCGCCCACCACGGCTGAGGGTGGTGGGCGGCTGGCCCCGGTAGGCAAGAACTCCGTGCATTGACTGATGCCAGAAAGTTAAACATATCCCAACATTCGATGTGCCTTCAGATCTTTTCTCAAAATAACAGACTAAACTAGGTCACACGAGGTCATCCCATCTCTCACAGACAGGGTCGGAGGTCGGACGTTGACGCTGGATGTGGACGTTGGAGGGGGTAAGACGGACAAGTTTGACTTGGGAGGCCAATGGGTCGCCTCCAGCCAGCATCACGTCATTAACATGCTGGAGGAACTGGGACTCAAGGTCTATCCTCAGTGAGTAAATATGCGTTCTGGAGAGGTTGAGACTTGGGATCATCGTCAGTTAGGAGACATGCTGCAGCTGTCTCTGTCTTGATCTTTTGCTTTGTTTGCCTCTGTCTGTATGAAGTTGTTTGTCTTTTTTTTTTTTTGCATTGGTCGACCCATTCTTTCTGCAGGCCTATCTCTGTCTTTGTTTATCATATATTTTTTTTACCTGTCAGTATGTCTTTCTCATTCTGTCTTTTCACTATTTTTTCTTTTACTTTTCACTGTTTTTTTCCTCATTTAAAAAAAATCAAATTAAAAAAAAAATTATATACTGTACTTGTATTATATATACCAAAAACTACCATTGGCATGTGAGTGGTCCACCAGTGGGAGGAGCATATTAAAAAAATATTTAGTTAGGTGTAGCCGACGAGCAGTGCCAAAAATGGATGTGAGGATCAGAAGGTGAACCTGGCACACTGTTCCCCTCTTGAATTCTGGTGACTACAACCACCATATGTCTGTCTTGTACCCCAGACCATTTCCCCTCCAAAGTTGGGGAGGCTAGTCACAAGTACAGTATCTGCCTCCAACCTTGGATAAACAGACTTATAGATATAGTAAAAAAAAAATGGGGACAAAGATTTAAAAAATAAACTAAGCTTCAGCAAACTGTAGAATTATACTGTTTCAGTTGAACCTCTCACATGACAAGACAACTGGTTTTCTCCCCAGGTACACCCAGGGCACCAAGGTGATGCAGCTGGGAGACAATAAAATAAGAACTTACACCAGCGACATACCTTCACTTGGCCTGAGGGGTCTTATAGAACTGCAGCTCTTCTTATGGAAGGTTAGAATCTGATGTATACATTACACACATCCACAAGGCTGCAATTCTTTTTCCATGTTGTGGCACAGTCAATTAAGGCGCGTCTGGGATCCTCTTCGACGTAGATTCGAACCCTCATCACCGTACTAGTGGCTTTACAAAAATGTAAAGACATCTATGCTATGTAGTCCACCAGTCTCCGTGGTGTAGTGGTAAGACGCTCACCTGGCGTTCCGAGGAAAAAAAAAGTACTCTCATAAACCCAATGTACATTCTTGTATATACAGTATATAAATAAATAAATAACTGAGAAGGTTATCTTGAGATGATTTCGGGGCTTTAGTGTCCCCGCGGCCCGGTCCTCGACCAGGCCTCCACCCCCAGGAAGCAGCCCGTGACAGCTGACTAACACCCAGGTACCTATTTTACTGCTAGGTAACAGGGGCATAGGGTGAAAGAAACTCTGCCCATTGTTTCTCGCCGGCGCCTGGGATCGAACCCAGGACCACAGGATCACAAGTCCCGCGTGCTGTCCGCTCGGCCGACCGGCTCCCCAAGGTGGTGGAAGCCAAAACCATCAGTAGTTTCAAATCGTTATATGACAAAGAGTACTGGGAAGACGGGACACCACAAGCATAGCTCTCATCCTGTAACTCTATTTAGGTAATTACTAACGTAACTACAACATTGCATCACAGTAACAATAGTAAAAATAACGTTGTGGTTTCGTTATGTATGTGCTTAGCACATACTGTATATTCTATGTTTTGAGAGAGAGCAGATGAGGGGGAGACATTGGGAGAGTGTAGAAGAAAGAGGGGAGGGGGGGGAAGAAGAAAGAGGGGAGGGAGGGGGGGAAAGAAGAAAGAGGTGAGGGGGGATAGGAGAGAAAGAGAAGGGAGAGGATGGAAGTAGTAGAGGGGAGGGGGGGAAGAAGAAAGAGGGGAGGGGGGGGGGGAAGAAGAAAGAGGGGAGGGGGGGGGAAGAAGAAAGAGGTGAGGGGGGATAGGAGAGAAAGAGAAGGGAGAGGATGGAGGTAGTAGAGGAGAGGAGGAAAGAGGGGGGTAAAAAAAGGGAGAAAAGGGAGGGAAGAAAGATAGGATGGGGGTAGATTTGGTGAGGAGAGAGAGGGAGAAACCTGGGCACTGCCAGGTACCCCTATCTAATATCATGAAGAGAATATCTGTTAGCAGCTAAAGACTAGACACTTGCTGAAAGCTTCAAAAAACTTTACAGGGTGACTGGTGGTTGTTTGGGGATGATCATAGTTATGTCAAAGTTGACCCACATATGCATGAAATGGCATGATATATTAATTTCCAGACTTGTTAAATACCAGATTCCATTCTCACTAATATTCATACAGCATATTACTTTCTGCATTATAATTAAATGTTAGTTTGTCTTGTGTGATAACAAAATGTACTCTACATTTTTTAACCAAAATAATTTCATCTGTATTGACTCAGGTAGAGCGTATGGCAGCCAAGGTGCCCATCACTGACCCTTACAGTAGTCAGTACGCAGCCCAGTTGGATGGAGAAACGGTCGACACTTTCATGAGGAAATCTATTTCCAGCAAGGCTGTAATGGAGGTCATAGATATCTCATGCAAAGCCGCTTTTGGTAAGTTTAAAAGACGTGTTTTTAAGATTTGCTATTGTATGTTAGTAGCAACAGGCACCACTTGTTTTCCTTTTATGATGATATGCAGCTGGGGAAAACTCATTGATCAACTTAAGACAGTCTCTAAACCATTTAGAAAATGTTTGAGAAATAGGTCATCAATCAAGTTATCCATAATTAAACTCATCAATTAGTTATCCACATTTCCTTTCACCTTTCAACCACCAATAAATGGGTATCATGGAATTAGGCAACTGTTGTGTTGCATCTTGGGGAAGGTGTCATATTGGTCAAGGGAGACTTTAATAATCCTAACAGACTTCCTGTCCTGACAGTGGAGAAATATATTGTATACTGTGTTGCAATCTAGCAAAAAAAAAAAAAAGTCTTCATCTTCATATTTTTGGCAAATCAGGGTCTGTTATTACTTGTATGACAGTTGTATGCATTTCATCTGAGAAAAAGACTTGGGCAAATAAGCACTCAGCTTAACAGGAAAGAGGGGCACATACATTTTTACATACACCATGAAAATTTATCTTCAGGGACGGATGCGACTCGGATGAGTGTCATGTTCTTCCTGGCCTATGCCAATGCAGCTGGAGGTATTATGAAGGTTCTGGAAGCCAAGAAAGATGCTGCTCAGGAGGCCCGAGTTGAGGTAAGTGAAGAAAATTTATCGTGCATCAGGCTAAAATACTAGTACTGTATATATGATGTGTCGAGACATTTTTAGACACATTTGAAAGAAAAAAATTTCTAGTGGCCTTTATGTTTCTGGTGTTCTCACTAATTAATTATTTAGGATATCATGAGAACATCCGTGATGATTATGAAGATGTGACTGTAATTACAGTACCTAAGTCATGTTATGTTCTCGGTGACAAATTTAAATAATGTTAAAGTGGGGGGGGCGTGGGGGAGGGTTTTAACATCGAGAAAGTAAATTGTCCAACCCAACCTCCTGTTTAGATACTGTAGTACCTCTTGTAACTATGGGGACCATCGTACATACATAGACATAATGGACAGTTAGTAGAATTTGGGACTATTCACTTTACAAAAGTTCAAAAAACATAAAGCTAAAAACCAAACTTAAATATTTCTAGGCCTAGTATGGCACAAATATGTACTATATTAGGCCTCAGATAGCATGTATTAGGTCTAGGAAGGTTAGATTAGTTTAAGTTTTCCTTGCAACATAAATACAAAACTTTTCCTGTGTGTTCAAATTCAATAGTACCGATTTCTTTCTAATTGCCTTTTACGTCAATATATGTACGATGGTCCTCATTGTTACTATAAATACAGTACTGTACAACCTAAACAGGAGGATGGGCTGAACTGTCATACCACAACAATGATTGAACTTTGTACAGAATCTTGGGTATTCTCAGTGTTGGAACCACTGATACAGCTCATTACTGTATTCATTTCTAATGCTGTGCACATAATTAAAATGCAGTCATTTGACCCTCAGTCTGATATCCATGCAAGGTGCTTATACCTGGTTATGTTGTAATATTGATCATATTTATTTCTGAAATTAACATTATCAAACTTGAATGTGTGTTGGCTACAACCAGATATAATAACATTTCAAAACAGCAAAGATAAGATCATATTTAGAAGCAAGCTAATTATATATTGTCTTAACTATAGAAACATTGGGGGCCACAGGGCTAATAATACTGAAATCCAGACGTGACAGAGCTGATCTCATTGAAACTTAAAATACTGAACAGTTTGGAGAATATTGATCCAGACAATTTCTTCAAAAGTTATATGTAACACAAACAAGAAACAACAGTTTCAAGCTCAAGAAGCCACAATGTATGACAGAAAACAGATGTTTTTTAACTCACAGAGTTATAAACCCACAGAACTGCCTGCCCGTCAAAACTGTAAATGCTAAAACTCGGTTGAACTTTAAAATCCAGCTTAAAAAAATCATCAAATGGGGGGAACTTTGACAATCTGCCAGCTTCCTGTCCTCATCAAGGCTACTAGTGTTAGTGGCCCTCAGGTAAATAAATAACTATACAACACACAAATGACTAGAGCAAAGTCACTTGTACATAGAGCATAGATATAGCATAGTCACTTGTAATAGTAATACAGTACTGTAAAAATTTTGTCAACAAACTAATCAGTACAGTATATTACTTTTATAATTAAGGCAATAATGAGATTAACATACAGTACTGGTAATTATAATCTCTTTGCTGCTAATCATCAGAATCATTTGGTATACCAAGATAATTTTAATTAGAAATAAGATTTCTCTTGTACAAATACAGAAAAATCATTGATTTTGATGAAGAAAATGACAAGTCTCTTATATATTTACAACAAATACTGTTTGTACATCTACAGGGAGGAACCCAGCAAATATCAGAACTTCTGGTTGAAAAGATTGGAAAGTCCAATGTCGTGTTGAGTCACCCAGTACGTGAGGTGAAACAGACGAAGGAGTGTGTGGAGTTGATCACAGATAATGGGAGCAGTTTTACAGCTAAGAGAGTCATCCTGTCAGTCCCTCCAAATCTGCTTGCAAAGATGAAATTTGATCCACCTCTGCCTCCCTACAAACGCTTGATTTATGAAAACCTACCAATTGGCCATCTCACTAAATTTATAGTGACTTACAAAAAGGTTTGACCTTATTACTATACAAGTAATGTCCTTCTGTTAGTATCATTCACAATCGAGAATTCCAGGTTCCAATCCCGGGTGGGACTGAAATAGTTGGGCACATTTCCTTTCACCTAATGGGACTGTTCACCTAGCAGTGAGTAGTTACTCAGGAGTTAGTCAGCTTGTGGGGTAGCATCCTGGGTGGGGTCCGTAATTCAGCCTTGGGGGAGGGGGACCTTAGTAAAAGTCAAACATGTATGAATACACTCTGGCTTCCTGTCCCCTGACACAATGAATTACTGTATATTAGTTATTTGTTTAAATTTCAGCTTTTGGTACCAATATTTAACTTTCCAATAAATAGGTTAGTAAACATGATATCATAAATATTAACAGTTTTTTGACTAAGAGTATTTCTGAAAATTAATTTACTAAAGGGAAAAATTAACTGAAAAAATGTTGATTTTTCTCAATTTAACATTTCTGGGACCAAGAGTCGACAAACCAGACAAGCACTTCCCCTTCCCAAACCCCCTGCCCTCATCAAGGGGGCAAACCACAAAAGCACTGGCATGAATCACAAACAGCTGTGTCCATGTGCAAGATGTGAGAGCAGTACTGATGAGCAGAAGAGGAACCGAATGTGGGAGGTCCCTACAACCTAGAATCTGGGTCCAACAAGGGCTTACTCCGACCAGCAGACTACTTCCAGAAGTGAAAAAGAGAACTCTGAGTACACAACAAGTGCGAAATAGGCCAGCTTCAAGTCATTGCCGAGATCAAAAGCTGAGCCACAACTTCCTCAGGAAAGAGGAGAGACAAAATGGCAGTGGCAAACAGAAGGGCCAAGGACCAAGGACCACCTACCTCAGCATGCAGTGTAAAACAAGTGTGCAGTCCCCAGTCTGCTCCAACAAGCCTAATATTAACCCCCCAACTAATGGTAGGTTAACCTCCCCCTTATTTAGGGAGTTAACCCCCCAAAATATGGGGGGGTTAACCCACCCCAACTAAGGGGCAAAAGACCCCCCTGAGACACCCTAATGGTCCAGCCTCTGAAGAAATCAAGAACTGAACACACCACAGAAGAGCACTCTTGTCAGTGCAGGGGGCAGTGCTAGGGAGCACACAGGGGAAGGTATCCCTGACCACATGCAGCTCCAAGTATCCTTTGAGCCAGGTCCACACAACACAAACCGAACAGAAAACATGCTCATGAAGCTAACTCAAACATAAAACCATACCAAGTAAAGGGCCCCCTGTAAGACAGAGTCCAAGGATGGCTGGCATTTAGTTTAGAAGTAGTGGGACCCATGCTGCTGGTAGAAGACCTGGGAACCCTTCAGTGGTCATGCAAATGTGTCCACATCAGCAACAGAACTGGATTATAGGACTGGAAGAGACAAACAGCTCTGCTCCCCACACTAAATGGTGGGGAGGAGGGGGTAGTGTTAAAGAGCTCACTCTAGTTTATTTATTTTATTCATTTATTTAAATATATTCAAGAAGGTACATTGGGTTTATGAGAGTATACAGCATTGATGTTTTTACATTCTTGTAAAGCCACTAACATGCATAGCATTTTGGGCAGGTCCTTAATCTAACAGATAATTTTAAGCAGGTAATTTGTAGCAAAATTTGAAGAATGTTAACAGGTACATTGTAAGAAAATTTTAAGAAAATTAATAGGTACCTTATAGTAAAATTTGAGGATTATTTCTAGGTACATTGTAGTAAAATTTGCATTCAACATAACAACCATAATATACAGTAAAATGATAGCATTACTGCAACAATCGCAGTAACCATCCCACTAGATTGTAACATTTACTGTATTCCATTCCAATTTAAACTAAATAAAATCCACAAGAATGCATTAAATTTATAAACTAAAGTAACTGTACTACAAAATTTTATTTTAAATTCTTCATGATGATTTGAAGGAAGCTTTGATTACCTAGGCATTTTGGAGAGAAAATGGATACTCTGGTGAAATTGTGAGCAATGGCGGTGAGACAGAAGTTGCCGGCATGAGCAGAGGTCCACTGAGTGCATGCTTTGATGCCACCACCAACACTGGAACCCCTGCAATTGTTGGATTCATCGCTGGCCGACAAGGTGTGGAATGGAACACTAAGACAGTAAGGCCTGCTTATTTATTAATTATTGTCTGCACACACACATATATATACTGTACATGCATTCAAATACTACTTATTATATATTCATAACATGAAAAATAAGAAATTACTTAAAGCAATGTATAAAATCATACAAAATTGAGGAAAGTTGATAGATAATGTATCTGAATAATGCTGGATCTAAATAATATACTGTATTCTTACATTTAGGAGAAAGAGAGGAAGACGGCAGTGGTTGAGGGCCTGGTCTCAGCCCTGGGCAGCCAAGCTCTGGATTTTGTTAGTTACACAGAGAAAGTCTGGTCAGATGAGCCGTACACAGGTGGGTGCCCCATCGTGTTTGGGGTTCCTGGGACTATGTACGCCTTTCCTCACCTACGTCTTCCATTTGATAAGTGAGTTTAACAGCGGTACTATACTGTATGGTGATGTAAAACCCCAGGAGGTGGAGGCGGCTCATTGTTTTTTATTTACACTAACTATAAAATCAAACACTTACTTAAAATACAGCAATCATTTAAGGTCTCCTAATAAATGAATACATACTGTACATTGATTCTAAGTGATTGAAACACCACTATTCAATTTTGTATTTTGTTTTATTTACATATCTCAACCTGTGCCCATTTTGTATCCTTGTAATATTTTACTCTACAACACACAGGATTGGTATGGAATGTATTATAAAATTTAAAAAGAAAAACCCAGTGTTGAATGTAATGAAATGGCCCTTTCTAGAGGAGCCTCAATCATTGCTCCTATCTCTAGGCTTGAATATAATGAATATTGAAGAGCTGACATAGAATAGTATACATGATGTAAATCCTGTAGCAACTACCATACTGTAAGTGTGATTGCTGGGTTTTCACACTTACATGTATGTTTAATTTGATTTTATACATTGACCAATTTAGCAATTAAATTTTTATTCTTAACTGTAAATGGTATTCCATAATAAATTAATAGTAGTTTTCTCCTTTAGGCTTCACTTTGCTGGAACGGAAACAGCAACAGTGTGGACAGGCTTCATCAGCGGGGCCATCCAGTCAGGCGAGCGAGCTTCTAAAGAGGTTCTGCACAATCTTCGACCCAACCTACTTTCTGAGGAAGACCTGCTGGGCACCTGCTATGACCCTAAAAGGTGCCTAACCAGTTGTCATGCCAATAAATGTTATAAAACTACATGCTTTTATAAAATAGATATTAATGCTTCAATAAAAAAAAAGTGCAAACAACTTTGCATTTGACCACACCATAGTGCCCCGAGACTGGAAATGTATACAGTACGCAAACAGCATTCAAATCTTCAAGAAATACGGAATATATACACAACAGAAAACTACTGCCAATCAGCTTGATGGTCTAAGCCTGTTATAACTGCGAGCTTCTGAAAAGAATTTTGAGAAGCAATAGTAAATAATCTCAATGCACAACTTGTCAAAAAAAGTATGAATTTGTGATGAATAAATCTTATACATGTATAACAAACCTGCTTCTTTACTTGAAATGGCAACTAACTTTTCAGATCAAAGAGTTCCTGCCCATATGACTCACCTGTACATGACTTCTCCATACAAGGTACTGTGTTGCTGAATAATGTCATGATTCCAAGACTTGGTCATGGCCCTAACTTTTTATCCATCAATAAATGAAAGACATTCAACAATGTCACACTAAAGACTGGCCCTGATAATCTTAGTACTGTACTTGGAATCAATGGCAAAGTACTGGATAAGCCAATGGCTGAAAAAATGCAGAAAGTCAAGAGTTGTCCTATAGAGTAAAATCTGACTAGAATAATCTTTATCAATGACATCATCATATCAAACCACAAGATAGAATTTGCACAATTTGCAGATATGTGAAAGCAAAGAGACTATTGCATCTATGCAAAATGAGATGCACCTTGATGATTTAGGGGCACTGACAAACCATTGGTTTGATGGTCCTAAAGAGAACATCCATAAGCCTTACAAATGGTTTAGAATTAAAAAAAAAAAAAAAAAGATTAATACAGTGCTCTGAAACATAGATTTGGTGAAGTACAATTATGAGTATGATTGATTTTGTTAATTTAAGAGAAGTGCAAGATGGCATACTACATGATATACCCACAGAAGAGGAAAATACATCAGCTCGGAAGCTGAAATGTGGAAACCTGCACATGTGAATGAGGCACTGTATACAGTATGTATAAACTATCAATTACAGCCAAGCAGTGAAACTATTATTGAGATTTTGCCAGAATGCACAAGACAGTGGGACTACCAAATGATTGGAAAGATCTGTATTATAACTTCACATAAAAGTAATATTGAATGTGGCATATAAAAATTATAGATGCAGTTGCTTATGAAGTGTATTGGGTAAACATACATAACATAACAGTGACATTGGTATATTATGAATAAGGTAGGTTCTGTGGTGGAAATGTGTTGATCAGATATTTGCACCGAAGAACTTATGGAAATGGCATTTGAGGACAACTGCAAGGTGGGTATGACCTTTATGGACTTGGAGAAAGTGTTTGGCGAATTTAAAAAGAGGAAATTTGGAGAATGATGAGCATATATGAAGTTATTGTAGTAGAATATTGTTAAATGATATGAAGAGCATTTATTTTAATAATTTATTGTGTAAGGATTAATTTGATATCAATACATAGTATGACAGAGTTGGGGCATGTGTCCTTATCTTTGTTCAGTGTATACATGGATGAGGTCATGAGGGATAGTAAGTTAAGAATACAGTACAGTACTTGAAAAGGATGTCAACTTTAGTGTTTAATAAAATTACTGCCTAGTGTGATTTGTAGAAGGTAATACTGTAGTGTTAGTTCTCCATATTCAGTTTAATAGTAAAGAAATGGGTGCTGTTTGAATATCTTAAACCCTGTTTTCCTGTACTCTATTTTCTATATTCTCCAGGAAAATACCTTGCCACTTGATGAAAGCTGGAAACATTGTATTTGATTATGATTTTACAAATTATTTAGATTTATCACTTAAATAAATTATACTGTAAATACATGCAATGCATAATTGTATTTCTAAAGAAAATATTTTCTTTTATTTACAGCCTCCCAAAAGACTTCAAGAGTATCAAGCACAAGGGAACACTTTTCTCCATTAGCAATCTCTTTTATTTGGCTGCTGCTGCTGCAGTTGTTGCTTTTGTGTACTCTACATATTTTTAAGAAAGAAAATAAGTATTTTTAGCTTTTAGGTTTGGGTGTAGTCAGTAACCAAAATGCTCATAGAGGTTAATTACTAGCAGTTACAATGGCAACTGAACATTTAGAGAGAATTAGCACTGTTGGTTTGCATGCACACTTCAAAATTGAAGGTGGAGGGTGAAAAGATCCCGTGTTTGAATCCTTTTGAATAATTAAGGCAGTTTCTTCACGACATTTGCTCTTGTGCTCCCAGTAGTAATTTGAAAGCCGTGTATAAATTTATTGGGCAAATATGTTCTGGTTACCTTGAGGTGCTTCCGGGGCTTAGCGTCCCCGCGGCCCGGTCGTCGACCAGGCCTCCTGGTTGCCAGACTGATCAACCAGGCTGGTGAAAACATGAACTACCTGTTGATTTCAGGAATCAGTGTCCCTGCAGCACGGTCTCTGACCAGGCCTCTGGTTATCTTGAGATGCTTTCGGGGCTTTTTAGTGTCCCCGCGGCCCAGTCCTTGACCAGGCCTCCACCCCAGGAAGCAGCCCGTGACAGCTGACTAACACCCAGGTACCTATTTTTACTGCTAGGTAACAGGGGCATAGGGTGAAAGAAACTCTGCCCATTGTTTCTCGCCCGCCGGCGCCCGGGATCGAACCCGGGACCACAGGATCACAAGTCCAGTGTGCTGTCCGCTCGGCCGACCGGCTTCGGCTCTGAAGGCCAAGGCTTTGAAATTATCTGTGAAAGGAGAGCTCTTTTGTTTGAAACTGGTTAGAATGTTCAGATCCTGCTTCACTGCCATTTAGTATAAAAAGTAATTAGTTACTGTACCAGAAAGTAAGGTTAGGTAAAGGAAGGTAACTATCAGGAGAAAGCACTTAGCCATTATGACTACTATACATAGCACTTAAAAAGAGACACGAGAACAAAGATGTAGGATAGGATGAATGAAAGGGATAGCGCCCAATCACTTGGACGGTTGAAAATTGAACACCAACCAGCAAGAGGCGAGACTAGTCACCCTACAATCCAGTCCAAGTGTTTAGGCTGTACCAAAAAAACAAACACAGCACTGCCGTTTTAATTCTTCTTTCTCCCACTTATCACTGATATTCACTCTTAATAAATGTTTTGTGACAAGTTTTTCTGCTGTCTTGAGAAATGTGTACTTATTTTTATTAATTACATTAAATTTTGTATGTAAAGTATAGTATACCTTACATATAAGCATAATGAAAATGCATTTAGTGTGAGGATGGGTTTTCAAGGTGTAGTGCCTTGAGGCTTAATTAAAAAAAAAAATTATAATTACATCAAAATATGCAGATAATATACAATACTGGTACAGTATACATTCTCTAGTAAAGTAATTGATGCATGGATTTTGTAATGATATAATTAATATAACTAAAAGGCCAATAACAGTTGCAAATAGTATGCCAATGTCTTTACTAAATAAAGTGTTAAGAATTATTTGTTATTAAACCCAGACATACAGTACTGTATTATGAACTTTTGTAGTAAAATACTACATTTATTTGAAAACGTACACAGCTCATAGCAGAGCTGTGATACGTATAGCAAGATACGTGAATTTAGAGACAATTCTATAACCAATGTTCCAACGATGTGTAAATATTTCATTCAAAATGATCTGCTACCAGAAATTTTAGCCAAATATCCCCAGTTTGCTAACTGTAGGTAGTAACTGAGTGATTGTAACCTATCCACCGCTGCCCACTGGATGGGGGGGCGGTGTGCAGGACAAACATATAAATTTTGACACTAGCTCCTCCTGCTCCTGATTACCTGATCAACCAGGCTGTGACTCATACGTCAGGCTGCGAGCAGCCGCGTCCAACAGCCTGGTTGATCAGTCCGGCAACCAGGAGGCCTGGTCGACGACCGCTTAGCTAAATGAATTGTGGGGTTCAGTCCCTGAGCCCATTATGTGCCTCTGTAACCCTTTCCACTACCACCCACAAGATGGGTATGGGGTGCATAATAAATGAACTAAACTAAACTAACTCATAGCAGAAATGCACCGATGCCATGACAAAAATGCAAGCTAGGTGAAGTACATGAGAAATGGGCTACTACTTTGGGTGTTCTTGCTTTCTACAGCACAAGGATTGAAAACACTTACTTGAAAGCAGCCTCTTTCTTCAGTATTTAAGATTTAGGCATTCATTGCTTATGAGCAATGAGCTCTTTATATCCAACAGTCATATTGAAGGGGTTCTCCTTTGTATGCTACTTACATCATCCCCAACTGCATCTTTCCCAAAGCTACATTTGGTGTTCGTCTACAAGTTGCTGTTGATTTGCAAGAACAGTCTTCCCACTGGCATTGCTTACTGTGCTGTGCCAGCATAGATTCCCTGAAGACTGATCCTAATGTTCTTCGAAGCGAAGCTGGCTCACGACCATTCATTTTAAGTTTGCTTCTCCATCTCTCTCTCGTCCTATGGCCCAACTGGCGTCATCGTCGGTCTTCATGCTAACTCCCTTGGTTTGTGCTTCTGGTGACAGAAAATGGGACCGGAAACAGCGAGTAACGGTGAGGGGGAGACATCAGAGTGGCGAGATGTCACCAGCGGAGTCCCATAGGGCTCTGTACTTGGACCCATTCTGTTTCTAATATATGTAAACGATCTTCCGGAGGGTATAGACTCGTTCCTCTCAATGTTTGCTAATGATGCAAAAATTATGAGAAGAATCAAGACGGATGAAGATAGACAGAAACTTGTTCATTTGTTCATTTGATACATACGCTATTGTGATTTCTGTGTGTAGTTCTCTTTAGTTCGAAGCATATCATAATTCTTTATACTCGTGCTTTCTGTCATTTATGTGTCATTGATTGCTATTTTGCCACCTCTATATTAAGCCTGTCCTCTCGCATAACACATCGCATTTTGACGTAAAATTCCTCAACCTGAAATAAGATGCACTTAAAATCATAGTGGCTCGTAAAATCGACGTGATGTCCCGTTTTCTATTCATGGGCGGTTAGGCTCGGATACCTCAATTTACAGTACGTCTGTGTACTTAATCTTATTAATTAAAAGGCGTTCTGAAATTCGTACCTTGTATATACCTGAATTTACCTGACGGCCACTATGTTCTAGGTGGACACGACGGGGGACAGTAAGGCGGTGGCTTGTCAAAGATCCCCCCCCCCATTTTTCCTGATTTTTTTTATAAATAAATGTTGAATTGCAGTAATTGCCATGGCTTTTACGGTTTCGGCGGGTAGGCGGTCCAGTGGGTTCATGACCCTATGTGTGAAGCATCTGTTTTCTGTCCTACATTGTGGCTTGTTGTGCTTGAAACTGTTTCCCTTTGTATATGTTACATATGCGATCTTTTAAAGAAGTGGTCTGCGATTAATAGCCTCCATTTTGTTCAGTATTTTAAGGGTTTCTATATGGATGCGGATAGAGAGAAAATGAGAGGAAGGGAAAGAGAGAGAGAGAGAGAGAGGAAAAGAGAGAGGCAGAGAGAATGAGAGGAAGGGAAAAAGAGAGAGAGAGAGAGAGAGAGAGAGAGAGAGAGAGAGAGAGAGAGAGAGAGAGAGAGAGAGAGAGAGAGAGAGAGAGAGAGAGAGAGAGAGAGAGAGAGAGAGAGAGAGAGAGAGAGAGAGAGAGAGAGAGAGAGAGAGAGAGAGAGAGAGAGAGAGAGAGAGAGAGAGAGAGAGAGAGAGAGAGAGAGAGAGAGAGAGAGAGAGAGAGAGAGAGAGAGAGAGAGAGAGAGAGAGAGAGAGAGAGAGAGAGAGAGAGAGAGAGAGAGAGAGAGAGAGAGAGAGAGAGAGAGAGAGAGAGAGAGAGAGAGAGAGAGAGAGAGAGAGAGAGAGAGAGAGAGAGAGAGAGAGAGAGAGAGAGAGAGAGAGAGAGAGAGAGAGAGAGAGAGAGAGAGAGAGAGAGAGAGAGAGAGAGAGAGAGAGAGAGAGAGAGAGAGAGAGAGAGAGAGAGAGAGAGAGAGAGCAGAATATATAATTTCGTACGATTCATTACCACCTCCAAAATGTGCTCTATTCATCCAACATATGTAAGAAACATGTAAATGTCAATGGATACAGATTCAGTCGTATCAAAATCAAGTGAAGTGTATTCCCGTTCTCTTATAATTCCGTTGTTACCATGAACTTTCAGATATTCTATAACCAAACTCTTTTTTTTTATTATTTGATGCTTGGCACTGTCTTCATAATATTTTATTTGATTGTTGCAACCGGCGGCGGCTAGTTTATTGTGTGCCCCATATCTTGTGCGCAAAAGGATTAATGAGGACATGAAATAAAAGACCTCAGTGGGCATTTCACATTTGTTTTGCCAGTTGCCAATCAAGTTAACCAGTTGATTGACACTTGAGAGGCGGCACCAAGGAGCCAAAGCTCAACCCCCGCAAGCACACAGCTAGGTAAATACATTAGCTTTTATAATTGATCTGCCCATCTCGCAAATTGTAATTAATGATAATGATAGCTAGTAACAAACTTCTTGCAATGCAACTGCTATAAATGGCAAAATAGTATTATGCACATTGGAGGCAAGTCATTTTGTTAGTACATTATTTAACATAATTTTCAAAATTGGATATTACAGGGAACAGGAAGAGCCAGTGATCATTGGCCCCCCTGCTTGTGTTGGTGCGCGGATGTCGGGTGTACGATGCCTGCTTGTACATCATGAGACTCAATAAATCACCCATAGTTATTATCTCAGGCATGCTAGTTGTAATTTGATTGCCAAGCGTATTACTATCACAAACTAAGAATATATCCGGTCGGTTACTGCTATTAAAATCGCATAATTTCATATTTGGTAGTCTGCAAACATGGGCATCCTAGTGCTTGATAAATAAGAAGTCGGTTTTCATTGGCTGTCGAGAATTATTGCAACCAATCAACTTACTCGTTAGTGATGGGCTGGGCGTTAGGAATCATAGCAACAGCATGTCCTTGAAGACAGCCAGACGGCCTCTTCCCTCCTTGTTGTAATGTTCTGTGGCCGTTTGTAGTGGTTATATAGTGCCAGTGTTTCTCCCTAGGTTCAAGCAGTTATTAAAGTGAGTGAATGATGTAATACTATGTAGTGTTAAAATACTTTAACACTCAAAATAATGGAAATTACAGCGGAATTACCTATTATTAAAGTGTCTTTGTTTAAATGTAGTTTTATAATTATTGGAGCTGTCACCTAAGTCGTCGACTATGCTTGCCTATGGAGGCACGATATGTAATGGCTTTAATTTATTAATGAGATTAATTTGTTTCTATAATCACGCGAATGTAACTGTGGTCCATTATCTTATGAGCCCAATATTTTGTGTACCTATAACTTTTTTTTTAATTCAACTTTGAATTGACTCTTGGATGTGGTTCCTACTGGGAAGTTAGGCCGATGAGCAGGATGCGTAATAATTAGTATTAATTAGATGATATAGGTCTATTATAATGAGATGTTAACGTTACTTTATTGAATAATGACGATTGTACTTGTAGGCCCCTCCTAACTACTCTGCATACTCCTTCTCAACCCAGGTCGCACTCCAAACCTATGTCAGGTTAGGTTAGGGTTTGTAGGTTTCATTTCTTTGACCTGTAATCTGGGGCTGGTCCTCTCCCTCAGTTCGGTTGAGATGATCTACCTGCACACCTGCTCTAACAAGGTGGTCCTTTATAGACTTGCCTCGCCTCCAGGCGATCATGAGAGGGTTTTGTGGGTATTTTACCCAAGATGGATGTTCACTGTACGTTTACAAGTGATCATCCTGTCACTTGTACCTCATCCATGTCCATACTTCCTGGAGTTTTATCTTAAGCTGTGCTGCAAGGCCGGGGAAGAAAAGGGTTGGGAGGATCCATCTCTTGTCTTCCACTTCTTGTGTTCTAGGTCATAGCTTTCAGTGCCCTGAGTCGACTTTTGCATGTTCCTATAGGCTGGTAGAGCTCTTTCTTCCCCTTGTTAGAGCCGACAGTGACACCAAGGCACCGATAATGGTCAACCCATTCAAGTGTTACACCATTAATTTGTAGTTCTTCATTTTCTCCCCGCTTATGATGAGAGTATGCTTTTGTCTTGTTTGTGGAGTGAAACAGAATGCAACACATTTCCTTCCAAGGAGTTCCATGGACTGTTTAATTTTTCCCAAGGTGGGAGCTTGTATTAGGACATCATCTGCATATCCCACTTGTTGTGTTCCTTCCGGAAATTCAATATTTGCAATGGCGTTATACTCTATTTGCTGATAAACGGAGTACTCGATGGTACATATATCCCTTAATAATTTATTTGATTTCATAATTATATTAATTATTGACAAATATATATTCTCTGTCCCACCCTCCCACCCTTTATCTTTCTCTTTCCTCCCATTCTGTCTCCCTTTAGGGGAGACAGAATTGGAGGAAAGCCTACTTTTATTTAGATTTCCCTTCCCTCCCATTTTGTCCCCCCTCTCTCTCTCTCACCCCTCCTGTTCTCTATCTCTCTCCCCCTCTCATCCTCCCCTCTCATCCTCTCTCTTCCCCTCTCATCCTCTCTCTTCCCCTCTCATCCCCTCTCTTCCCCCCTCTCTCTTTCTTTTTCTCATTCTCTCTCTCCCTCCCTCTCAGTCTCTCTCTCCCTCCCTCCCTCTCAGTCTCTCTCTCCCTCCCTCCCTCTCAGTCTCTCTCTCCCTCCCTCCCTCTCAGTCTCTCTCTCCCTCCCACTGTCTCTCTCTCTCTCTCTCCCCCTCCCTTTCAGTCTCTTTCTCCCTCCCTTTCAGTCTCTCTCTCTCCCTCCCTTTCAGTCTCTCTCTCCATCCCTCTGTCTCTCCCTCTCTCCCTCCCTCTGTCTCTCCCTCCCTCTCAGTCTCTCCCTCCCTCTGTCTCTCCCTCCCTCTGTCTCTCCCTCTCTCCCTCCCTCTCATTCTGTCCGTCCTTCCCTCCCTCCCATATTCTCTCCGTCATGGCAGCATGTACAACATCCCCCAATAGGAAGAAAACCCCCCTGGATTGTTCATCCTGTCACTTGTACCCAGACACAGCTGGGGCTTGCTTAACTGTCTCAAGTGAACAGCTTCTCAAACAAGAAGATTAACATTTGTCAATCCTTAAAATCTTACGTTATCTTGCGGGTGCAAAATGGGGAAATCTTTAAAGAACAGTATTTATATTTGACAAATAGTGTTTTCCTAACACAAACAATGTGGGGTTTATTATTCTACACATAATCCTAATGCCTCTCAGATATTCACATTCTCGTAGATGGTGGTCAAGGCGGTGACCGTCACTATCCTTATTATATTGTATGTGGTTGTATAATAATTTCTTAATATTTATGTTAATATTCCTTTGTACAGGTGTATGGTGTTGGTGTAAGGATTATTATGTATGACGTAGTGGTGGTTGGTGGCGGGGCGGCTGGCCTCACAGCCGCCTACAGGCTTCTCCAGGCTGATCCCTCCCTCTCCCTCGTCCTCTTAGAGGCCAGAGGTTAGTGTTCCTCCTAAACTCTGAAGTAAACAAGAAATAAGATTAGTAGAGTGTTCTGTCGGACGTAATTATGCGCCTTGGGAGAGGTCTCTCTGAAGAACTATGAAAGTTGGTGATATTGACTCTGTGTTACTGATGATACCTTACTCCTAAGATTATATTGATATAACTGAATTGAAATTGAAATTGAAATTGAAATAAGTTTATTGATGTAAAATACACACAAAGGGATGAGGTAGCTCCAGCTATTCTCACCCCGTTCAGTACATCGTGTTAATACATACATAGACACACATCACAAACAATAAACATATTACCAAACATTCTGAGAGATAAACATATACATTTCCTCCTTCACAAGTAGTATGGAATCAGACGTACACACAAATATTTTTATGACCTAGGTATACTGTATAGACAATTTGCAAGAGACATGCAGATAATTCAACAAAATATTACAGTCTTGGTGCAAAATTCTTATATCTCTCAAGAATATCATCAACCTTTCCGTTGACACATCCAGGCTATTTGTTCAGGAACAGTCCTTATCTCAGTGTTTCTATATACATTAATCAACGGACAATCAAGAACATAATGGGCAAGGGTGTGAGACCTTAACATACCACATAGTTTACACTTCGTGTCATTATCATGAACCCCTATCCCATATTCCCAGTAATATTTGTACCCAAATATAACTGGCATATCATTAATTTGTATAAATCATTGTTCTCATGTGATTTTACAATGTGCAGTACGGGAGTTCACACCAAAAACACCAACTCAAGTCACCAATAAATATACAATCCTCACCCCCCCAAAATTATATACAATGGTATAACAGCTGAGAGAAATATTAAAACAAAAAATTACTTTTTCACTCGTATGGTTATAAACAAACATATGGTTATAAATATGGAACCGCCTACTTGCCGAAGCCGTAAATGGCAAAACTCTGTTACATTTTAAAATCCAGCTGGAAAAAAATCAAGGCAAATGCGGGGGGTGGCGGTTGAGAAGTTCAAGTATGTTTATTGAGACAGGAAAGAAATACATCTCAAAGGGATAGAATAGCTTAGGCTATTTCTACCCCCCATCCCGCACCCCCCGGCGGTTGAGAAGCCGACGGGTTCCTGTCCTCGTCGAGGTCACTAGTGTTAGTGGCCCTCGGGTAAATTCAAGTAAATTTATTGTTGTATACAGATTAGACTTCATATTTTTGTACTGTTGAAAAGTGGAAACACCTTGTAGGCTCTTTGGTTTAGTGTAACCCTTCGCTTTGTCCCCGCTGTCCTCATTGGACACAGACGCATCTGTAGAAATGCATTGACAAGCCAATACGGCCGCCACGGTCTGATATGTCGTAAGTCACAGGCCAGGCTTGTAAGACATGCAAAAGTCAACACCATGACGAGGAGCCTCACAAAGCAAACGACACACATAGGCTTTACGACATTTGGAAGCGTCCGACCCCCATGCTTCACTAGAAGGATGGCAAGCCAGTGATGTGTGACTACACGTGCCTCCATATTGATCAGTACCTTCAATACACGTGCAACTGAAGGGGTGGCATTGCATATTTCGGGGAAATGATGAAACCCAAATACAGAGGACTAGCACAATGCTAAAGTTTTGTTCCTAATGGCTCGTGGGAGAAAATGTGCACTGAAATTCTTGAGAGCTTACTAGGGCTACAAAGGGCACAATTTTCTTGTTCTAGCGGCTTAGTGTTGCAGATCAACGGGAAAATGTCTTGTGCATGCGTCTACCTTGAGGTTACCTTGAGGTGCTTCCGGGGCTTAGCGTCCCCGCGGCCCGGTCGTCGACCAGGCCTCCTGGTTGCCGGACTAATCAACCAGGCTGTTGGACGCGGCTGCTCGCAACCTGACGTATGACTTGTCCCTTCTCTATAGAGAAGGGACTATAGTCCCTTCTCTATAGAACGGACTCCATAGTCCCTTCTCCAAACGCCTTAGTTAGTAAAGCTCCTCCAGAGCGCTGTACCTCTGCATCTATTTATGCTAACAAAGCTCTTAGTTCAATTGTCATTACATAGCAACTTGCATGCAATTGCTAAAACTTTGTGGACTTACATGTTAATTTAATATTTCAGCAATTGCAACTATATTAATTGCAATTTTATATTAATTATAATGTATTATTAAATAATTATATCCCCTATTGTGTTTGAATCATCCAGCCGAAAATGGAGGAGCTTGTATGTTGATTCAGAGGCGACGACGATCTTGGGATCGGATGCGCCCCGGCGTGCCCATAAAGAGTTAATCACGAAGCCCGGAATGGGTAAAGCACCAAGCTTAATCGCGAAACGAGTGACGCCAATCACCGAAACCAATATATGCCTCGCGGCAAAGAAACGCAGACAGGCAGAAGATAATTGGGGGGCCCCAGGAGTCCCTCAGGGTGACAAGCACCGGCCCCGCCCCACACAAAGAACACTAGATAGCAAACCAAAATCTCGGCCCCCAACTAAAACGCAAAAGTCATCCAGTACCCTCTGGCAGATCAGAAGCCAGCCGCCCACCACGGCTGAGGGTGGTGGGCGGCTGGCCCCGGTAGGCAAGAACTCCGTGCATTGACTGATGCCAGAAAGTTACATATCCATCCAGCCTGGATAGCTCCGGGGAGCCGATGGGGCTCCCCCCAGAAATGAGGAAGAGATGCAGATTGGAACGGGAACGTTGTAACACCATAAAGATGTTTAGTGGTGTTTTATTTAATATTTAATATAAAATAAAATTAATTATGTGATTGTAACTAACCTATCTACCGCTGCCCACTGGATGGGGGGCGGCGTGCAGGACAAACATCAATTGTGACACTAGCTCTCCACATATGTCACTTGCTTAAATTAGAAACTACGTATAGTCGATCTCGACCCCATTGATGATTTGACGATGTGTACTGAATTTTGTAACTTGCTTAGCTAAATGAATTGTGGGGTTCAGTCCCTGAGCCCATTATGTGCCTCTGTAACCCTTTCCACTCCAAGATGAGTATGGGGTGCATAATAAACGAACTAACCCAACTATTATTTATGGATAGAATAATTTCAAAATATTTGTTAAATGCGTGTACAACTTTTGATATGCCTTCAGATCTTTTCCCAAAATAGACTAAACTAGGTCACACGAGGCCATCCCATCTCTCACAGACAGGGTCGGAGGTCGGACGTTGACGCTGGATGTGGACGTTGGAGATGGTAAGACGGACAAGTTTGACTTGGGAGGCCAATGGGTCGCCTCCAACCAGCATCACGTCATTAACATGCTGGAAGAACTGGGACTCAAAATCTATCCTCAGTGAGTAAATATGCGTTCTGGAGAGGTTGAGACTTGGGATCCACCGTCAGTTAGAAGACATGCTGCACCTGTCTCGGTCTTTTCTCTTTGTTTCTCTGTCAGCCTGTGTGAGGGTGTCTTTTTTTTTCTCCATTTTTGCCTTAGTCGACCCATTCTCTCCGCAGGCCTATCTCTCTAGCTCTGTTTATTATTTGTTTTTTTTTTACCCTGTCGGTATGACAGTGTCTTTCTCATTCTGTCTGTCTTTTCACTATCTCTGTCTCTCTCTGGCCTCCAACCTTGGATAGACATACACAGACTGATAGACAGTGACAAAGATTTAAAAATATAAACTAAGCTTCAGCAAACTAGAATTACACTTTTTCAGTTGAACCTCTAATGTGACAAGACAACTGGTTTTCTCACCAGGTACACCCAGGGCACCAAGGTGATGCAGGTAGGAGACAATAAGATAAGAACTTCACTTGGCCTGAGGGGTCGTATAGAACTACAGCTCTTCTTGTGGAAGGTTAGAATCTTATGTATACATTTTATATTATCTTCTTTACTAATGAGTTTACCTAGAGTGAGTGGCTCACTAACACTAGTGTCCTCGACAAGGACAGGAAGCCAGTGGCTTGTCGAAGGTCCCCCCTCATTTGCCTTGATCTTTTTCAGCTGTACCATAAAAGTTAACATTTTTTTTGGCATTTACGACTACGGAGGATTGGCGGTTCCATGGGTTAATAATCCTGTGGATGAAAAAGCATCTCCTGTTCTCAGTCCTACATTGTGGCTTGTTGAGCTTGAAACCGTTGATCCTTGTTTGTGGTTGTTCAGTATTTTAAAGGTTTCAGTAAGATCCGCCCTGTTATGCAGAGTGATTGATGGTTGGAACAAGCTAAGTGAGAAGGTGGTGGAGGCCAAAACCGTTAGTAGCTTCAAGGCGTTATACGACAAAGAGTACTGGGAAGACGGGACACCAGGAGTGTAGCTCTCATTCTATAACTACAATTGGTTAATTAATAAGTTAACCACAACTTGCATCAAAAGTAGCAATAGTAAAAAATAACATTGTGGTTATGTTACATATGTGCTTAGCACATACTGTATATTCTATGTTCTGAGAGATAGGAGATGAGGGGGGGGGGGAGACATCGAGAGAGAGAGTGGAAGAAAGAGTGGGGGGGGGGGAGAGGAAGAAGAGAGGTGAGGGGGATAGGAGAGAATGAGAAGGAAGAAGATGAAGGTAGTGGAGGAGAGGAGGATAGTGGGGGTAAGAAAAGGGAGAAGAGGGAGGGAAGAAAGTTACGGGCTCACCATAGCCCGTGCTACATGGACACTTCATTCTGAGTAGCTAAATCTGAAACGACAACAATGAGGGAAGAAAGATGGGATGGGGCAGATTTGGTGAGAAGAGTGGGAGAGACCAGTGCACTCAGGTACCTCCCATCTAATATTAATCTATGAAGACAATATCTTTTAGCAGCTAAAGACTAGATGCTTGGCGAAAGCCTTAAAAAACTTTACAGGGTGACTGGTGGTTGTTTGGGGATGATCATACTTGTGTCAAGGTTGACTCACATACACATAAAATGTCATGTTATATTAATATTCATTCTTTTTAAATACCAGATTCCATTCTCACTAATATTCATCCAGCAATTCATTCTGCATGATGATTAAATGTAAGTTAGTTTGTCTTGTCTAATAATACAATGTATTCTACATTTTTAACGAAAATAATTCCATCTGTATTGACTCAGGTAGACCGTTTGGCAGCCAAGGTGCCCATCACTGACCCTTACAGTAGTCAATACGCAGCCCAGTTGGATGGAGAAACAGTTGACACTTTCATGAGGAAATCTATTTCCTGCAAGGCTGCAATGGAGGTCATAGATATCTCGTGCAAAGCTGCTTTTGGTAAGTTTAAAAGACGTGTTTTTAAGATTTGCTATTGTATGTTAGTAGCAACAGGCACCACTTGTTTTGCATTTTCTTTTATGATGATATGCAGCTGGGGAAACTCATTGATCAACTTAAGACACTCTAAACCATTTAGAAAATGTTCGAGAAGGTCATCAGTCATGTTATCCATAATCAAACTTCAATGTAATAGGGACATATTTTTGTATTCAAATATGAAATAATCACCCAACATCCTGTCCTCATTACCACCTTCAACACATTGGCTCCATTGCCAATGTGTCCATTGCTTCTTGCAATTGTTGGGCACCATCCCTTTCTTCTGTCCTATTCCAGTTCCTTGCCCTCATGTCCCTTCCAAGTGCATTAAAGTTTTCCTGATAATTACCCTACCTTTGTTTCAAGAGCCTTCCTGCTTAGCTTTTTCTTTTTATAATTACTGTTGTTGTAACATATCGGAAAATTAATGAAGAAATTGAAGAAAATTGTGCAGAAACTCATAGGGTGAGAGAGGTAGAGAGGTGAAAGGGAGGTGTGAGGAAGAGTTTTTAGGAGAAAGGGAAAGTTTAGAATAAGAGGGAAAAAATGAGATCAAGAAAGTAGAAGTATAGAAAGTACATGTAAAAGTGCTGGAATAGTAGAAAGATAGAAGGTTGCTGCCATCATCCATTCAAGTTAATTATATATACTCATATAAGACAAGGAATAGAACTTGTCTAAACACCAATATTATCTGATGATATCATGTGCAGGGTATCAACTGTAAACATGTACTCGTATAACCAAGAATCTTTGTCAAAATCTAAAGCCATTAAACTTCAGAGGGCTCTCTAGTCTAGCTTACACAATCAAAGATCTAGGAATCAGAATTAAAGACAATTTACAAAAATAAGTTAATAAATTATATATTTACTCTTATGGGTATCATAATTCACCCATTTCACTTGATGTTCACTATATGTCAACATTAATACACAAATTTGAGTCACCACACAGGAAATTGAGAACACCTACTATTGATTGCCCCTGAGAATCACACGGCACCTAAGTTGAAATCACAATATACGTCACCTTACAAGTTCACTCACCAAAGTCTCGAGACTAAGTTTGATAGAGGGGAAGGGGGGCTACGGCTAACAGACAGATCCCCACCTGGCCTGTCCCAGGCCAGGTGGGGACTGACAGGCCTGAAACTACTGTATCACTTAATACTAATGTATTTCATGTATGCACCAAATTGCTACAAAACCCAATTTTATTTTCTTGTAAGTACAGGTATCAATATTAATGTTGTATACTGTACAGTATTTAGGTATCTACTGACTTAATTGCATACCTGCAAATTCTCACTGTATATCTGTCACTAATTTTAATAATTTAAGATTGCCACTGTACCTTGTATTGTAACTTAAAAATCATGTCAAATTCCCAAAGGACATCTCGATTAGTTTGTTAGCTAAATAGTTGCCTAAAATGTTATACACATTATTGGCCTTCCAAGAATGTATCGCTTAATCAACACACTGTATAGTAAAATTCAGTAGATGTGTATCTTGTATAACTATCCCCCCTTTCCCCTCAGTGTTCATTAACTGCCTCTGTAACACTTTCACTATCACTCACTAGATAAGTTTGGCTGTGCATATATAATAATCATATAAAATCAGTATGGTAAATGATGGTGTCTTAAGTGGTTGCATGCTGATAGCCGACTATAAATTTACTTACAGGATGATGTGTGTGACTCGGAGAAACTTATTTGATTCATCGAACTTTTCCATGCAGTGATAAGTGCACTTGATTCAAAATCAAAAGTTTTCAGGTTGGTTTCTTCACAGAATGGAAACATTTGGGCATATTTCCTTTCACTTGATGCATCTGTTCAACCAGCAGTAAATGAGTATCAGGGAGTTAGGCAACTGTTGTGTTGTCTCTTGGAAAAGGTGTCATTATCTAGGGGATTTTAATAATCCTAACAGACTTTTTGTCCTGACAGTGGGGAAACATTTTGTATACTGTGTTGCAATCTAGCCCCCCAAAAATATATATATATATATAAAATATCTTCATCTCCATATTTTTGCAAAACAGGGTTTGTTATTAGTTGTATGACAGTTGTATGCATCTCATCTGAGAAAAAGAGTTTAAGGTAAATAAGTACTCAGTCTAACAGGAAAAAAGGGGCACATACATTTTTACATACACCATGAAAATTTATCTTCAGGGACGGATGCGACTCGGATGAGTGTCATGTTCTTCCTGGCCTGTGTCAATGCAGCTGGAGGTATTATGAAAATTCTGGGGTCCGAGAAAGATACTGCACAGGAGGCCCGCGTTGAGGTATGTGAAGAAAATTCAGTGCATCAGGCTAAAAAATATAAGATGTCTAGACATTTTTAGACACATCTGACAAAAAAAAAAAATTCTTATGGCTTTTATGTTTCTGGTGTTCTCACTAATTAATTATTTAGGATATCATGAGAACACCTGTGATGATCATGAAGCTGTAATTGTAATTACAGTACCTAAGTCATGTTATGTTCTCAGTGACAAATTTAAATGTTACATAGAGAGGGGGTGGGGGGAGGGGTCTAACATTTAAGAAAATTGTCAAACCCAACCTCCTGTTTAGATACTGTACTGCCTTTTGTAACTATGGGGACCATCATACATACATAGACATAATGGACAGTTAGTAGAATTTAGTGCTATTCACTTTATAAAAGTCCCCCCCCAAAAAGTAAAGCTAAAAACCAAACATAAATATTTCTAGGCCTAGTACAGCACATATATTTATTATGTACTATATTAATATAGTACTATTATGTACTACAGTATATTAAACCTCAGATAGCATGTACAGTATTAGGCCTAGGAAAGTTAGGTTAAAGTTTAAGTTTTTCTTGCAACATAAATATAAAAGCTTTTCCAGTTTGTCCAAATTCAGTGTTACCAATTTCTACTTTCTAATTGCCTTTTATGTCAAAATATGTATTATGGTCCTGATCGTTAATATAAATACAGTCCCTGTACTGTACAACCTAAACAGGAGGATGGGCTGAATTTTCATACCACAACAATGATTGAACTTTGTACAGAATCTTGGGTATTCTCAGTGTTGGAACCACTTGTACAGCTCATTACTGTATTCATTTCTAATGCTGTACACATAATTAAAATGCAGTCATTTGACCCTCAGTCTGACATCCATGCAAGGTGCTTATACCTGGTTATGGTGTAATATTGGTCATATTTATTTCTGAAATTAACATTATCAAACTTGAATCTGTGTTGGCTACAACCAGTTGGTAGTCGGTAATAACACAACCAGTTGGTAGTCGGTAATAACACTTCAAAACAGCAAAGACCATATTTAGAACCAAGCAAATTATATATTGTCTTAGCTCTATGGCCCTCAATGTTTCTATAGTTAACAATACTGCAAACCAGATGTGACATGGCTGATCTCATTGAAATTTAAAATACTGAACAATTTGGAGAATTTTGATCTAGATAATTTATTCAAAAAGTCATATGTAACACAAACAAGAAACAAAAGTTTCAAGCTCAAGAAGCCACAATGTAGGACTGAAAACAGATGTGTTTTTAACTCAGTGTTATATACCCATGGAACTGCCTACCCACCGAAACTGTAAATGTTAAAACTTGTTTGAACTTTAAAATCCAACTTAAAAAAATCATTAGGTCAAATGGGGGGGGGGGGACTTTGACAATCTTACTGCTTCCTGTCCTTATCGAGGCTACTATTGTTAGTGGTCTTCACATAAATTCAGGTAAATAAATAAATATACAACACACAAATGACTAGAGCATAGTCACTTGTGTATAGTGCATAGATATAGCATAGTAGGGGCCTCGTAGCCTGGTGGATAGCGCGCAGGACTCGTAATTCTGTGGCGCGGGTTCGATTCCCGCACGAGGCAGAAACAAATGGGCAAAGTTTCTTTCACCCTGAATGCTCCTGTTACCTAGCAGTAAATAGGTACCTGGGAGTTAGTCAGCTGTCACGGGCTGCTTCCTGGGGGTGGAGGCCTGGTCGAGGACCGGGCCGCGGGGACACTAAAGCCCCGAAATCATCTCAAGATATAGTCACTTGTAATAGTAATATTGTAAAAAATTTTGTCAACAAAGTAATCGGTATTACTGTACTTGTAGAATTAAGGCAATAAAGAGACCATAATTACCAGTACTGTACTTTAGTCTCTTTGCTGCTGATCATCAGAATCGTTAGGTATACCAAGATAATTTTAATCGGAAATAATATTTCTCTTGTACTTATACAGAAAATCATTGATTTTGATGAAGAAAATGACAGTCCCTTACATATTTACAACAAATACTGTTTGTACATCTACAGGGAGGAACCCAGCAAATATCAGAACTTCTGGTTGAAAAGATTGGAAAGTCCAATGTCGTGTTGAGTCACCCAGTATGTGAGGTGAAACAGACGAAGGAGTGTGTGGAGTTGATCACAGATAATGGGAGCAGTTTTACAGCTAAGAGAGTCATCCTGTCAGTCCCTCCAAATCTGCTTGCAAAGATGAAATTTGACCCGCCTCTGCCTCCCTACAAACGCTTGATTTATGAAAACCTACCAATTGGCCATCTCACTAAATTTATAGTGACTTACAAAAAGGTTTGACCTTATTACTATACAAGTAATTTCCTTCTGTTGGTATCATTCACAATCGAGAATTCCGGGTTCCATTCCTGGGTGTGACTGAAATGGTTGGGCATATTTCCTTTCACCTAATGCTTCTGTTTACCTAGCAATGAGTAGGTACTCAGGAGTTAGTTAGCTTGTGGGGTTGCATCCTGAGCAGGGTCAGTAATTCGACCACAAACAGATTGTAATTATTTACAACTTGTATATTTAATCCAATAAGAAATGATTATAATATGACAATAATACCATCACATAATTGCAGTAACCATCCCACTAGATTGAAACATTTACTGTATTCCATTCCAAGTTAAACTAAATCAAATCCACAAGAATGCATTAAATAAACTAAAGTACAGTAATTGCACTACAAAATTTCATTTTAAATTCATATTAACTTGAAGGAAGCTTTGATTACCTAGGCATTTTGGAGAGAAAATGGATACTCTGGTGAAATTGTGAGCAATGGCGGCGAGACAGAAGTTGCCGGCATGAGCAGAGGTCCACTGACTGCAAGCTGTGATGCCACTACTAACACTGGAACCCCTGCAATTGTTGGTTTCATCGCTGGCCGACAAGGTGTGGAGTGGAACACCAAGACAGTAAGGCCTTCCTATTTATTAATTATTGTCTACACACATATATATATACATGCATTCAGATACATATTATATATCCATAACATGAAAAATAAGAAATTACTTAAAACAATGTATGAAATCATACAAAATTGAGGAATGTTGATAGATAATTTATCTGAATAATGCTGGACCTAAATAATGTATTCTTACACTTAGGAGTCAGAGAGGAAGACGGCAGTGGTTGAGGGCCTGGTCTCAGCCCTGGGCAGCCAAGCTCTGGATTTTGTTAGTTACACAGAAAAAGTCTGGTCAGATGAGCCATACACAGGTGGGTGCCCCAGCGTGTTTGGGGTTCCTGGGACTATGTACGCCTTTCCTCACCTACGTCTTCCATTTGATAAGTAAGTTTAACAGACATACTGTACTGTACTGTATAGTGATGTAACACCCCAAGAGGTGAAGGAGGTTCATTGTTTTTTTTATTTACACTAACTATAAAATCAAACACTTAAAATACAGCAATCATTTAAGGACTTCTAGTAAATAAATACATACTGTACATAAATTGATACTTAGTGAGTGAAACTCCACTATTTAATGTTGTATTTTAAGTTTTATTTACATATCTCAACCTGTGCCCATTTTGTACCCCTGTAATATTTTATTCTACAACACACAGGATTGATATGGAATGTATTATAAAATCTAAAAAAAAAAGAAAAACCCAGTGTTGAATGTAATGAAATGGTCCTTTCTGGAGGAGCCTCAGTGGGTTACCGAAGCAATCTTGATTAGATTGTTATATACATTGTTACAAGGATCATATCAGCCACGGAACAAGGGATTCATTCAAACTAGCTTCAAACCTGTTAGTACCAGTTACCACCACTAGGCAGACTGGCCTCAACATTCAGTCCACTCTCCACCTCAGTTCCGGACCTGATGAGCAACCCATGATGAACCAATGAACCTGGAGGGAGGGGTTGGGTTGAACTTGGGAAGCCACCAGGGCTCCTCCATAAAGAGGAGTTTCATTACATTCAATGTTGGGTTTCTGGAGGAAGTTCCCCAGTACCTTCCTGAAGCTAACTAACCACAGAGAATAAAAATGGAACTTACAACCCTCAACCTTGCACAAAGAGCGAGCAGGTTTGAGGGGATATTCATGGGGTCACAAAACCTGCATGGGATTGCCAATTCCAGAAGGAATTTATCAAGCAGGACACCGAGGCACTGTGACACTATGCCAGACCTTCAGTTGAAGGAGATCGCCAAATCTATACAGGTAACATAACTGAAATACAGTATAGGATTGACATAGCCAACACAGCCTGACTGATGGCTGTGAAGGCTGACTCAGTGCACGATAGACAATGCACCAACGTACAAAAATATCCAGTGTGCCCTAAGCCAGCCAATGTCACTCTTGACCTGAGTAAAAGCAGGAAAATCCCAAGACACCTGACTTACCCAGGACAAGGGTCACCACAAGTGAGGAGGACCTCAAAAGGTGTGACCTCTAAACACTTAATTGAAGAAAACCCTGAAACACAAGGGCAGCACTAGGGAAGAGAACTCTGTGCACATGCAGCTCCAAGCACTCTTAATATTTAGGCTCATGCTACACTTACAGTGAACAGGAACACTAGTGAATGCAAAAACTACCACTTACCTGGATCAGCAAGACATTGGAGCCCAAGCAGCAGAGAGGCGACCCGGCACACACTACATGTCAGCATAGAACTGAGGATGGAGTAGCCAACTGACCGTGAGCTGCTGCCTTTATCTCTTCCCCCGTCCCCCTCCCCAAATAAATGGGGAAGGTGGGGCTAACAAGCTTGCGATAATTTGGAGAGATTTCAATTGTTTGTTTACATAGTTGGGGGGGGGGGGGAGTTCTTTCCATGGTTTTAGAGGCTGTGGGCTCTGTTGAAGCCAGCAGTGGTCTGTTTTGTCTTGCAGATTTTCTGATTGCTTCCCTGGTGGTAACAGATTAATAAATAAATAAAATATATATCTGTCTCTGTCACTGCTCCCTACACCTCTTTAGAGAGCGCCAGGTTTTGGCTCTGGTCCTCTGTAGACCAATAGAACGCCACAGCTGATGCAACCTAATAGTGGTACACTTTCAGTGATACAGGTTTCAGTGAGCTACAAGGGTCCTTCCCCCAGAAACTTGAAGTACAGTATTAGCCAGCCCTGGGGTCCCAACCTTAATCCCATATAGGCCCAGTCAACATAAATACCATTGCTCCTATCTCCAGGCTTGAATACTGAAAGGCTGACATAGTATAGGATACATTATGTAAATCCTGTAGCAACTACCATTTATTATACTGTAAGTGTGATTGCTGGGTTTTTATACTTACATGCATGTTTAATCTGATTTTATACATTGGCCAATTTAGCAATTTAATTGTTATTCTTCTTTAACTGTAAATGGTATTCCTTAATAAATTAATAGTAGTTTTCTCCTTTAGGCTTCACTTTGCTGGAACAGAAACAGCAACAGCATGGACAGGCTTCATCACTGGGGCCATACAGTCAGGCGAGCGAGCTGCCAAAGAAGTTCTGCACAATCTTCGACCCAACCTACTTTCTGAGGAAGACCTGCTGGGCACCTGCTATGACCCTAAAAGGTGCCTAACCAGTTGTCATACCAATAGATGTTATAAAACTACATGCTTTTATAAAATAGATATTAATGCTTCAATAAAAAAAGTGCAACCCCCTTGCATTTGACCACACCATAGTGCCCCGAGACTGGAAATGTATACAGTATGCAAACGGTATTCAAATTTTCAAGAAATACGGAATATATACACAACAGAAAACTACTGCCAATCAGCTTGATGGTCTAAGCCTGTTATAACTGTGAGCTTCTGAAGAGAATTTTGAGAAGCAATAGTAAATAATCTCAATGCACAACTTGTCAAAAACAAGTATGAATTTGTGATAAACAAATCTTGTATAACAAACCTGCTTCTTTACTTGAAACGGCAACTAACTTTTCAGATCAAAGAGTTCCAGCTCATATGATGTACCTGTACATGACTTCTCCATACAAGGTACTGTGTTGCTAAATAACGTCATGATTCCAACACTTGGTCATGGCCCTAACTTTTTATCCATTAATAAATGAAAGACATTCAACAATGTCACACTGGCCCTGATAATCCTAGTACATGGAATCAATGGTGAAGTACTGGGATGGATAAGCCAATGGCTGAAATGCAGTAAGCCAAGAGTTATCCTATAAAGAGTAAAATCTGACTGGAATGATCTTTACCAATGACACTGACATCATTATCTCGAACCACAAGACAGAATTTGCAGACATTACAAAGATTTACAGATATGTTAAAGCAAAGAGAACATTGCATCTATGCAAAATGAGATGCACCTTGCTGATTTAGGGGCACCAAAATTTAAACAAACCATTGGTTTGATGGTCCTAAAAAGAACATGCATGAATCTTACAAATGGTTTAAAATTAAAAAATATATTAATAATGTTAAATGATATGAAGAGCATTTATTTTAATCATTTATTGTGTAAGGATTAGTTTGATATCAATACATAGTATGCCAGAGTTGGCGCATGTGTCCTTATCTTCGTTCAGTGTATATACATAGATGGGGTCATGAGGGATGGTAAGTTAAGAATACAGTACAGTACTTGAAAAGGATGTCAACTTTAGTGTTTAATGAAATTACTGCCTAGTGTGATTTGCAGAAGGTAATAGTGCCAGTTCTCCATGTTCAGTTTAATAGTGAAGAAATGGTGCGGTTTGAATATCTTAAACCCTGTTTTTCTATACTGTATTTATTTTCTATATTCTCCAGGAAAATACCTTCCCACTTGATGAAAGCTGGAAATATTGTATTTGATTATGATTTTACAAACTATATGAAGATTTATTACTTAAGTAAATTATACTGTAAATACTGTACATGCAATGCATAATTATATTTCTAAAGCAAATATTTCTTTATTTACAGCATCCCAAAAGACTTCAAGAGTATCAAGTACAAGGGAACACTTTTCTCCATTAGCAATCTCTTCTATTTGGCTGCTGCTGCTGCAGTTGTTTCTTTTGTGTACTCTACATATTTTTAAGAAAGAAAATAAGTATTTTTAGCGTTTAGCTTTGGGTGTAGTCAGTAACCAAAATGCTCGTAGAGGTTAATTACTAGCAGTTACAATGGCAACTGAACATTTAGAGAGAATTAGCACTGTTTGTTTGCATGCAAACTTCCAAATTGAAGGTGGAGGGTGAAAAGATCCTGTGTTTGAATCCTTTTGAATGATTTAGGCAGTTTCTTCACTACATTTGCTCTTGTGCTCCCAGTAGTAATTTGAAAGCTGTGTATAAATTTATTGGCAAAATATGTTCTGGTGAAAACATGAACTACCTGTTGATTTCAGGAATCGGTGTCCCTGCAGCCCGGTCTCTGACCAGGCCTCTGATGGCCAAGGCCTTGAAATTATCTGTGAAAGGAGAGCTCTTTTGTTTGAAACTGGTTAGAATGTTCAGATCCTGCTTCACTGCCATTCAGTATAAAAAGTAATTTAAGCTGTACCTATATACAAATACAGCATTGCCGTTTTATTTCTTCTTTCTCCCACTTACCACTGATATTCACTCTTAATAAATTTAATGTGACAAGTTTTTCTGTTGTTTTGAGAAATGTGTGTAATTTATAATGCTTATGTTTATTAATTGCATTAAATTTTGTATGTAAAGTACAGTACACCTTACATACAAGCATAATGAAAATACATTTAGTGTGAGGATAGGCTTTCACAGTGTAGTGCCTTGAGGCTAAATTACAAAAAAAAATATAATTAGATAAAAATATGCAGATAACATACAATTCTGGTACGGTATATATTCTCTAGTAAAGTAATTGATGCATGGATTTTGTAATGATATAATTAATATAACTAAAAGGCCAATAACAGTTGCAAATAGTATGCCAATGTCTTTATTTAGTAAAGTGTTAAGATTTATTTGTTGTTATTAAACCCAGACATACAGTTCTGTATTATGAACTTTTGTAGTAAAATACTACATTGATTTGAAAACGTACACAGTTCATTGCAGAAATGCACCGATGCCATGACAAAAATGCAAACTCGGTGAAGTACATGAGAAATGGGCTACTACTTTGGGTGTTCTTGCTTTCTACAGCACAAGGATTGAAAACACTTTAAAGCAGCCTCTTTCTTCAGTATTCAAGACTTAGGCATTCATTGCTCATGAGCAATGAGCTCTTTATATCCAACAGTCATATTGAAGGGGTTCTCCTTTGTCTGTCTGCTTACATCATCCAACTGCATCTTTTCCCAAAGCTGCATTTGGTGTTCATCTACATACGAGAACATCCACCATGCCTGGTGTTCCCGATTCAGTTTTATTCCTATTGGACCTGGCACATTCCCATAGGTTTCTGGTGTGGTTCAGCTATGGACCTGTCTGCCGATCAGTTCTCTGGTGTGCACATTTTTTTAATGTACCTCGATTTTGGTTCATGCCAACGGTCATTCCCTCTGCCTCTGGATGGAAAATAGTTTCCATCCTGAGGCCTGCAATGTGTGTCATAATTGGGTTTCTGATTTGGTCTTCTCAGAATGGGGCTTATTAACTTGCTGTTGATTTGCAAGAACAGTCTTCCCACTGGCATTACTTATAGTGCTGTGCCAGCATGGATGCCCTGAAGACTGATCCTAATGTTCTTTGAAGCGAAGCTGGATCATGGCCACTCGTTTTAAGTTTGCTCCTCCATCTCTCTCGTCCTATGGCCCAGCTGGTGTCATTCTTCGGTCTTCATGCCGACTTCCTTGGTTTGGGCTTCTGGTATTTGGCCATTTTTCATCCACACTAGTGACAGTTGATCCAGTGCTTGCTGTTGGGGATCCACTACCTTCTGTTTTGAGGGGGGAAGGGGGTCATTTTGGTGTGGATCCTCCTTCGTGTGAGAGATGTCTTTGTTTTCTCTGGTACTGTACCCAAATTGAATTCTGACTTTTTAACTTCAGTAATTATTGGAGCCTTCACATGCTGTTGTACAAAATACTTTTTTGCATCTCTTCCTCTTATTTGTACGTGGTCACTTGTTTTAATACAAACATTATAATTAATTCCCTTTATTGGAAATAGAAAGACTATACTTGGGCTAGTACCAAGGTCCCCCTAGGCTGAATTATTCACCTTTCCCAGGATGCAACCCACAACAGTTACCCAACTCCTATGTATCTGTATACTACTTGGCAAACAGAGTTATCAGGTGACAAAAAATGTGACCAACCATTTGTCCCACCCAGGATCCCCAATTGCAAGTTGAAAACATAGACCACTGTATTACAGGACCCTTTACCACAGCATTTTCAGTTGTCTTTTCATTTTCTTCACGACATTCAGAGCCAACAACAATCTTTCCTCTCGACATCATTTTGTCATTGTTTCCTCTTTAGTGTCTTGAATATATCTGCAGTACAGTATATATAAATGTTAACCACCTTTTAATATCTGTCACTGGTAAAAATAAGACTTAATTCCCCTTTCATTTCACAATCACATCTTAAATTTATTTTGGGAAAATAGAAGCATTATAATCTTTTTTATTTAATAAAAATAGTGGAAATTACATTTTGTATATTCGTGGCAGTGCAAATAGCATAAATTACAGTGGTCATCAGTAAGCTAGACGAGTAATAAATTGTGATTATTCATTTTTCTGTAAACTAACTACTGTACACACACAGGAAAGATAAATGACCGTAGTTATAGATAAAATTATACATGTCCTTGATAGAATTTGTATATACAGTATATTATATATACACTGTTTACTGTATATACAATGTATATACAGTATAATATATATAAATTACACTATATATATATATATATATGTACGTATACAGTACAGTGTACATAAACACGCACACTGTACTCTGTCGAATGTACAGATGCACACCTGATCCCTTAGGGAACCAGAATTCCAATGCATCCGAAGGTTGCATTTGTTCACTATTTTATACCAAATGCTATTAATTATTGCAAATGATATAACAGTTTTGTGCAAATTGATACTGTAACTATCACTTAATATATAAATTTAAAACTTTTTTTGGCACTGATTTTCTGTTTTAATAGATGAATGAGCTCACTCCACCAGAAAAATTATATTTTTCATTGCGACTGAAAATAACTATCCAGTATTACATTACTGGAATGAACAACCGTCGAACCTGGCTTCCTGGTGTATCAATTTCCGTTTGATTAGAAAGTCCAGCGATATAACAACTACTATATTGAATGAGGTCAGTAAGACGACGTGTTCTACAGTCAGACTAAAAACTTAACCGAGGGTGACTTTTCAAAAAATTATTTCAAATTTTATTAATGTAAATGAATTAGACATATAGCTTGATGTTGAAGAGAAAATAAATCAATAACCCAAGGAAGATTCTTGTTAATAACTTTGGTTTAGGCACAACCAGGTTTAGCTTGGCTAATTTTATATTGTACATTAATAGCTGTCTTTGGCATTTTTTTCCTTTTCTTTATTATGCACCCCATACCCATCCCATGGGCAGTGGTAAGACATTTATATTGGCATGTACAAATAAAGTTTCACTAAATTAAAGCATCAATATTTCATACATCTCTAACTGTAGAAAAATTATACTGTACAAGTGAACAACATAGTATGTAAAGCTCTTATGTACCTTTAAATCATTTTTAAGGCAACCGAGTCATTCATCCTCTTTATAATAAACAATTTAACCAACAAGAAGTTTCAACATGAGAAATTCTTAAACTTTAAAACCATGCAAAGACTGTACATGTTATAGTAACTGAAGTTATGTTTGGCATATCTGTGCTACACTACTAGAACATAGTACAGTTCATAATACCTGAGGTCACAGTATTGTAATCATGTGCCTTATGCAGTTCTGGTACCAAGTGTGAAGTCTGGTATCAAGTACGAAGGGTCCTTTTGCAACATTGAAAAATTTAGTTCCTCTGAAAATGGTGAGAAGCCTGAGCCTCGGTAACAAACATTGATTATGGAGCCTATTTATGTTCAATTAATTCAAGATGTACAAGTTCACTTGTATAACTATGCAGAGAATCCACTAAATATTATAATGAAATAAAATATATGCTAGTGTGTATTTAAAAAATGGATTCTCTTCCAGTGGAAGCGAAGATGTCCAAATCTGTATTTGTGGAGCGAGAGCTAGCTCTTTGGGCCCTGCCTTCTAGCTATTTGCATCTGATGCATTTAAATTTGTCATTATATTTCTTTGTTATATTTGCTCTTGAAGCTATTCATGGAAATATCTTCCACACCTTTCAGTGCATTCCACTTATTAAACACTGTCACTATGAATGGGTTTTCTCATTACCTGGGTTAACTGGAATCCCCAGCTTCCACCTATGTCCTCTTGTCCTATTTACCCTCAAATTGAAAAGGCTGCCATTATCTACCTTGCCTATTCTCTCTCATTACTTGTACATAGTGATCATAGCCCATTTGGTTTGTCTTTTCCTAACATTGTTAGATTGAGATCCCTGGATGTTTTTAATTTTGTTTTCAAATAAAGGCCCCCTTTAGTTGCTACCCTGAGCCATGGTCATTGGTCAACCCCAGAGAGCATACCAGGCCATGTGCGACATCCATAAGATATTGGCCGAGAGTGTAATAGATGTGATCAGAACTTTGTGGGTAATCTCCACTGTTTGTGGTGACCAAGGACACTTCCAACCCCTAAATGATTCACACCTCGTGAGTCAATTGTCACATACCTTGTCCAAGATTTTTGATGACCATCGTGTCCTTGGATCAACAGGTGGTTGGAAGTCAGTCGGGGCTCATTTCCCTGGCCCTCTGGACTCTACTGATGCCTACTGGCATATTCTCATCCATCAGATGTTCAGGGCTTGCCTAGAATTTTGAGTAAGTCACATATGTTGCCATGTTTAAGTTCACTTCCCTTTGGGATAAACCTGGTGGCCAAGATATTTACCTGGGTTACTCGTGAGATTCTTCAGAAGCCACAGTTCCCTGGGAACCCAGGTCCTGGTGTACCATGACATTTGAAAGCATTATAAATACCCGGTAAGCTATATTGTACAAAGAAACAGTTTCATTGGATAAACAAGCCACTTTAATTGAATTCTCCAGCTGTCCTAACGATATTAGGACAGGAAAGAATGTGACGAGGCTTAGCAAGATGGACAGTGTTGTGTTTCAGGTGCTGCCAACTGGTAGTATGCCGAGGGTATATCTGGACCCAGCCTTCCAGCATCTTCGATGTATATACACATAATGTATATATGTTTTGAGAACTTTGAGATGCTCCCAATAATTTAGGTGCTTTATCATGTCTGTGTGTGATGTGAATGTTCTTCGTATTCCCTCTACTTCAGAAATCTCTTCTACGTTGAATGGGTGAAGCGAGTACTGAGCAGTATTCAAGTGATTTGAATAGTAGGGGCATTATGGTAGAATCCCCAGATTTGAAGATTCTCATACTCCACATTATCATTTTCCTGATTGATGGGACAGGTTGGCAGCTAGGACACTTGTTGGCAATTTCAGGGACAACAAGAAGGGGTTGGAAAGACTTAGTGTATGGATGTTGAGCTTTCTATAGCTCACTTTAGCTGGATGATCTCCTTCAGTCCTCACTAGTAATAGTATAACCATGTTGGGACATTTGAAAAAGATCTCTCTGGTGGCAATACTAAATCATAGAATATCCCTCTGACTGGATTTCCTCCCGCACAGGCATCAGTCTTTATAACATAGGGAGCAACAAAGTGGAATATAGCCATGTAAACAACCTGCATCTCTTTCAATGTCATTATCTTGTCATGACAGACTTATATATTATGCCAGAACATGATTAACATCTTCCCAGAATTTGCATGCCGAGTATGATTTAATAAATTTATTAAAAAGGCATATGTTAGTGGAATGTTAAAAACTTATTCAAATATTAGATTAGTTATACCTGGAGTGAGCCATTAAAAAATATTTTTCATTCTATGTGAAAATACAGTACAAAATAATAAGTCATGGTGGTGTCACATCCTTCTCCAGCCACTATATTAAAAATTCCTGAGCAGTGGTGCTAACCATCATTAACAAATATTACAACTGTGGCTGTTGCGTCGCTGACCATTGACTGTTCTCTGATTCTGTTCCATGCTAGCAGCTATAGCTCGAGCAAGCTGAGCATCTTCATCCTCTTGACCATGTTCATTTTCACTTGATTGAATGGTTGAATGATCCCCATTCATATCATGAACCGAGGCAGCCATTGCTCGTGCTAAAGCCTCATCTTCAGACTGTTGGAATAAGGTCCATATTATTGATCAAAAGTATTCATACTAAAGATTGTGCCTAATAGTTTTTCATTTTTAAATGCTTAGTGACTTGCGAGTGAAAATGTCTGGAGAAGAGTCTATGAGACACAAGGAAGTCCTCCAATGGAATGAGACACAAGGAAGTCCTCCAATGGAATGAGACACAAGGAAGTCCTCCAATGGAATGAGACACAAGAAAGTCCTCCAATGGAATGAGACACAAGGAAGTCCTCCAATGGAATGAGACACAAGGAAGTCCTCCAATGGAATGAGACACAAGGAAGTCCTCCAATGGAATGAGACACAAGGAAGTCCTCCAATGGAATGAGACACAAGGAAGTCCTCCAATGGAATGAGACCACTGCAAGTCTGGATTTGGTAAAAGTACAAATAAAAATAACTGCTGTGTATGCATGATTTTGTTATTACAGCAATACATTCTTAAAATTGGAGCTGCACAAGCCTGAAATTTAAATGACTTTTTGGACTATAAAATCAAGCATTGAATATAATGAAATTGCATTTTCCAAGGTTTTCCAAGTAGCTCCTCAAACTTAGCACTGGTATCACCAAACCTTGGCCCACCACACCAGGCCTCCAAGACCAGTCACCTTCCAGACCAGAATCTGGCTAACTATGAGGTGAGAGAAGCAGGGATCAACCACAAAACAGGGGAAACCCACCAGAAAGCATAAGCTCCACAAAAAAGTGATTGCTTGAAAAATATTAGGCAACCATAAAAGTAACACAAGTCAATGACGTTGCTGCTGGGTAAATAACCTAACTACGATGCGCCTGACTGTCACCAGATGGAAGCTCAGGGCACCTGGGGTCTCAATCTGTGACCTCACAACTCCAGACAGAAAAAAAGGGAAAGGGTGTTACTGAGGTCTCACCAAACAAGGGAGTTTTATTACATTCAAGGCTTGTTTCTGAAAGGGACCCATTAGTAACTGCCATTCTTTGGCCTGGGGCAAAGAATGGCAACTACTGTATACATAAAATGCCTATGCACACAAAAGCATGATGAGGCCAAAGAACTTTCAACAAGGAGTGAGAGGCCAACATCAGGAGGAATGCCAGAAGCCCTAATTCTGAACAACAGTCACATCGGAAATAATGCCACTGAAGTAGCAAAGAATCACGGAACCTCAGAGCAGCAACAAATAGCAAAATGGCTGGACAGAAAATCACATGGAGGACTGGGGAAGGGGGGGAGGAAGAATTATCAGGGGAAAGTGCCAAGCCATTACAATTATATAGCACTTGGAAGACATGTCAGAATAAAGATTTGGTATTGGGACGGGGAAAAGGAATGGCACCCAATTTATTATATGATATCTATAACTTTCTTTTACTACAGGGTAGTGCTAAACAATCTGATCCTAGTTGATACCTGTCCACCTAATGAAAGTGGGAAAAGGGGTAATAATTATGCATCATAATCCAAAAGGTAATGTTTAGTCTTGCAAGTATAAAAATATACTTTACACAAAACATGTGTGGCTAAGAAGTGTTGTGAGCACTTAGTAAGTAAAAATAATCAAGATGTTTTATAGAGAAAATATTGGAAAAAAAAAAGATGTGACCTGGAAAACAAAATTTATCCTTGGATAACATTTGTAATTTACATAGCAAAATCTTGTGCATACTTCGTGCTGTTTGAGGGCTCACTATACACTACTCAAATGAAATGAAGAGTTAGGTAATTACCTACCATGCCACCTTGAAGTGTTAACAGATTGACCGATTGCACAGGCTGAGCATGACCAGTGGGCCTGGGGCCTCCCGAAGATGGGGAAAAGTACCTAGAAATGCTTTGACTGTTTCCACTCCCGGTACTCTGACTCCGACTTGTACTTCCACTGCCTTGCTTTTTGTTGCTCGACTGTCTTGCTGTAGCAGCCGCTCTGTAAAAACATGTATCATTTAGTTTAAAAAGATTTAATATGCAAGATAAATCTTTTTAACAAATGATGAGTTCAGACACAGAAGTTATAATGCTTGTAAGTATATTCAAAAACCTTAATGGTTTAACAATTTTCTGGCATTGGAAAACAAATTATGTCTTAAAGAATAACAAGATTTTTAAATACTGTATTAAACTAAATGACCTCAGTGATACACGAAGCATTACTATGAGAAGCAGAGAGAGTACCCTGCATACAACTAAGTTCTTTTCACACTTCTGTATTATCACCTAGAGATGTGCTGAAGATTTTCCACCTCTATGATGTCTTTTCATTTAATATCATTTTCAACATCGTAATTTTTTTTTTAAGTTATTTCTAACTTTGCATTTTACAGTACTATTGCCTTTTTTAAATTCTTAGTTAAATGTGCTTGTACATGTAATTCTTATTCTTTCAAGACATTTTACTTTTTCAAAGCAAGCAGATGGCAACTACTACACTTTTTTGATTTCCAAATCAGCAAGTGAATGTATTTAACACACGAAGGTTGCTGAAATTGCTGGAAAATATTCCAACTGAGGTTTACCTCATAAAACAAGATTTTCAGGTAAACAAGCCGTCAAATATAAAAATTAATATGAATATGTAGCTAAATTCAAGGACCACAATGCTCATGAAAACAAATATATAATATTGGCTTTACAGTTAAAAGGAATTATGGCCGAAACAGGTAAGCATGAAAGACTCATTCCGAGCTGAGAAATTACACAATAGTATTTAGACTTGCACGAGCTACCCAGGTGGTTAGTGAGGTATTGCCTATAGATACTCAAGCACTGTATTTAAATTTTGATCAAGATTACAACAAAAACTTACAAAGCACGCTCTCTTGCAGTAGAATGACCCTTACAGTCATGGTCAATTGCATGTCTGTGTCTTAAGCAGAAGTTTAGTTTGCAAGAATCACAAGACACGGGTACCATTTCTTTAGTTTTGCAGTTTGCTGCAGAGCACTTGTTAGTGTAGATCTGCAATACATAAAAATTATCAATAAACCTTCATATATGGCTGGCTTTTGAATCATGTTACAAAGAGGTGTATGTATAGATTAATAGATTATTTTTCCCTGTATAATCACACAAATCAACAGTAAACTCAAAAGAACTAAAGGACTATTTACCTTTTTATTTTTGTGTTTACAATTGTTTGTCATGTGGTTATTTACAGCTAAGTCTGGTGGTTGTCCTCTTTTACTTGGGACTGGTTGGTTACACAAGGGGCAAATGGGCACTTGAACATCTGCTTGATATCTCTCTGTACAGCTGTGAGCATCATACTTGTGATGATCAACACTGAAATGAAGGAAACACTGCTGAAAGTGGTCTCTATAAGTAATTACCTTTCTATACACAACATTGTATTTATAAATACACACACAGTTGTGTTTTGTTTATTGAATGTCTGTCAGTCTTTATACCATTACTGATTGTCATGAAAAGCTGCACAAAATATGAAAAGTTCCAAATGTTCAGAAGATTAGTACATTTTACCCTTATGCTGCAATAAATGATCACAATCATTTTATTTTTCTTAGCGTGTTTCTCTGGTGTGATTTACTGCCACCACCGAGTGACCACTTGCTATCATACAAAAGAACATGCCAATACTGTACACTTAAACACCACTTGCAAGCGATCACTAATTGCTGCACCGACTGTCACTTAATGACACCATAGAAAATAATAACAGGATCAAGGGAGCAGGCAGACCTCACTTGTCACTCAGGCTACCACAGTACATTTGAACAAATCAGGAAAACAGAAAAGGACTGGCAGCAACCCAGGGACTATATCGGAAAGTTTGATATGCCATGAAACACATGAAAATTTAACACCGAAACAAACATCTTGAGGAGGAACAACCAATAACCTTTACCTGAATTAGCCGCTGTAGAGCCAAGATGTGTAAAAATGAATCACTAGGTGATACTTTAAATGAGATCTGCCTGCTGACACACACACACACACACACACACACACACACACACACACACAGTATATACAAGAGTTGCTACATTCTTGTACAGCCACTAGCACGCATTTCATTTCAGGCAAGATAGCGAGCATTTCCTTAGTGGTGAATTAGCTCATCACTGTCTCCCTGACCCATCTGTGTGACAAAATCATTTACAAATATCTTTGACATGGTGTTAGAGCCTAGCAAGTAAATTTCATTGTGTGGACAAGATGAACATAAGGATTAGCAACCCATATATTTTTTTTCAACATTTAACTACAATACAGGCATACCTCAGAATAAGAGTTTAATCCGTTCCTGGAGACGCCTCGCCTTCCGAAAACTCGCATTCCGAAGTTAATTTCCCCATAAGAAATAAAGGGAAATGAATTAATCCGTTCCTGACTACCCCAAAAACCCCACATCAAACTAAATTTTTATACCTAATTTACCTAATTCATCTAAATAAACCTACAAAACTGTGTTCCAGTTATTACTTACCTTGCTGTCGAGTGCTGTAGGCGTATGGAAGATGGTGAGGAGGGGGGAGGAGGAGAGGAGTTACTGTTTGGAAGGGGAGTCCCCTTCCATAATCACATCACATAACCCCATGCCTTGTAACACTATGGATACCACTTCTCTTTCTAAATTTTTCAAACCAGCCCCTGCTTGCCTTAAACTCTTTCTTATCTGCATCACTCGTTGCAGGGGTATTCTTTAGAAGGTCTTCGTGCAACACCCTGGCTTTCTCACAAATAATGGCCTCCGAAACACTATCACCCCTCAACTCCTTGTCGTGTATCCAAATTAATAACAACTTTTCCACTTCTTCAAGTATTTGTGGTCTTTGTGCCGTTAATGTTCTTACTCCTTTTGCCACTTTAGCACCCATAATCTTATTTTTCTTCTTAAGTATAGTGCATATTGTTGATGTGGCTTTGTTGTACTGCCTACAAAGTTCAACAACACGTGTACCGTTCTCATGCTTCCGAATGATCTCTTGTTTCTCCTCTATTGTCATCCTCACATGAGCTTTCTGGCCTTTATCCTTACCACTGGCTTTCTTGGGACCCATGGTGAGATATATAATAACAAATTGTATAGACAAATCACAAAAAATCCAACAAAACACTGAAAATCCGCGAGAAGAATTGATGTGGGGGTAGTCACTGAGCGCGAGACAATAATAAACTGAGGGGCGGAGGGGCGACGAACGCGCTAGGTCGGCTGTACGCGTATCAACAAACTCGCGTCCAAACTCGCCTCCCGAAGTAACCCTCGCCTTCTGAGACAAATTTTTGGAGTAAATACACCTCGCCTTCCGAAAACCTCGCATACAGGGACAATCGCATTCCGAGGTACCACTGTACTATTAAAGGAGAAATAAATACATATCATGGTAGTCTCTAATGTTAAGTTATGCAAAGGCTTATATGAAAATAAGATTGTTGAAAACCTATTTAAAAAAAGTATTAATACTGTATTACTGTATAGTACCAATATATTTAAATACCCTTATTTCCCCAAAGTGACTAAGCTGAGTCACAACTTGCATCATGGCTGCAATATTTTTACTTACCAGAATTCTTTTTTGCACAAGTCACACGTGAAGGGGAGAAAATCTGAAAAGATATATCTCATAAATCACACACACAAATTTATACACCACAAATGACATTTCAGCATTACAACAATGATATACAGTATTGTATAAGGATATTTAGTACTGTACTTCAAATCTAGATTTTTCCTGCCATGCTCCCGCTAAGATTTGCAAAGAAGCCACAGAACAAAATACCACCTAAATTATTTAAACCAATCAAATTTATATTTTAACGTGATTAGATTTAGAAGCAAAACCTAAACATTACTTACAATGTCTAAATACTTTGACACATGGGATGTAGTTTGAGTTGTGATGTGTTTGGTGTTATGGTTAGCAACTATGCAGGGAAGCATGTTGCAGAGGGGGGTACAACCAAACTGCTCTCATACATAGACCCAAAAGGGAGAGATAATTATCAAGGGAAAGCGCCAAGCCATTACAACTATATAGCACTTGGAAGGGGTCATGATAAGGATTTGGAATGGGACGGGGAGACAAGGAATGGTGTCCAACCACTTGGATGGTCGGGGATTGAATGCCGACCAACATGAAGCGAGACCATTGATCTACCATCCAGCCCAAGTGGTTGGACAAAAGGGAGCAGTTGCTTTCCAGATACCACACAACCTGGAAAACCTGTGGTACCTGATGCTTGTTATAATAATTACTGTACCACAGTTGTGTTGGGAGAAGAATGTCAAATAATTTGTAATTAATCCCTAACTAGTCATAGGGAGGAATTAAGCTATAGCTATGGGGGAGACTTTAATGTTAACACATCCTTGGAGAATTTTGTCATATACACTGTGTGTGTGTGTGTGTGTGTTGTATGACAGCCATGAAATGCTGTGTTTTACTTATGATAAACTGTTTTGTAGTTTAACTACTGCACTGAGCAAAGTGCTTTGAGGTGCTCGATCGTATGTGTGCAGAGTGCCATAAAGCATTCCCATTTTACACTAGATAATTGTTTTTAAACAAACCCCACTTATAAGTTTCCACAATTCTGTATGGTTATACTGTAATGAAGTATACCAGGTAAACTAATTTTCATTTGAATCATTATCATGCATTATGTGTACTAGGAGTGCGCTGTCATATGTGGATGCCATACTGGTGGCTTACACCTTTGTTTCAATCTATACTCATCACTCCTATGGTGCCAATTAGGCCATATGTCATCACCCAGAGCACAACACCATCGACTACAGTATTATGTTCATATATTTTTCACTACTCTATACTGGTTGTAAAGGAGTATGTCATGTAAACCAATTGTCAATTAAAACATTATCGTGAGTTATGTGAATTATGTGATTTATCAAGTTATTTAACACACACACTCTTCTGTAAATAATGATAAATAAGTGATAAACACACTGTAAAACATCTGAGGATTACACAGAAAGCGTCAACAAAGTCAGGCACCTTATGTTGGCAGACGCCAAACACGGCCATCACACCAGTGGTGGCTGTGTCTACTGAGTTCCAGTCAGTGGTGGCCATGTTCCAGAGTGCCTCTTCCCAGTGAAATAATAAATACACTTATTTTCGTATTTTGCTTACATTTTGCATATAAATTAATAATTCTATAATGACCGATTTGTAATTATTTTATTTGTTGCGCACAGGCAGGTATGAACAGACCCCGTGGCGAAGTGGCAAGACGCTCGCCTGGTGTTTCGCGAGCACTTTAGCCAGGGATCGTATCCTGGCCGGGGAGGATTTACTGGGTGCAAATCCTTAACTGTAGCCTCTGTTTACCCAACAGTAAAATGGGTACCTGGTTATTAAACGATTTGGCGGGTCGTATTCCGGGGAATATTAAGATTAAGGACTTGCCCAAAACACTATGCGTGCTAGTGGCTATACAAGAATGCAAAAACCCTAGTATATATATATACAAATAAATAATTAAATGACCTTTTGCTATAGCTGCTGCCCATGGGTTAAACAAAAACTAGGTAACTCTTCTTTCTTAGCTTACCCAGCTGTCGACATGTAGGTTCCGAGCAGTGTGTCCCTATGTGTGGCAGCTCCATTATGATATCACACGCCAAGAGAGAGAGAATACGCAGCAAGACTGACTGAGGTCTGGCCTCCTCCCGATCCTCTTGAACCTTTACTCAGCTGATTCACTATTTACATGACTTCACAGCCTCGGTGTCTGCCAGAATAATAGTAACAGTAAGCTCATCACTTCATAACTAACAGAAAATTATATGATTTATCTTTATTCATGTGTATAAAATTTAATTTGAAATTATTTAATGATAAATTTTATCTATAACAAATATACCAGAACCAAGAAGAGTAGAATTTTAGTATAGGAGTGAACTGTCGAACTACTGACCCTCCCCGGGATGCAACCACACAGCTCTATCTATAAATCCATCAGAATGTTTATAACTCCGCATCTATGTATGTACTTTCCCTAAATAAAATTATTATTATAACTATAGTGGACATAATTACCGCCGTGACTATTGTTATGCCAGCCTCCCACTACGCAAAACACGTTTACGCTCCAAACAATCTTGCGTCAGCTCCTTGACACGATTTCTCAAGAAGCGTCTAAGATCGTCGGGAATAATCTGGAAGTGCCTCAGCCATGTCTGATGAGGAGGAAGACGACAAGCAAGTCACTGTTGTGAAGAATGCAACGGACCTGCAACGATTAAAGCTAGAGAAGCTTATGAAAAACCCTGTAGGTTGTTGTATTGAAGGTCTTAATGTTGTATGATAATTTGTTTTGTCTGGGGGCAGGCAGCCTTTATGTATATAATATATATACATATATATATATATATATATATATATATATATATATATATATATATATATATATATATATATATATATATATATATATATATATATATATATATATATATTGGTGTATACTGGCAGCAGGTTTTCTTTCAAACATGTTTCATTGAATATGACCGCATATTCTGTGTTTATTATTTTCTGGTTTAGGGCTTCTATCCCTCTTAACTATTTTCTTAGCATCAGGGCTTAATTGAAATAGGAGTTCTCCAAAACTCATTTTCGTACTTTTGAGGTGAAGTACTTTTCTACACCTCAAAAGTACGAAAATTAGTTTTGGAGAACTCCTATTTCAATTAAGCCCTGATGCTAAGAAAATAGTTAGAGAGATAGAAGCCCTAAACCAGAAAATAATACACACAGAATATATATATATATATATATATATATATATATATATATATATATATATATATATATATATATATATATATATATATATATATATATATATATATATATATATATATATATGTGTGTGTGTGTGTGTATAGTTCTGTATACTATACATATAATAGTATATTATATATAGTATATATATATATATATATATATATAATATTTTTTATATATATTTTAGGATTGTATCGAGGTTTCCCCAAAGTCAACTACTGATCCTCCCCTGGATGCAACCACACAGTTGTCTCACATTTTGCAGGGTCTGCGTTCAATCCCCAGTGTTTCAAGTGGTTGGGTACCATTCACTCACTCCATCCTCATATCCCAGCTCCTTACCTTTATATTTGGTTAAGGATACAGTATTTATAATGGTGTTTGTAGTGTGAGCTGTACTCTGCTTAGAAATAGGTAATATATCCCTTGATCAGCTATGATTGAAACATGTCTACTTATATAAATACCATACAGTATGAGTTATACATGTTTTGCATTTTTATTTAAAGCATTAAACACTGTAATATTTTATGCCGTTCTACAGGATTTACAGTGTAGTTTATATACTGTACTTTAATACTTAAAAAAACATTCATGAAGGAATGTGCAGGAGTTTCAACTTAGTGTTGTTAAAGTAGCATCATGTCTTCCACAGGAGAAACCTGCTTTCATCCCAGAGCGACCAAAAGATAAAAGATTCTCTGATCCAGCTGAATTTGTACGCAATGTCATGGGATCCAGTGCTGGAGCTGGTAGTGGAGAATTTCACGTTTATCGCCATATAAGACGGAGAGAATATTCTCGTCAGGAATTTTTACAGCACTCTAAAGAGAAGGTATAAGAATTAGAGATACTGTACTATATTCCATGACATTAGGATTAGCCTTTTATTGCAATAATGTGCAGCACTGTACATTACATGGAAATCATGTTTTTTCATTTCATAAGAGGAATCTTACAGCATGTCATAGATGTAATAAATGTGAACAGAAACTGTCTGTGCCTGTCTATGTCTCTGAAGCCATGCTTCACTTGGCATGGGAACAAAAAACTTGCACTGTACAATTATATAGGATTTCTATACTTTTGTATTCTGAATTAATATAAGTAGATAACAAAAAGTAGGGGTTCTATGCATTTATATAGGTGTTCATACTTAGATTCACTTTCCTAGAATTCTCACTTAGTATATTGCCCACAAATTACATTAAGCTTTTAAAATCTATAAAATGGCAAAACACTTATAGTAAAAAATAAAAATCATTGCTATAATGTGTTCAGGTTTAATTTGAATATTTTGTAGATCTTGGATTAAACTTACTGTATTACTTACTCCAAGTTGTCTGATTGTGTAGTTTATACAGTTTGAAAATGCAGCTCGGTACTGGTCCTGAGTTGATTTCTGGGCAAGGCAAAGGGAAGGGAACTATTGGGGTAAGCGTCAAGTCATTTCAACTATATAGCACTTGGAAGGGATCAGGATAAGGATTTGGGATGGGGCAGGTTATCTTGAGGTTATCTTGAGATGATTTCGGGGCTTTTTTAGTGTCCCCGCGGCCCGGTCCTCGACCAGGCCTCCACCCCCAGGAAGCAGCCCGTGACAGCTGACTAACACCTAGGTACCTATTTTACTGCTAGGTAACAGGGGCATAGGGTGAAAGAAACTCTGCCCAATGTTTCTCGCCGGCGCCTGGGATCGAACCCAGGACCACAGGATCACAAGTCCAGCGTGCTGTCCGCTCGGCCGACCGGCTCCGGCAGGTGGTAGGAATGGTGCCAAACCACTTGGAGTTATGCACATGTATTTGTGACCGATACATAAGAAGAAACTTTGCCCAACCACTTTGATCAGGATGATTGAGCGGCAGTCTCGCTTCCTGTAGGTCAGCGTTCAATCCCCGACCGTCCAAGGGGTTGGGCACCATTCCTAGCCCCTGTCCTATCCCAAATCCTTATCCTATTGGCTGATTATTCAGCCAAGAAAGCATTTATATACAGTATATTATTATTTATTATTATTATTATTATTATTATGATGGATGACTGCAATTTAAGCTGCATAATTTTTTAGACAGTAAATAAATTTATTTTACAACTTTTTCTTTTAAATAACACACATCTCTTTTGTAACTTTCCCATTTACCTGGTACAGTAATCAGATTATTGGGTTTGCATTTATTGTTGAGGGCTAGTACTGTACTTACTATGTATTGCTACCCTCTGTATGCTTTCTCTTTTGATTAAATTTCCCAGTTACAATCATCAACAGATAATAAGAAATTAAAGAAGATACAATGGGAGATTTTGTTTACGAGTAATTATGATTCTTTTTAACACAAATGATTGGCTATATTATACTGTATTTGTTTGTTCTGGATAAATTGTTAAAAATATAGCCAATTGCTTGAAATACTTTCTACATTATTATTTAAATATAGTACAAATATGCCATTTTGTTGAGTGTCCGTAACAGAATACAAAAAGGTCTAGAATTTGTTAAATGTAATTTATTGGTAATGTTCACAAATATATAGTTGTTTAGGTTATACAGCAGCTGAAATTTGAATAGTAGATTTTGGGTAAACTTCATGGGAATGTTTTAATAAGTTGATTATTTTGATGGCCTCTTTAATTAAGCATAAAGAATGTAAGAGATTTTCCCTGTATGTTTATCTTTGGAATATTGATATTTTTTTACATTTATCATCACAGGATGATTTGGACAGAGACTACCATTACAAACTGGAGGAAAACAGAAGAGCGGTTGAAGAGAAAGCTGCAAAGAATAGAGCAAAGAGACATCGACAGAAAGAGAGACAAAAAGCAAAGAGACAGAAGCTGAAAGAAATGAAGAAAAAAGGAATATCTCCAGGAAAAGAAAGTTCATCATCATCAGAAGTAGAAAGTGATGCAGATGAAGTAGAAGTGCCACCTGTTAATAATGATTTGAAGATCAATAAAGAGAAAGAATCAAGCTCAGACATTGTAGAAGTCAAAACTGGTGACATTATAGAAAAGAATAGTAATGGAAAAGAAGAAGCAATAGAGGAAGAGCAAAGTGAGGCTGTGGATAAACAAGACAGAGAGGAAAACATTTCTAATAAGGATTCTTGAATGCAATAAAGATGCAAAAGTACAAATTGCTTTCTTAGAAGGACAAATCATTGCACTCTTAACACTTTGGCATATTTTTTAATTTACTGTACAAGCAAGAGTGGTTAATAAAATCATAAATATTAAAAGTTAAGTGCTTAAGAGTGGTTAATAAATATTTTCACTGTGTCAAAGTTATATTTTATTTAATTCTTAGCCCATGATAACACTGATGAATTGAGACATTTTGTGCTGTGATAAGGCTAATAAAGATAACATTTGACACCTAAATTAGACAAGGGATTGCTAAAAGGATAATATGATATGAAATTTGTTGCCAAAGTTTATACACAAAATAATAACCTTTTAAAACTATACAGTATAGTATGTGTAAATTACACTGCATCACACATTATGAATGTCATTTCTTATTTTTTTGCACTTGACTATGAATTCATTCAATATATTTTTGCTCTATATACAGTAGCTGTATTGTACATATGCTAATATTCAGAAAACAACTCCTTTCCCAGTCCATAATTTAATGTTATTGCCATTTATTTTATATCTTGATTATTTGCACATATTTGAAATTTTAAATTTTGTCTTTTTATATAGGAAATGTTAAAATATCAACAAATAGTTAAATTTTAAATAATTTGTATATGCTAGTAAATAGTGCAATTTTGTCCGTTATTTTAAGTTCAGCTGAAAATGCTTTGCATAATTGTGGCTTCATTATTGTATGTAACTCCTGTCACTACAATTGTACTTTACTCTTATGTTCTTTATACACCCATTCTTTTTAATAAAAATTATTATTATTATTATTATTATTATTATTATTATTATTATTTTATTATAGGGATTGTTGGGCATCCCCTGAGGGCACCAAAAATTATCCTCATATTCATTCTGTAGTGTTTCTATTGTTTTTTGAACATTTAATGAGATGTTGGTCATGACAGTAAACTAGGGATCAAGTAAAAATCATGTAGAACAATGTGGCATGTTTAATACCAATGCATGCTATTATACCAGCAAATATTTTAGAGATTTTATTTTGATTTTATTTTTTATTTATATGTACAAGAGTTATTTCATTCTTGTACAGTCACAAGGCATGCATAGCATTTCGGGCAAGTCCTTAATCCTATTTTCCCCGGAATACGACCCACTAAATTGTTAAACAACCAGTTACCCATTTTACTGTTGGGGAAACAGGCAAGTTAAGGATTGACGCCCAACAATAACAGGCCAAAGTGCTTGCGAAACACCAGGCGAGTGTCTTACCACTTTGCCACAGTAACTGCTAGTATTTCTTTGAGCCCAATGAAGATGTGATTCACCACCTAAAATTTCCCTGCTGATTCCGACTATGAGATATATGTATTAATTGATGTATTAACACATCAATTTTCGATGTGTTGATAAATGACTTTTTAAAAGTTTTTTTAGGACATGGATCTAATTTTTTGTTACATTTTGAGATGATAAAACTACACATTCCAGTGGCATGAGTGTTAAAAGTGTGAGGCCGGTTACTACTGTTTTCACTAATGTAGATGACAGCACCTTTTACAGTTCACTTTGTGAATATTTCATCAAAATCGGATAAAAACTAATGAAAATCTGTGGATTTATGCATACAATGATTTGAGATTTGAATTTTCCCGTCAAAAAATTCCTAATAACATTGCTAAGTTTTTTTTTTTTAATTGAACAAGCTTAAGTATACACAGCAGTGTGCTGCTACTGAAAGATTACACATTGTAAATAAAAAACTAGCTATAAGTTCATCTAATACTCCCATCTCACAGGATGGTTAGTACACATGGAATCAGGGGAGAAAATATCTGCCTTAATTCAAAAAACAACTGACCTATTCACATAACCTTCCCGAAACGCTATGCGTATTAGTGGCTTTAGGTATTGTATGTACTAACTCTATCTATAAATCCAATAGTATGTTTATAACTCTGCATCTATGTATGTACTTTTCCTAAATAAAATGTTATTTGTTGTTGTTGTGTTGATTTAGGGGCGACGACGATCGTGGGATCGGATGCGCCCCGGCTGCCCGATACCGGGAAATAGCGAAGGGATGGGGCCCCTATAGTCTCTTCAGGCCATAGACCCTACAATCTCCTCAGGCGACAAATTTTACGGTCTCTTCAGGCCGCGGACATGACGGATGAAGCGGAAGGTATGGCGAAGGATGTCATGACGGACGTCTTCGTCTCTCGCACCTGCCCCGTCAAGGAGAACGGGAACTGTGAGGCGGGGAATATTCAGCCTACGAACGGAACTCTGTAGTCTGACGCGAGCGCTATGAAATCGAGGGCAGTGAAGTAGAAGGTGCTCCACTGTATCCTCCTGGGTCGGACACCACTGGCAATATGGGGAATCTACCAGCCGTAGACGATGGAGATGTGCGGCCAGGCAAGTGTGCCCAATCCGGAGACGAGTGATGGCAGTGTCGAGGAGTCGAGAATGATGACGACGATAAAATTGCGTAAAAATTGCGTCTTCTTAAAAAGGGAGTGGGCATTCCAAAACACCACAGTATTCTCAGGATGGGACGCCATTATCCCTGAAATACAACAGCTAACTTTTTGACCACCAGTGCACAGACGTCTCCAAAGGGGGAACCACTAGAAAAAGCCATAAAACCTTCATACAAAGTAAGTAAAATATGTGGTATCAATGACTTCCAGTCAAGAGGATGTTGATCTATGTTTCTCTCTGCCTGACGGAAGCGGTGGTCGGCTCGCGAACTCTCTTGACGGCGTCTGCGACTGGTGGGAGCCTCACTCTGGGCCTCATTTTCCCCCGGTGTCACAATCCCTTCGGAAAGTGCCTGGGGGACCAGAGGATCATCAGGGCTGTCTGTTGGAGCAGTACCTCCTGATCGATGGGTGTGTCGACGACGCCGGTGTTGGCTTCTGTGAGGAAAGGCAGGAGGGTGACGAGTGCTAGGCTCCGGCCGAGACTGAGCGTCCATGTCTGTATCCGTGGATGAGTTTCCGTCAGTGTCAAGGCTACCCAGGAGGGAAAATCGATTAGCAACCTGGGCGTATGTGGCATGTGACTGGGACAGGCAAGAGCGTCTGCTAGTTCCTACTTGTGAAGAGGCCCGACCAGGGGGAACCTGGAGGCGAGAAGAAGCGATAGGCTGATTGAGGGTACGCAACTTCTGGAACAGCTCATGTCGAGGTGTCCCCGCTGTTTTGTGATCGATGTCCAACTGGAGGGCCTCAAGATATACAGGGCAACTCTTAGACGTAACCTTATGATGGCCATGGCATAAAAAGCAGCGGGGTGCAGCAGAGCACCCACCGTCATCTCTGTCTGAATGGCCAGTTTTGCCGCAGTTTGCACACCGTGCTGTATTACGGCAGGTCAGGCGACTGTGGCCCAATAGATGACAAGCGTAACATCGTAAAACAGGGAAATTGTAGGGCTGAACCTGATACGAGGTCCTGTGTAGTGCCACTCGGTCAGGGAGGTGCCCATCGAACTTTACACGGACCATGGATGTCGGCCCTGCTGCTCCGCGAATCCTGGTAACTTCCAATAATCTCACTGATGCACCCCCTAATACCTGCAGAGCGGCCTGGATGTCATCCACATCTACACTCTGGTCAATTGGGCCAATCTTCCCATACCGGGCCCGAGACTCCTCCTCCTGCGACAATACCTGTCGGCACCTGACAGGCCAGTCCCCCAACTTATTAATGTCGGATACACAGATGTGTGATAGAGCCTCCTTTCTGATATGTAGCTTGAGTGCTGCACCCCTACCCAGGGTACGTATGGTCTCAGGCAGGCAATGTGGCCACAATACGGAAGCCTCGATTGCTGCACCTAAGGTACGAGGATTTGCAAAGACGCACTGACCTGATTCTGACTGGATTAGGACTACCACAAACGAGGAACGGGGTACCACAAGACTAAGGTCTTCTGAAGGGGAGGATATCCTCTTAGCATCTCGCTCTGGGGCAGCATCAGCCGACTCATCTTCTAGCAGACGTTTTCCTCTCTGGGACTTGCTGTCAACATCCATGGCGCCCCCGCTCGGGGAGGCGTCCATTTGGGAGGCTCCGGCCTCCCCCGGTCCTGTGAGCCCCTGGGTAGCTGCAGTGAGCACACACTGGCCCAAAGAAGCCAGCTGAATTAAAGATGAGTTCCAGGTAAGGTGTGGAAAGAAAGTCCTGCCAGGAGCGTTCAATCCGCGCGCCAAGATGGCCGACCTTCCCGCCCAAAAAACCCAGCGGCCATGTTATTTGTTATAACTGGCACTACCGGGGTCATCATAAAAAACGGAACCCAAGCTCCGGAGGACAACAAGGATCAGCTGACGCCATCAACACATGCAGGGGTGCCAGATTGGGCTACAAATAGCGAATTGGGCTACTTTTGAGAGCCCCCGCGCTCCCAAATTTTTAATTTCGCTACTCGCTACTTTTTGGGCTAATTTAAAAGCAAGATGTGCTAATTTGGGCTATTAATGTTAAGAATGTACGATTGCGAGATACATGAAAGTAACTTTTTAGTTTAGTTCATTTATTATGCACCCCATACCCATCTTGTGGGCGGTAGTGGAAAGGGTTACAAAAAATTGCGGAATTTAGAGATAACACCATCAATAGTGTCCAAGAAATGTGTAAGTACTTCATTCATAATGATATTTGCTGGCGGGTGGGTGGGGTATATTACACCATGTTTTGTAATGAAAAAACTCGTTTATTAAACGAATTTATTGTTAGAGTTCATTAGGAATCATGTTTGTTGAAGGCAGAGTTTCCAACAAATACCTTCCTGTGATTGGCTGTTGCTGGGAATGCCAACGCTTATATGAATAAAATGCAAAATAAGAAATACGTTCTTTTGCTCAACAACCTTGGTGTTGTACAAAAGAACAAAAATTTCTGTTTTATACAAGACAGAAATTTCCATCTAACTGAATAATGTAGAACAATAAGAGGACGGAGGCATTGTATCGCCGATATTATTTGTGTGAGGCAACCCCCACTGATGACGTCACAAGTTAGGTAGCCAGCCCATGTTTCTGTAACACTCGTTACATCCTGCAGTATTTAATTATCACTATATTAATACTTATAAATACTTAACATTTCACTTTTTAGGTAGATTAAAGTTGAAGCAGAATGTCATAAGCAAGGATGGTGTGCTGAATAAAGATGATTTATTAAGTGGATGGAGCCTTTAGCTGATCCCTTCCTGTGATTGGCTGTTGTGTGAATGTCAACAAAGAATATCTACCAATGATATGCCATTTATTATGCACCCCATACCGTCTGTGGGCGGAGCTTGGAACCTCCTACCCGAGCACAACAACCCGCCTTATGGGTTGCTGTTTGGCTATTTATAGTGCGTTGGAAAAAAACTAGATGGCGTTAGTGGTATTTTGTAAGATGATTTGTTATAAGTGTAATTTGATGTCAACAGATGGCGTAAGCTGTATCTTATGGCCACTGTTGACCAGCCAGTTGATAGTGGGAGGCAAGATGGTTTGAGTGGTGTCAAACTCTAAATGAACATAGTAGTCTTGGCAAGATATGGGGTCAGATTAAAACTATATCAGGTCGACCAGCCCGGCCACAGGCATGTATTCAACCATTGCAGGAGGCTGAGAGACTTGCTCTCCAATTTGCAGAAAGAACAGCTTCATATCAGCTTCCTGCAATGGTCCGAAGGCAGCAAGAACACTTAAAACAAGAGAGGATGACAGTCATTCATGAGGGCATAGCTATAAATGACGAATGTGACTGTCCCTTCACCGAACAGGAACTAAGCAGAGCCA